CCCTAACCCTAACCCTAACCCTAACCCTAACCCTAACCCTAACCCTAACCCTAACCCTAGCTCAGAACCTTGACGTGCGGTCTCTGACAGCTACTTTCTGCGCTAGGTACCATGTCAAGACACATTGCGTGACTCTCGTGTGCGTGCTATCAGCGCCAGAATGCACCCAGGTGGGTTGACGACACCGCGCTAGATGTAGGTATAGTTGTGCGAACCCACGCGTGTGCGCTGCGCAGCCCTTCTTTACCATCGGCAAAACGCAATCTCACCAGAAATCACCAGAAATCAAGCAGCTGCTACCAAGCGTGCGCATTAGCCATTTGTAATCTCCATGTCTCGGCTTCTTCACCAACCATCTCCCCATCTCTCGACAACAATCACTTTCCGCATCGTCCACGATATAGCGTACAAATCAGTGCCTCCACGTACAAGCAAAGGACCGTATAAAGTCGAGAGTCCTGCTAGCAGCTGGTGCAGTCATCAATCCAATCGTTTCTTTTGACGCAATCTGAACGCAAGCTCTGCCAGTGTTGGCTCCTCGTTCAAGGTTCCTTCTTTGGACGACACCTTTGCCTATGCAGTTTGACGAAAAGTCCTGCGCGCTTGTCAAGAAAAGTTCCATCACCCTCGCCGTTGTGTCAACACTTGTTGCGTTGTACGAGCGATCTTTCTTTGTCCTCGCCGTTGGATCACTGGCGATCGCTTTTGTGCCGCTGTCAGTATGGGCATTGCATATCTCTCCTGCATATCATTGGTTTTGGTTTTTGATCGCGCTACAGCGCATGCCGTCCAAGCCACCAGCCCATGCCCTGATTGCCCCCGCTGGTCATTGACTCAGTACGTTGTCCTGGACTCGACCGGCGCTTGCTCTGTCTCATGTCAACCGTTTGTGGTTGCTGCATGGGCGACTCTGGTACTTGCCGCTATGGTCTCAGCTCTCGTCACTGCTCTTGTCAAATACGTCTGCGGCTTGCTGGAACTTCGAAACCGTCGATATCAGCAACCTACAGCACACTCGGAGGAGAAGCCGCCATCAAGTGATTAGCAAGATACGTAACAGCCATTCCCAGGAAACATACTGCATGACCGACGCACAGCGTCGATGGACGCCGTTTCTTAACCGTCCGCTAGTCCACACACACACATCCTCGAGGAGAAGCAACGTGCGAATAGGAGCTTTCAAAATGTCAGACCATCTTGGTAGGCGCAGCTTACTGTGTGTGACTGCGCGCGGTATAGACTAGAACGTCTTGTGCCGTGACTGCGACCGTACAGGGCTCAAAACACCCATGCGTTCATGTTGGCGGCCGAACAAAGATTAGAGGGCGACGCCAGGACGCAGGATACAGCGCACCTTGAACGGTTGGGACGCAAACTGAATGTGTGACCATCCTCGACAGAAATGAGCGCATGAATGTCGTACTCGTCGTCTGGCTCAACGTCGAAAAAGTGGATGCGGTAAAGGTTCCATCAGGATACTTGAGTCCCCCACTCTTTCCCACAAGATGTAGGAGCAGCTCGACGCCGAGTTCAAGTCTCGTACAAGCACGGAAGGTCCGCACAAGGTCCAAGTTTACGCCTTCACTGTACAAACACAGCCCGGCATGGCTTGCGACGGCCACTGCAACAAATCTATTCTCTTGGATCGAGCCTAGCCCCGGGATGGCAATGGCTATGGAGGCAGCCCTCAACGACGAATTGGTGTACACAGTCAGGGCCGCACAGGTGGGTTCTCGGGCAAACGGTCACCGGTGTATTGCAGCGAAAATAGACGATGTTGTTACATGAAGAAATACGAAGACAAAAATAGGGAGAATAATCCGAACATGGCACTTCAAGATCGAGCTGAATCAAGGCGCTCGGTTGCGCCCGACGGCGGGCAAGTCCAAGTAGCTGACCAAGTCGGCGTAGCTGAAGATGCTTGAGCTCTTGGAGAATAGCACGACGACAGCTGCAATGAGCAAGACGGGGATCCAGAACCACACCAGCATCGCATCGTCACGGAGCTGCAATTGACCCTTGCGACGGCGTGCGACGGCCGTGGATGGGCTGTGAGTGGATACTTTGCTCTTCGTTGCGGACGATGTCGCTTCAGTCGAGAGCGTGGATACCGAGATGGACGCTGCGGCGGCCGCCTCATTGCCGGGATGAGCTGAACGTCGTCGTGCCGATGGCCTACGCGAAGGGCCGGCTGTGGGCGTGCTCGACTCAGAAGACGGCCCAGCATCTACGGTGTTGGATGAGGAGGCGACTGAGGGTGTCGAACGTGATTTCATGTCCTGCGCCTCGGCTGCAGCTACCGATTCGTATGCAGGTGGAGGGCTGTACAGCGGATTAAGACCCCAAGCGCCTTCCTCGACGATGTTCTTCCACAGCGTGAGGAGGCGACCACGCTCATCGTGTTCCCATCCTTGTTCGGCAGACGAATCGCCAGAACGAGCTTTGCCTTTATCGTTGGGCGAACTCTTCGTGTCAGGCGTCTGTTCGCCGCGCTGGGCCGCGGACCATGGCATGAAGGCAGGGGCGGGTAGCGCGAGGTGGAAGACCGGGATAGCTGGCATCGCGGGCATTGCTGGCATGTGCAGTTGGGCAAACTTGTGAGCCATAGTGTGCGGAAGGAAAGCTCGGTTCATCCAGTCGGCTCCCGTATCGCCCGCTTTTGTCAGCCAAGATTTCTGGCTCGCAGGGTCGAGAAGTGCTGAGCCCTTTGACGAGACTTTCTCGGAGTGTGATGACGCGACAAGCTCTTTCGCCGAACGAGCATCGGCCTCCTTCAGCGAGGCTTTCTCGTCAATGACAGGCGATGGGAGCTGCGAGAGCGCCTCGCGAGCCTCGAGGTCGTCGGCTGCGCCAGCTGCGTCGGGAACCGCAGGAAGGCGGACTCCCTCAACGTCCTCTTCGCCGCTGACGGAGAAGCTGTCATCGCTGTACTCGTCAAAGCTGGTACTGACATTGTCGTCGTCGACATCAGACTGGCTCGGCTCGCTGCTAAGCTCGTCAGAGAGAATGTCCTCGGCATCCTCGTCGTACAAGAGGCTTACATCCGGATGAGAGGTGAGTCGACGGGTCTGCCAGTGGCCAGTGCGAGCGGTGTTGTCGAGCATCATCTCTACGTCGACCTGATCGTGATTGCGTGCCAAGTCGACGGCGTAGAGGCCGTTGACGTCTGCAACGTCATCTCGGGCGCCGGCGCGGAGGAGCATGCGAGCGATGGTGACGCGGCCCTGTATGGCGGCAAAGTGAAGCGCAGTGACACCGTTGCGGTCGCGCGCATCGAGCGGGCAGCCGCGGCTGATGAGAGCTTCGACCAGTCGATGGAAGCCCATGAGCGTGGCGAGATGAAGCAAGGTGTGGCCCTGCTTGTTGGCGAGGCGAATTGCATCGGTTCGCGGTGCTGCTTGGTCAATGTCGCTGACGTCTGCATCGAGAAGCGAGAGGAATTGCACGAGGGTATCTTGGAAGCTGGAGCTCTGCGACCTGCTGGTGAACAGGCCGGTAATCGCCTCGCGAGCCTCTGCGTGGGAGACGCCCCCGCCACTGGCACCTCCATTGTTGAAAGCAGCTGGCATTCCGGGCTGCTGACCACCGCCAGAGCCAACGACGCGCATGGCAACCTCTCGCGCCGAGCGCATCTGGCCCGTCATCTGGAGGCCGACGACTTGCAGTGCCAACTCCATGAGCGCACGGTCGGTAGTGTCAATGTAGGTGAATAGTTGCAACGGGCCGTTGACCGGAGGCGGCTGTGCTACCTGTCCAGGGGTCTTGACGCTGACAACAACAGGACCGGGGCTCGAGCTTGGCGGCAGGAGGCAGACAAGCGTGTTGCTGGCCCAAACCTTGGTGTTGGCGGCAGGGGTGTCGCCGAATACGCAGGTGACACCTTCGGTAAAGTTTTCTCCCAGGACGGTGACCTCGATACCTCCGCTCGTAGGTCCCTCGCCGGGGATGAGCTTGGAGATCTTCGGCTGAGGAGCCTGCTCGATGCTGTGGTTCGGTCCAGAAGGAGAGGCCTGCGCAAACCCGGGAGGGGTGGCGATAGAGCCAGAGTTGGGCCGAAGGTGAGGCGGCAATGCGGCGGCGGCAGCCATTGCCATGAGCTGCGCAAAGTCGACGCCGCTTGAGACGCCTGCCTGGGCATTGCGGAAGAACTGTTCGAGATCAAAGTTGGGCACGCTGGCGAGATTGGTCTGCAGAGTCGTTGGAGACAGGGAGCCCTGTGCCAGCTGAGCTTGCAATTGAGGCGGCATCTGCGACAACTGCAGAGGCTGCGGCTGCTGCTGGAGGCCGTTCGGCTGCTGCACGGGCTGCGTTGCTCCAATGCCAACCAAGCTTGCAGGTGCAGGAGAGTCACCGACACTGGATGCTTCTCCGGGCGTCTTCGTGCCAGTGCTGGTGCTGTTACTGCGCCCGAGCCCATTCATGGTTGTGCCCGCAGTTGCAAAAGCGTTCCAGAAGTCATTTGAGCTAAAATCGACACCGTTTGAGGCAGGGACGGGAGACGTTGCGCTGACCGCGGGCGTGTTCTGTCCGGTTCCAGAATACGGGGTCATGTTGAGATCTTTGCCCGACGTATTGCGTCGGCGTCGATTGCCATCATAAGGTTTGGAACGTTCCTTCTTCTGCTTTGTGGGCGGTTCCACGTTGATGCTGCCGTTGGGCGTCGCACTTCCACTCGTAGAGTTGGCGCCGTTGACCAGATCCTCTTGCGACTGAGACTGATGAGAAGCCGGGTATCGTGGACTTGTGCCGTTGACTTGTTTGATGACGCCGAGAGATGCTGATGCCGAGGGAGAGGCTGCAGCAGATGCGGCAGCCTGTGCGGCTTGAGCAGCCTGACCCATTGACTTGTGGTCGTCGGTGATCATGATGGGAGGCGTGGAGCCGGTGGCGACGAGGCGACCTTGCCAGTCGCGCATGGTAAAGATGACGCAAAAGCCAACCTTCTCCTTGTGATGACGGCAATAGCATGTGATGCGAGTGGGCAGGACTGCCTCGCCCTCTTCAAAGTCGACAAAGTCTCCGCAATTGAACAGAACAACGCGCTTCTTCTCTTCTTCCTCCATGCGTGCCTGTGTCCTCTCCACGGCGTCGGGAGCGGCAGGGTCGATGCCGAGGCTCTTCATCTCCTCTGCGCTTGGCGAGCTTTCGTGCGGTGTTTTCGGATCCTTTTTGCGGTGGGCACGTTTCCGCTCCCTCTGTCGGCAGCCTTTGCATACGTGGACGCGATCGTGGGGCGGTGTAGCGTTTACTACGGTGGCGTCGACAAAGAGCGTCTTTTCGGGAGGCACGTCTGTCTTTTGGTACTTTTTCGACTTGCGCTTTGTGCCGCTGAGGGGGGGAAGCTTGATGTGCGTAAAGGAACCGATGCGTTCCCACCCGCCGGCAGGAGTTGTCTTTGGACGGACCAGCTCGATACGCATTCTGATCTGGGTTTCGACGCGTGATTTGGCGCCGTGCATGGGAACACCGTTGATGTGGACCTGGAGATCCTTGAGACCTTCGCGATTGGGGCGAACGACTTCGAATGCGGAATAGCCGAGGTCTGCATCGAGGTTGTTGCTGTGCACTGCTGTCTGAGAACCCATGCGCCGCGCCGCTACAGAGGTGGAGCCGGGGAGCTTCTTGGGCTCGGATGACTCGCCCGAGTTGCGGCGCGATGAGGAAGCGCTGGCGCTCGCGTTGTTGTTAACATGAGACACAAGAGATTGGATTGGCTTGGTCGACGCAGATGGTGGCATCATCGTGGAAACTGAGGACGTTGGAATGTTCATGGCGACAAAGGGTTGCCCGTTGGTGGCATTCGCCGGGAAAGGCTCCGACTTGACAGCGGGAGAGCCAAAGGAACCGGCTTGAACAAACGAGTCGAACATGGCTTCGTCGTTGTCGCCCGTCTTGCCTGTCCATGCGACATGACCATCCGAATCCTCGCCGCTGCCGGCGAAGCTGGAGGTGCTCGGGGCTGTTGTGGGATCGTGAGACAATGAGCCGGTCTTACGGTCGGAGCCATCAGGGCTATCGTGGGTCATGGCACGCGATGCACTCGCGAAGCTGGACATGGCGTTGTGAGAGGAGGCAGGAGAGTGGATGGACTGAGGTGAGAAGCCGTAGTCGGTGCTGGAAGTAGAGTCCATCTCCATGGACAGCTCGGCATCGTTTTGCATGCCGATGTCCCAGCCTGCAAAGTTCATAGCCTCAAAGCCCGACTTGTGGCCGTTGGCGTTGACGTCGAGATCAGTGATGAGAGACTGCGGATGGTCGCCCCAAATGCTGGGCGAGAATTCGGCTGCGGACGCGGCTTTGGCAAGCTGATGAGGGTCAGCAACAGCAGGGTCGGCTGCGCGACGGTGAGCCCTACCGTTTGCCAGCGTCTCGTCGTCGCCAGTAGAGTCGCTCGAGGAAGGGCTGCTGGTCTGTGTGAGGCTGGGTGGTGAGGTAGAGCGTGTCTCTGAGCGCGCGTGGTACTTGGTGGATTGAGGGTGGAGTGCAGTACTGCTGGACATGGCCGCTTGCTGTGCGAGATGTAAGAACGAGGATGATGAAGAGTTGGACCACGGGGCGTATAGATGCTGCTGAGAAGCGCTAGTGCTAGGTGGATCGATTGAGCATGTGGAAGCGATGGGCTGTAGGCGTGTCCTGGGCGGTGAGGCGGCGAGACTGGGCGCGGTCGGCACCTCGTATGGACGTCGTTGGGTCCAACGCCAATGCCGAAGAAAGACCGCAGTTGCTGGATGCCAGCTTTACAGCTGCGTAGTGGTATATGACCCAGAGCGAAGGCGAAGGGTAGATGTAAAGCGGAAGGAGGCTGCAAGTATACGAGGGCCTTGGCAGTGTTGGTGGTGGTGACGAAGCAACAACCTGCAATGCGAAATCTTCAATTGGTCGAACAGCAACCGAAATTGCAATCCACCCACACACGCACGTACAAAGCTGAGTGAACCACAAAGCAGGCACAAAACGAGAGGAGCAACGAACGACACACGACGCGGGTACGGCAGTGTAAAAGAGCGGGTGAAGACTGACCAGAAACCAATTTCGAGAAGCCTCATTTTTTCCCCCTGGCTGCGTGGATGCAGCGAGCAGAGAGCAGCGAGCACGAAGCGGTGCCGTGTGGCTTTGTCCTTATTGCTCGACTAAATAGAAAAGTTTGTAATTCATCCATGTTGTCCACGTAGGCACTTAGGCCCCATCTTAGCATCTTGCACTCCGTATAGCATGCGTGTAGCGAACCAGCATCACCACTTTCATCCATGTGACTTTTGAAAGCCATCACCAAGCCCCGCGTTTGTCGCGAGATGACGCTCTGAAGAGCTGCACGGGGGTACGAAAGTGTCTGGAACGCGGACGGACAGCTGATCAGCACGGGCTGTACGGGCGCGTGCTTTTTCGCAACCGATTACAGCACTACTCATGCTCGGCCCGCGAGCAGACGTTGATCCCGTTCCAGCAGTCACAGTGCGACCATCGATCGGTTGCATGCGAATCCTCGGTATCGCCTGGCACGAGTGGCGTACAGGTACAGCGAACAAAGACCGAGATAAGCGATACGTGTTCGGCAAGCTTACTTATACCCTTGCCCACCGCTACGGCAGATTTTGAGTTGAGAACACGACGCCGACCGAGCTTCACAATCCAAGCGCGGCTTCGAAACGCCTCTGCTGCCTTAGTCTGACCGCTGAACACGTCTGCGTCCTTTCTGACCGTCGACATGGACTTGTCAGACAGTCCACACGCCTAGCATGGCCTTCGGAGAGAGCCTTGGGCTGTGCAGCGTCGGATGTGCCGTCCGGAGAAGCTCTCGGAAGCATGCTTCGCTCCTCTCTGAAACTTAAAGAATAAATTTCTACTTCGGTGATATCTTTTTCTCACAATCTTCGAAATTTTGGGGCAAGGCACTTGAGCAGTACCCGCTGGAAATGTTGGGCAGCGTCGCAACCCGTCCAGCTCATGTGGCTTAACATGCGCGGTAATACGATTGAGATTATGCAGGGTCGCGGCTGATCCGATAATCGGGATTGCGGGGTGGCCGCGGGTAACGTGGTGCTTGAAATGCAGTTGGATACGGTCTCAGCGCATCATAGCATACGACGCTCGAATCAACGATGCCATCACCGGTGTTCGACCGAGGCTCTTCCTTCTCACAGCCGAGGAGAGCTTGTGTCCGGCATCGATTTCTCTCAAGAGTCTTCTAAGGCACCTTCAGTCCCAGTCTGTTGTACACAGGAAGGCCAGCAATGTTGCGCTGTCGTGGCGCGATCAGATAGTGTGTTGCCTAGGTCAAGCTTGACGCCAAGTTTAAGACGAGTGCGAGCCGCGTCTGTTCGCCTCACAGTGATTGCGACTTTGACTTCTCCGATGGCTGATGGTTCATGCGTGTATACCGGCAGACCGCAGGCGGGTCAGAGGCTCCTCGCAAACGCTCTATCGACGCGAGACCTCTCAGTGTAGCGCTACATTGCAGCCAATAGCGAGCTAGTCACCCACTCCACGCATGAAAACCAAAACAGACAGTGGTGTGACAATGGGCAAGGCAGAAACTAAAGGTACAAGCCGCAACGGTATACAATGATGAGACGGGAAACGACAACGAGAACTGTAAAGGTAGACTAGAGCAGAACATACAAGCAGACAATTGCCTTCACGATCAGACACCGGTACGTGTGAGGGCTTTGCGCTGGTTCGAGAATCGGATCACATCGCGCTTCTCGAGGATGAAAAGCGTCCTCTCGAGCGCGTGGTTGGTGTAACCTTGGCTCTCGACAAACTCGTGACGCAGCTTGGCGTAGCTCGTGCTCCAACCAATAGGCAGCCTTCTACGGATCTCGCGCTCCAGCTTCTGGCACTCTTCGGCGAGCTCACCGCGTGTCATACCCTCCACGTTGCCCGCCTGCACTGCGTCCATGGTCGAGGAACGGAACAGACGCATGGCCTCGTCGACGTGCTCCTCGCCCACAGAGGGTGAGAGCGTCACCTTGGCCAGCGATTCCGAAATACGCACGATGGCTTCCAGCTGACGCACCGTGATGGGGATCGAGGATCGTTCGTCATTGTCGCGTTCCACCTGAGCCACCTGCTTGCGCAGCGCGACAAAGTGCGACGACAGCTTCTCGGCGGCTTCGGGCGAAAGGCGGGGTGCGCAGCGTGCTTTGCAGAACGAAACGTATCGCTTCATCTGCTCGATGTCGAACTCGCCCGTGGCCGAGGCGTCGTTGGCGCGGTTCATGTGGATGTTCATGACGTGCTTGGCCATAGTGCGATCGCGCTGCTCGTTGTGCTCGTCCTTGACGATGAAGATCATATCGAAACGGGACAGAATGGTGGTCTGAAAGTCGATGTTCTCGCCTGGCGACTTCATGTCGTCGTATCGGCCAAAGATTGGGTTGGCCGCCGCCAGCACCGATGTACGCGTGTTCAAGATGGTTGTGATGCCTGCCTTGGCGATCGAGATGGTCTGCTGCTCCATCGACTCGTGGATAGCGACACGATCCTCGTCGCGCATCTTGTCAAACTCGTCGATACACACCACGCCGCCGTCTGCGAGCACCATGGCACCACCTTCGAGGTAGAACTCGCGCGACTGCGGATCACGCTGTACCGACGCGGTCAAACCGGCAGCAGACGAACCCTTGCCGGACGTGTAGACGGCGATCGGTGACACTTTCTCGACGAACTTGAGCAATTGCGACTTGGCAGTACCAGGGTCACCAAGCATGAGGACGTTGATGTCGCCACGAAGTCGCATGCCGTCCGGCAACACCTTCTTCGAGCCACCGAACAACAGACATGCAATGGCCTTCTTGATGTCCTGATTGCCAAAGATACTTGGCGCGATGCTGGCAGAGAACTTCTCGTACAAGTCTCTTGTCCTCGAAAGTCTGGCGAACTCTTCTTCCTCCTCGGCAGAGAAAATGCGCGCCATTCCGCGTCCCCCCGCTCCTTCAGCGTCGATCTCTAGGCCGACGACTCTGAGATAGGGGGTGCGTAGAGCGATGGCACCGGCCTTGCCGCCTTTGCCGCTACCGGCATTGTTGAACGTGGAGTAGACACCGGTCGCGATGATGCGCGAGCCAGGGACGACACGCCCGCAGAGCGCACGGTCAACCGACATGAGCATGTGTCGAGGCAGCTCACCTACAGGAACCATGTCTGGCGCCTCTTGCAGCTTGACGGTCTGGTTGTCGACGAAGCGACACTTGTCGTGAAGGATGACGTAGGGATCTATCGAGCACTTGGGTGCTGTAGTGTCCATCTTTGTCGAGTCGCAGTATCGCGGCAGCGTGAAGCCGCCAAAACCTGAGACAACAGGGAGAGTCTTGGTTGCGCGGCAATCTCTGCACATAACTTGAAGGTGTGTGGCTCGTGAGGAGAGGGTGGTGGTACCGATGACGATGCCTGGAACACGGACGAGATGAGAGATGCTGTCGGCGTGCAAGTCGCGCATGGGTGTGAGGTTGGCATGACTACGAAGAGTCACTTGGCAGTCCGGCGCTTCGGGGCGCTGTTCGTCTCGGGTGATGACAGGGTACAGGATCGCTCGTGCTGCGCGCTTGACCGCCGATTCGAAGAGAGGCAGGATATCCGAGGGGGTGTCTCGGAGCGCCTGCGCGAGATCGTTGCTCCAGAGCTGGACGTGCTCGAGCTGAACCTCTAGGACGTATTGTTTGGCGAGAAGGTTAGCGCGGAGACGATCACGGTACACATAGTCGCTGCCTGTGCGGAAGGTCTGGACAAAGTTGAAGAGCGTCTGCTCGGTCTGTGCAGGAGCATCGGGAGCTCTAGATGCCTCGGACCCTGCCAGCGCCTGGGCCGAGAAGACACGACCCGAGTCAAAGCCCGACATGGTTGTCTATGCTGAGCGTGGATGAGAAGATGATTGCCTGCCTATGAGGTCTTACGGTCGTCGTTGATGTGCGGAAGGGGTGGATCGGTGCTCGGAAACGATGCTTCGAGAGTATGACTTGCTTCTCCGGGGCTCAGAGCTGGGGTTCGTTGTCGATTGTGGTGTAGGAGAGCGTAGAGCAACGGTGATGAGGAAGGAAAAGAAGGAGAACAGCGACTTGCTGCTGCTGCGGCCTCAGCCTGTCAAATGCAGCTGATTTTTCGCGCCTGGCGGGACCCTCGACAGTTGGCTTGACTGTTGTTGTTCTTGAGTTGTGCGGTGCGCATTTCTCGAAATCAATTAACACGACGAGCAAGGTCTCGACCGCGACGCGTCTGTTCATTTACGCCACGGGCCAGCGTGGCTCGCTTGCGCTCCTGGCCCTGAGATGAGACGCGACTTTGCTTTGCGTTCTGGTTGGCTTCGCTCACGTCTGCACATCACTCGCGCGTAACACGTTTGGGACATCCGCAGACACCACCTACTTAATGCAGACAGAAAAACATCATTCGTGGGTAAACTGGAGCAAAGAACGTGGTTTGGCAATTAGTCGGTAACGATAGTGGTACTTGAATGGACAAAGGATGGGTACATGGCAGTAATAGTCTTGTCTGAAAAGACAGTGCGACCCGAAAACGAAAGTGTGGGTATAGGTTGGCCGTGTGGTTGAGCTGGAGGTTGCACCTCAAGACTCGGCCATGTGGCTCAAGCGAGCGAGCAATTCGCCAGGTAGGCAACGCAGCTTGAGACAACGTACGTAAGCGCCTTTCTCGGCTTCAAACATGGTTGGGTAGTTTTTGGCTGCGTTCTGGAAGGCGGAGATCTGCCGAATGACCTCGGCGATGTTGCGGAACTTGAGCACGTTGATGAGCGGCTCGAGGACCACACCCGGAGGCAGTGGAGCCAGACCGTCGAATGCGTTTGCATCAACAGGATGAATGCGGACGTTGCCGTCTTGGGCGTAGGTCGTCGTCGTAGCGGCCATCGTAGGCGATGTCGGGTCTAAAAAGGTCGGCATGGCATCGTACTGCATCAGGTCCGAGACAAACAGGCCGAAGAAGGGAACGCAGCTTCGGGCTGATCCGGTCTTGCTGGTCTCTGCGACCATTGGCGTGGAGCTGAAGTCGGCGGGACCGCTGCCTCCGGCGGAGGACTCGACCAGCTTCAACATGGCATTGCGGAGGTGGTGGAAATTGTGACGAGGTCCGACGAACGAGTTGAGATCCCGCCACATGCGCATCTCAAAGTAGCCCACTCGATTCCACGTACGGCGGAGCCGTTCCACCCACGGTGTGCTGAGGCCAAAGATGATCTGGGCGAGCGAGGCAAAGTTGGAATGCAAGTAGCACTTCCAGGCTATACGGATCAGCTTGGAGATGACCGCTGCTCGCTCGTCGATGTTCTGCGTCAGGACGACCTCGCTGGCGACCCAGTTCGACGTGAGATTGAAGCGAGCGACGATGGCTTCTACCGCGCGTTCCTGATGCACCTCGCCGAGGCGCTGCGCCTCGAGCCGATCGCGCACCCTATCGCGGTAGAAGGCTTCCCAGTCGGTGACTTCGGCGCCAAAGCGACGCTCGCGCCACCGCGACGAAGCCAGTTCGTCCCACGAGACGGAACGCAGCAGTTCGGCTTCGATCAAACACATCTGCCTGGCCACCGAGCCAGATCCGTAAGACAGGAGGAACGAGCGATGGATAGGAAGCGTATTTGACAGGCCGCTTTTCGGCGACGGAAGCAGATTGATGGCTCGCTGCGGGACGTTCGTGCGGGATGCAGGCTGCCCGACTACATCGGCTACTGCCAGAGCATTGAGATCTTCGGTGAAGTGTCGTTGCGCTCCAGACGTAGGGTCGTCAGCAAGACGCTCCTCGCCTTGCGCTCCAGATTCTGACGTGCTGACGCTGTCTCGAAGATCCAAGAACGATGATTGGGCACCGAGCTCCTTGGGCTGCACGGTGGATGGATGAGGTCGCGTCGCGTCAAGTGGCGTATCGCTCGATGAGTCGCACGGATGGACAGACGCGTTGGAGATCTCGTCTTCTGCGTCAGCGAGCGATCCTCCCGTGAGAGAAGACGACAGCGTGCGATCGCCCTTGGAGTGAAGCGACGACTCGCTGTTACGTTTGTCAGTAACATTGCCGCGATCCTCCACCTTGGCGTTCCTAGCCATGGAACGCTGCCAGAGACGTTCGACCCGGTTGGCTTTTTGCTTTTGCCGGTCTTCATCGATGATACCCTCTAGTCGACGCAGAGCTGCCTCGACATCACCCGGCTCCTCGTCATCGCTTTCAATGTCGTCCAAGCGGAAACCTTTGACCAGCTCGTAGCCCTGCAGCGCCTCATCGGGGTCCAGCATCTCTGACTGCACCGTGGTGATCACCGGCAGGGCTGGCTGCAACGCTTGTGGCAGAGCTCCGAGGTGTTCGGAGCCGAGAAAAGCGCTGTCGACGCTGAGGCCGCGAGCGTGCCCCATGCCGAAAGAGCCCACGTGAAAGTGACGCGTGGAGCCGGCATGTCGGAACATCGAAGAGGCCATTGAATCGACACTGTCGCGTCCAGGTGCCGATGACTGCGGCTCAAGATCCCGGATGGTGTTGGCTTGGCGCAAATCTCTGGCTCCCGGAAGGCGACGCAGCGCTTTGCGCACAGCAAAGTCGTCCTCGTCGCTGGAAAGATCGATGTCGTCGATTTGAACGATACGCGGGGCGCCGTTGCTCAGGAGCGAGTCTCGGGTCGATTGGCGCCGCTGCACGTTAGTTCCAGCAACGCTGGCGATTCCAACCGAATCACGTCCGACAGGCATGCGCGACACTGATCGGAGTGTTTGTTCGCTAGCGGCGTGATGAAGACACTCTTCGACTTTGGGCCTCACGTGAGCAAGCGAGGCGAGGTGCTGAATGCTGGCCGGGTTAAGACCAAAGAGGTCCTGACCAGGCGCAGCCAGGGAGCTTTCGCCCCCGTGCTGCTCAGAGGTCTCTATGTCGATGCCAAGACCTTGACGAGCACCGTCATCGTGCGAAGCATGCTTGTCCGAGAGGCGGGCCAGGTCAATAGAACTGGCTGGTGTGGAACGGTTAGTGGAAGCGCCTACCAGGCTGGGCGTCTCCTCTTGACCTGTGCTGTCCTCAGACGCTTGACTCGCTGGACCTTCGTCTTGCTCTTCGTCGACCTCGTCGGTACGGGAAAGAGGTCGTTGACGAACCGGTTTCGTATCGCGAGAAGAAAGCAGAGACTGTCTCCGGGATTGCTCGGCGGCAAAGAATTGCAAGAGCCTGTCGAGCCCACCTTTTGAGAACAGAAGGTCGCCACACTCCTCGGCTTCAGCGTCAACATCATGGTTGCTGTTCATGCCCAAGCCGCGGCTACCGAGCGCCCTCTTCAGCTTGGAGATGCGACTCGCAGTCTGTGCAAAAGCACGGGACAGTGCACTGGCGCCATGAGGCATCGAAGATGGCAGCAGAGATGGACTAGGGGCTGAAGGCGTGGAACGCGTAAGATGGGTTGGCACAGGTGCAAGGGTGTGTCGGTGCGAGACGAGCACCGACTCTGCAGCGGCCTTCTGTGCGGCGGCCCGCGTGGCGTCGGAAAGGTCGGCTCGAGTAGCTTGTGGAGACGAGGGCTGACTCCGTCCGGACAGCGGAGACTTGGTGTGAGGAGCATCGTGAGAGCTGGGATCTTCGGCAAAATCGAGGTTGACATCCTCGGCGATGGAGGGCATGGACCCCGAGCTACTCATGCGATGCTCTCCGCTCGATGCGGGACTCGACGTTGCGGCGATGCTGGACTCGGAGTCGTGTGAGCTCGATCCAAGAGTGGAAAGGCTGTTGGTCCTGGGATGCGAAGTAGGGCTGTCGGCGAGGCGGCCAGCATCATTGAAAAGGAGGCCGCCCACGCCCGATTGCGAGTAGGTCTCCTTGAGGGCTCTGACGACCTTGCGCAAGCTGTTGATGATGTTCAGATCTGCGGGACGCGTGGCGATTCGTGCATCCTTGGCCATAGTGTTGAGCCACGTAGCAAGTCGCTGCCGCAAAGCGCGGCTGGGAAGAAAGTCAAAGTCGAAATGGTGCTGCAGCCAGTGCTTGATGACGACGTAGGTGCGCACACGCACTATGCGGCGACGTGCTTCGTCTGCGGCAGAACTGGGTTCAGAGACAGCCCATTCGAAGCGTAGGATGAGCAGCTCGAGCAGATTCATCGGAGACATAAAAGCACGAAACGTGTAGAAAAAGTCGCTGCGCAGATCGAGATCGATTTCGGCGGTCAGTTCTGCCACCAGACGTGCGGCAGATGCAGCGAGCAAGACCGCTTTTCCGCTTGGCGGGGATCTTTGCGAGACGTCCGCCGTCCTTTCCGAGGCGGGACTAGAAGTGGAAGCGCTTCTGGGAGAGGCGGCAGTTGTAAAGTAATCATCACCGAACGGCAGGCGGCTTCTCCGTTTAGGCCGCTTGTTTGTGAGCTCCGGAGAGTCGCTCATCGAGGAGGCAAGCTCTGAGTTTGGGCGATCGTCGGTCTGACCAGCTCGGTTGCTGATCACGAAAGTGCCGTCGTTCCTGTCGCTCCTGACGGCCCACACAGCAAATCGCGGATCATCCCCGGGCGCTGCCGAGGTTTGCAACGATTGTGCCTGCGCGTTGATGGCGGTGGAATATGTCAGGTCTGCGATGCCCGAGGCGGGGATGGACGCAGAAATGTCGGAACCAGCATCAACCGTCAGCTGGTGTTGTGACGGTGCCGGCGAAGGTCGACGATAGCACTGAATCACGTCGAAGACGAGCGTTCTGGGAGGCGCTGTGATGCTGCTGTTAGGTTCCTCGGGCAATAAAGGATGCAGCTCGGCTGGAAAGCTGTCGATCCGCAGGTCGTAGTCGTCTCTGCCACGGGCTGTTGCATCTGATGCATTCGATTCAAATGACTGAGCCTCTCTGAGTTGATTGGAACGCGGCTGCTTGGCGAGACGCATGTCGAAGCTGCCTTCTGGAAGACGCACGTCTGGGAGCGGGTTCGAACGAAGCGAGGGGTCTTGTGAGGGCTCGAACGAGCTGCTGGACGATCTGCGAGGATGCGACCGGGATGAAGTATCGGCGTGCGCACTGGACCACAGGTCAGCCTGACCGAGTCCGAGCACAGCGCCGAGCACGTCGCCTTCTTGAATGTGGTCCGGAGCCTGGCGATTCGCGTAGGTACCACTGACAGGGGTGCTGCCAGCACGAGCCATGCTGATGCTGTGACCAACAGCTCCTCGCTTTGTTTGAGACTGGCCGTCTCGCTGGTGGTGATCGGAAGCGGAACGCGATGCGGGGACAAGGGGCAAGGCGGGAGCAGGCAAGTGGGTGTGACTGAGCAAATTGTCGGCTAGTGTCGAGTTTGGAGGAGGAGGAGGTGCACCGCTAGACGAGCTCGCAGCTGGATTCGGAGAGAAGGCGGGGGCAAGGTTGGATGAAGCTTTGCGACGCAGAACGGGTATAGATCTGGAATGCTTCAGACTGAGATTGCCAGTCTTGCGCAAGAGCGTGTTGGCCAGATTCATCTTCGGAACGGGCTGATGAGCGTCGGGTGACTCGGGAGGCGGCCGTGTGAAAATGGCGCCGGATGAGCTGGATCGGGGCATCCCTTGGTGCTGTGACATTGCAGAAGGTTGAGCATCGGACTGACCGAGACCTGATTGACGGGAGCGGAAGCGAAAGATGACGCGACCTGTGTCGAGGCGCGTCGCCGTGATGTGATACGGCGTATCTGAGCCAAAGTCGTGGTCCTCAGCATGTTCTGCGGGTTGTGCGGTGACAGCATCGCGCGCAGCTTCCAGCAGCCTGAGGGAGAGTTGGTGCTGCACTGCGAAGATTTTGACTGCATTCCAATTGGTGGTTTCGACATCGACAGGGGACACGGTGGAGCTGATAGAGGTCATTGGTATTGCCGACGGCCCAGCGATGGATGCTTCCGTCATCGTGCGAAGATCGGAGGATGTGAGAGCCGCAGACGCAGGACGGCTAAGGTCGAGAGAGAAGCAAGCTAGATGAAGCCGCAGACTCGCAGAGAGCCGATGAGGACTGGGCTGCTCTGAGATACGAAAATCTAGTAGCGCGTGGGGATGCCGTCATTCCATCATCATCTTACTTATTGAGAGGTAGCTGGATTGAGATGAACAGGAAAAGAAGCGCCAAAGGAAGAGGTATCGAAGTGAGGAGTCGGTGGTCGTGACAGGTCGTACAGAGGTGCAATGGGCGATAAAGGTGGCTCGATTGTATCGGCAGACGCAGTTGAGGTGGGACAGACGTGTACAAGAACGAAAGAGAAGGTTGAGAGGACGAAATGAGGTGGATGAGAAGGACGGTTGAATGGTCTCGAGGACAAGAAAGAGTGTGCAAGAAGCCCAACGAGCTGTCTACAGTAGCCTGGACACGCAAAAGATCCCGAAACGTGAATCGACGAGGGAGGCGTGCCGTACAGCCAAATCGCCCTGGAGAGGCACAACGCGAGCGGGCCTGCGGAGCGGCAGTCTAAATTCTGTTTAGCTCTTAAAGGGGTATTTGGCTTGAATTCAGCTGGAGAGAGCTTCGTGAGACAGGTGCGCCAAAACTGTTAGCCGAAGAGACATAGGCCAAGTGCCGCAAACTTTCGCGCTGTCTTGAGGGACAACACAATTGCGCCCGCCTCGGAGCGCTTCGCCCATGAATCGGACGCAGCGAAGTGATTTGCGTGCATGAGAAGAGAACATGCTCTTGGAGCACACGCAACATGAGGAGCGCGTTCGGATTCAGCCACCTCCTGCCGATCCGAGATTCCAAGAGACGACTCACGACTCTTTTACGCATGTCTCTGGGATGGCAAAAGATGCGCTCAGACCTTGCCAACTTAGCGGGAGCTGGCATTCGTCTTTAGAGGAATTCAACACAGTACAAACACCGCAAATGCACAATTGAACCTGTTCCAGACAGCTGACCAAGGCCATTGCTCTGAAAGGTTGCGCGATCATGCGTCCCATGCGCAGGCTTCCCTGTGCCCACAACTTGGCTCATTATAGTCTCCAACTTAGTTCAAGGCGTTGCGGAACGGGGTGCATTGGCACTTTCGCTTCAAGCCAGGAATAAGCAGCATGACGATTGAAACACGAGTTGCAAAAGAGTACATATATGGAGGGCGAAGAGCCGGAATCAACACGAGCACGAGGGTTCAATGAGCAGCGGCACGGTTTGAGACTGGTACCGTTGTAAAGGAGGAAGGATCGTTCCAAACGAACTGCAGCGACCGGAGACGTATGGCGTCGGCATTTGTACAGCCTCGAAGCGCCGACTGATGCAAAAATGACGCTACGACAGCGATGAGATACAGAGTCAACGCTGGGCTTTTATCAAGCACGTTCTGAAGGTGCGAGCGACGACCGTTGCGTTTGCAAGCACATGCTGAACGCTCCAAGTGCTCCAAGACAGACCACCAAGCCGACCTCGATTGACAAGCGTAACAGAATCCTTTGGCAAAAGAGAGTAGTGCATGCGCATTCACATGGCGAGCTCCGCCTGCAGCGCACGTAGCTCGGCATCGTCGTCGTCTTCCACCACGGCTTGCTTGCGCTCCGGACCGTTCGAGATGCGCGAAGGCCCTGCCGATGTGGCAACAGCAGGTGTGTGCAGAGGCACCGAGTCGGCACCCACAAGCCTCTCATTGAGCTCGTCTTGCTCGAGCTCTTCGAGCTCGTTCTTGAGCTCGTCTTCGTCAATGTCGTGGCCCATGCCCACGGGGTTGGAGATAGCGTCCGAGATCTCGTTGGTGAGATCCATCTGTTCGCGGATGGAGTCCATGGTCGAGTCGACCTTATCGATGTTGAGACTGCCGTGAATCGTCTTGAGGGCGTCGGCACCTTTGCGCATGGCTGTCATGGTCTCGAGGTTCATGTTGGCGCTCTCGATGGCGTTGACCTGCGTCTCGAGCGTCATCCTGGTCCCTGCGATTCGATCCAGCTCATTCTCGTATGCCTTCTTCTGCCGCAATGCCGCTTGCGCCGCTCGCTTGTTGGTTGTGACATTGGCCTTGGCCTTTTTGAGCTCGTCATCGATCTTTTTGTTGAGATGCTCCTCCTTCTTCTCGAGCATGAGCAGCTGCTGCCGCAGCCCGACTATCGCATCTCTCGCCGAGTTCTTGTTGTCCTTCTTGCCGAACCAGCTGCTCCAGCTCGACATGTTGGCGCTTGTGTAGATGGAAGGGACCTGGGTGGACGAGGTGCGTGTGCAAAGGTTACGAGAGGACGAAGGAAAAGGTCTATGACTGCGCCTTCCTTTGTCGAAACTGCCGGATGTCTTTCGAGAAGATGAACTGCGACGATGAAGGATGCGAGTACCGCCGCGATGCGTTGCCGTGGATGGATTGGAGGTACGCGCAGATAAGGATTTCGTGAAGTGAACGATCGGAGCTAATTGCGCGCTGCGTTGAGATTGAGAGAGCGGAAGGAAAGATAGGGCTCGACCGCGAAGTCGTAGTTGTTGAGGATTCGACGGCTGATCAGGTGAGGACAGTGATCGAAGGGGAGGTGATAAAAGAGAAACACAGATCGCTGTCGTTGATGTTGTGGAGAAGGAGACAAAAGGCTGTGTGGACTCAGTAAGTTATCCGCTGCAATCACGACTCTGGTGCTCGACCCTTTGCCAGCCTGTTAGCCGATCTGTCGAGACTCAACGCGGAAAAATAAGTCGAGGCCATTCACAAATCGAGTCTCTACGGTATACGTGTTTGAGCTGAGCCGTGCCTGTGCTGCGCGTAGTTGTGGAGGAAAGACGGCGCCTCAGCCTCGGGTTGTGACGCGCAGGATATTTCACGCACACGCACGATGATGCTGGCTCTGCCTCATTGAATTTTCATGAATGTAAGATTTTCATCCTTGACAGTTATGGTTTGTCCGGCTTTCAGAACGGCGTTGTTCGGCGTCACCGACAAGCGGCCTCCATCTCGACAAGCAGCGATGCAGCTCAGCAATCCTCATCTCCTGCTCATTCGGATGTTTCCGTACTGCACGTTCCCAACGCAACCTCTGATAGTCTCTGTGAAGCCGCTCGACGGCTCAGAGTTCGAGTCACGACGTCACGACGCCTCAACCATAAAAGCAACGGGCTTGCGATGCGGCATCGGCAGCACGGTTATTAACAGCCATGATCCTCCAACGTTCATCGCGTGCAGCGATAAGACGGGCACCGCTGCTGCATCGTAGTCTTGCGACCGAAGCGGTCCGCCCCCTGATCGCCTCTCTTCCACCGCGGTCTCGATTTCCACCCAAGCAGCCCGAGCTCGTGGTCGACCATCTTATCGTCGGAGGAGGCGTTGTCGGCCTCTCGATCGCATCGGCCCTTGCTGCGCGCTGGCCAGAAAAGACCACCTACCTCGTCGAGCGAAACAAGTCTTTCGGTGAAGAGACAAGCTCACGCAATAGCGAGGTCATCCATGCGGGCCTCTACTACCCGCCAGATTCGCTCAAGACCCGCTTGTGCCTGCGCGGCCGCGAGCTCATGTATCAGCGGTGTCAAGAGCAATCCATACCGCACAAGCAGACCAAAAAGCTCGTCGTTGGAGCCAACTTCTCCAAAGCCTACCTCGAAAAGCTTCAGTCCCATTGCGACGCTCTTGGACCCCTCGCACCGCCAACCAGACTGATCACGGGTCAAGAAGCACGAGAGCTCGAGCCGCATCTCTCTGACAACATTGCCTGGGCGCTGCTGTCGGAGCGCACCGGCATCGTCAGCAGTCACGAACTCATGGCAAATCTCGAAAAAGAAATACTCGATGCCGAGAACGCCGAGATCGTCTACGATACCAAAGTCGTTCGCGTCGACCCCAATCAGCCCGACCGCAGCGCCGTCAACTCGAAGCGTGGTTCTGACGGATCGCAGGACGGCTGGATCGTGCAGACGCTCACCTCTGATTCCGGCGACTCTTCTGCTGCTGATGCAGATGCCTTGCTCGCCAAAGTGGTCATCAACACGTCCGGTCTCAATGCACCTATGGTCCTCAACTCGTTGCTCTCTGAGCTCGGCGGGCCCGAACAGGACGCCATCCCCATGTGGCACTCCAAGGGCAACTACGCTTCGTACAAGGGACCAGGAGCTAACGGCATCAAGCACCTCATCTACCCTTGTCCAGATACCCGCAACAAAGGCACACACGCCCACACATCGCTCGGCACGCATCTCACCCTCGACCTCGATGGCAACATCCGTTTCGGTCCCGATACTGAGTGGATCTCGCCACCATCTTCCAACTCACCGGAAGCGATCGACTTTTGGAAACGAGCGCTCGTCGTCGACGATGCCCGTATCGAGAGCATGTACGCCTCCATCACGGAATACCTGCCGAACATCGACAAGACCGGCCTGGCACCCGACTACGCCGGTATCCGACCGAAGCTCATCGGTCCGGAGACGAAAGCGTTCATGGACTTCCAGTTCCTCTGGCACAACTCGAACGATCTCGGTGCGCAGAGGTTGTGGCAGCGAGCTCCGGGTCTACCCAAGCCTAGCAGCAGCTGCATCTCGCCCGCCAAGGACAGCGTGGACAAGGTAGAAGGCGGTGCGATGATCAGCTTGCTCGGCATCGAGAGTCCAGGATTGACGTCGAGTCTGGCCATCGGCGAGATGGTCAGGGACATGGTGGCACAGCATTTCTATGGTCAGCACCCTACACGCGCAGAGAGCAAGAACAAGGGCGCCAGGAACGAGGACAATGCGCACCGTGTTGACGCCTGGGCATAGAATTCAACCACATCGGCCACCAACTTCTGTTGAATGCGTGAGATCAGTCTCGAAACGTCCGTGTCTTGCCGAAGTGATGCAAAGATAAAGGCTGAATGTTACATTGCTTTTGGGGCAAGACTGCGGGAGAAAAGTACAATGAATGATGTCTCAAGCAGACAGAGGTCGAGATAGCTCTGAATGTAGTAGCTGTAGTCTGACAGCGGGGATCCTTGCGAGTGACGGCGATAGCAGCGATCCAAACGCTGCGCGGCGTACGATCAAAAGGGGGGCAGTGTGAGCCGTCTCATCTTGCCAACTTACTCCAGCTCGACGGTACCACCCGCAGCCTCGATAGCCGCCTTCAACTTGTCCGCATCCTCCTTGTTCAACCCCTCCTTGAGCACCTGTGGTGTCGACTCTACGAACTTCTTTGCCTCGACGAGATTCATGGTGGTGTTGACGGCCTTGACCTCCCTGATGACCTTGGCTTTGGCGGTGGGATCCTTCAGACCGGTGAGCTTGAGTGTAAAGACGGTCTTTTCCTTGGGCTTTGCTGCTTCCTCCTCTGGCTCTGCTGCACCTGCGGCGGCTGCTGGTGCAGCAGCAGAGGCCGAGGCTGCGGGCATGGCGATTTCCGTGATGTTCAGTCGAGTCTTGAGATGCGATACCAAGTCTGCTGCTTCGAGGAGCGTGAGCTTTTCAATCTGGTCGACGATGGTGGAGATCTTGGCATCTACGGGTGCAGGTGCGTTTCGGACAAGGCCGGTGGTGGCGAAGGATCGCATGGCAGTCGATGTGATGCGACGCGTGCTGGATCGCACGACGGTGCGTGAGGAGGAGGCAACTGCGCTTCCGATTGACGACAACATGCTGAGACAGGTGCTCTTCGCGGGCGGACCGTTGCGATTGAGGTGTAGAGATGTAGGTGCAAAGCCGACGTAATGACAAACGATGATGCTGTCGATGAGGATGGAGGTGACGGTGAACTTCTTGGTCGGCTCTCGTGTGGTCAAGGCCTTACGAGACCACAAAAAGCATCGCTCAGAGTCGGGTCGAGCAGAGATTATTTTCTTCTTGGCTGGCCACCTTGTGTCCGACATTTTCTTCTGGAGCTGGTCACGCACCCTCGTCAAACAATTTTCTCGCACGAAATTGCACACGATATTTATCCTGAAGCATGCCGTCTCCCCATTCCCACCGCCTCAAGAAAACTCAACGTTCGGGACACTCAACAAACATCACAGGCGACAACGAGCAAGACTAGGGGTGGAGGAACTTGCATTTCGTTCCAGCACAGCGAGAACGACCACCGGTCGAACTCGGGACACGGAAAGGGAAGGGGATTGAGACGAGATCTGGGGAAAACCAGGTCAGGCAGCGACGCCGACTGCGCGAGCCGCAGGCGGAGCAGCAACACTCGGGCCACGAGCGGCGAAGCCGTTGGCACGGATGTTGGCCTTGAGCTCGTTCAAGCCGAGCAGCTTGTCGGTCCAAAGAGGGTTCTCCCGGGCCGTCTGCTCAGAAGCCTTGAACAGGTCGGCGAGCGCATCCTCTCCTTCGGGTGCGGCACGCAGATCGTCGACGGTGCGCAGGCCAAGCTCCTTCCAGATCTGCGTGAGGGCGTAGACGAGGTGATCGACGTCGGCAGAGGTGTGTCCAGGAGTAGGCGTCACGCGCAGCCTCTCGAGACCGCGGGCGACGGTGGGGAAGTTGATGGGTTGCACGTAGCAACCGTACTCCTCGAGCAGCATGTCGGAAGCGGCCTTGGCTTTGGCGGCATCACCAACGAGCACAGGAACAATGTGCGAAGGATTGTGCTGGAGCGGAATGCCAGCGGCGATGAGCTTGTCCTTGGTCTCGCGCGTACGCACCTGCTGCAGGATGCGCGAGTCGTTGGACTCCATCAGCACCTGGATGGCAGTATTGGCACCGGTGAGCACGGCAGGAGGGAGCGTCGTAGAAAAGATGAACTGAGGAGCAAAGCAGCGAATCAGATCCACAAAGCGGTTCGAGCCGGCAATGTACCCGCCGACGTTACCGTAAGCTTTGCCGAGAGTACCGGTGATGATGTCGATGCGATCCATGATGCTACCCTTGAGCAGACCAGGCTTGTCACCCTGAGCCACCTGCGCATCCCAGTCGAGGTGCTCGGCGACACCGGCGCCGCGAGGGCCGTACATGCCGACCGCGTGCACCTCGTCAAGGAAGGTGATGGCTCCGTACTTTTCAGCCAGCTCGATCGTCTTCTCGATGGGGCCGACGGTTCCGCACATGGAGTAAACAGATTCGAAGGCGATGATCTTGGGCACGTCTACGGGGATGGCCTGCAGCTTGGCCTCGAGGTCAGCCATATCGTTGTGCTTGTAGATGACCTTCTTGGCACCCGAATGCTTGATGCCTTGGATCATCGAGGCGTGGTTGCTCGAGTCGGAGAGGATGACGCAGTTGGGCAGCTTGGAGCCGAGGATGGTAAGCGTGGCATCGTTGGCGGCATAGCACGAGCCAAACACGAGCGCCGCATCCTTGCGGTGGAGCTGTGCCAGCGTCTGCTCGATGGTCTCGACGTGACGGTTGTGACCAGCGATGTTACGGGTGCCACCAGCGCCGGCGCCGTACTTGTCGAGCGTATCCTTCATGGCCTCGAGCACAGCGGGGTGACGGCTCATGTTCTGGTAGTCGTTGGCACACCAGACGGTGATCTCGTCGGCCTCGGCAGAGAGATGACCTTTGGGAGCCTTGCCGGCAAGGCGATTGATGTTGTTGAAGTAGCGGTACGACTTGTCGGCATGCTTGGCCTGGAGCTGATCGTGATAGAACTTTTCGTAATGGAAGCCAGGTCGGTCGTAGGCTTCGGGCTCGGGGTGAACACCCAAACCGGAACCGGGGGTGCGCACCTGCTTGTTCTTGATGCTCTTTCTGCGCTGGTGCTGGGGCAGCGAGTCGGTGGCAGCAGCAGCGGCGGCCACTTCGGCGAGCTTGCGGGCGTGAGGGCACTTTTCGGCGTTGGCCTGGTCGGCGAGGCTGATGCCCTCCTTGGCGTGGAGACGCTCGATGTCGTCCGGCTGAGCGACAGAGGCGCGGGTAGCCTCGGAGCGCGAAACGTACGATCGTACCTGCTGAGCGGCGCCACCATTCATATGGTTGGAGAAGGGACAGCCCGAAGCGGCGGCGGCGACGGCAGCAAAAGTGGGACGAGCAGCGTTGGCGAAGAAGGAGCTGCCCGAGGCGCCAAAGGTGGGTGCAGAGGCGTTGGCAGCGACACCGCTGGTCTGCTCAGCCTGGATGGTGAGGCTCTGGCTCATGACGGGGCACTGCTGAGCCTGGGAGATGAGGCGAGTGGGGCCTCCGGGATGCACGACGGTGGTCGACATCTGTCGAAGCTGAGGCATCGAGACACGGCCCATGTACGGGCAAGCCTGTCGGATTTGCCTCAGAGGGCACAAGGTTCGATCCATGGTCAGAATCGAGATAGAGATGGTGAGATGGTAGTTGGCTGTAGGGAAGCGACGAGATCTGCTAGGATTGGGCAGATCCAGATGGACAGGTGAGGAGGGGGAGAAGGAAAGGATGCAGTCGCCACGTCTCCAGAATGGTCTGTACGAGAGACTTTCCGTCGAAAAGGCAAGGCGCCGCCAACGGAGAGCGGACAAACGCAAAATGTCGGATTGGCCGATGGCGAAGCCGTCAGGGTAATTGCCGTGATTTGCTCAAAGGCTTTAGGAGGCACCAAGGCGGTATGCAGGTGTGTTTTCTTCTCATTCGGGTCAGGTCCGACATGCTCATACATTTGTGTCGGTTGCCGCCGCTCGCTAAAAATGTCGCCTTCTCATGGCGGGGCAGAGCTAAGCATTCCAAACAGGCGAGATTGTTTTACCGGCAATCGATATTTCGCCTTGTGCCATTGCGTTTGGGACGAAAAATCTTTGCAGCATCCGAGTCAGTCGAAGGCGGCGAAGCGCCACCACTGTTTATTGGCATTATTTATTTTATTTTGGCGCCCACATATGCCCGTAGGCTGCCTTCCTCGTGACACGAATCCCCTCATGTCGTCTTAGGCAAGCCGCCGCTTCGTTCGTCGCTCTTCGGGAAGTGATCTACAGCCGCTTGTGATGGGAAAGATTTGCCTTCCGCAAGCAGCTGTGCACATGAGCCCACTCTTTGACTTGCTTCTCCGCATAATGCGCTAGTCCGCTCCCTGACTAGTCTGCCAAGCCAGCCACGTCGACACTTTGAACTGGTCTCGTGTGAAGGAGCGCGTTGCTGCAGACAACCACGCTTTGGCGAAGTAGGCTCAGTTGGCGAATTGGTTTTGGATCGCTCGTGATTGGCTCCTGAGCCTCTGGCCTCTACCCGCCAAATTTCAGATTACGTACGAGTTGCCGACGACGAATTTTGGTGTAAGAGAACTTCGTTGGTCTAACAAAGCCAAGAATTTTCATGATACCTTTGTTCTTGTTGACTCAATCGGTACCCTGTGCGACGGCACTGGTGTACACACACACATACGGCTATGCGGATGACTTTTGTAGATTCCAGCGAGCTCAAATAGAGAGTGGTGTATATAAGCGAGTGAGGAGCTTCATGCGAGGCGGCAACGATGATGTCGTACCTTGCAAAGCCAGACTCCAGGACGGGATCTTTTCGGCCGTGGTTTAAGCTTCACCAGCCTCCTTGGGCTTCGAGATCACCTGAATACCACCTGTTATACGTCACACCATATCACGGCGGAAAATAGAGGTCAATTGGTTTACAGTCAGTGTCAGCCAGCTACTGCGACCGCAATCACTGGGTCGTAAACATCCATGTACTTACGGTGCAGCGCGAGCAGCGTATCCTTAGCAGGCAGCTCTCCCTCGGCGGGCGTCCTCTCGATCCTGAACTCGGCATCGACCAACACGCGGTAGCCCTTCTTGATGTTCTTCATCCTGTCCACACCGCGTTCGCCGAACACGTAGAACCTGTGGTAGCTTGTGGTCGTAGGAGCACGTTCGCCATCCTCAGCAGGGCCGGTAGGAGGATCCGAGGTGGCGACGGTGTAGCGCACGTAATCCTTGCCGTTCTTGGTCGACTTGAGTTCCGGGTCGGCGGCCAGGCGGCCGAGCACCTGCATCCGCGCCAGATCGTTGCGAACGGCCGAGGTCGAGAGCATGCGGGCTCCCGAGATCAGAGATTGCCTTGTCGAGTTGATTGCCAACATCTTCGTAATTAGTTGCTGTGTGGGGGATGTAGTGTTGCGATAGGTCGTGTGGGTGGATGTAAGAGAAGATCAACACATTCTGTGCTTTGGCGAACGCTAAGAAAGGGTTCACCTTTTCGAGGGAATTTGACCCTCCTCGCCCGGCACATCGGACCCTGAGAAGAAAGGGGGCAGACCGCTAACTTGGGAAGGAAGGAGATTATATATGTTCATCTCTTGCTGCGCATTGCTCCTCGCTGCCCCAGCATAGTTCAACATAGCTCAGCATAGCTGTGTTAGCCAGCCGTTGACTCAGCCAGGCTGTTGAGACGATGAAGCATGGAGGTGCCAAAGCAGAGGTCGCTGGCTCCATGCTATCTCAGTTGAATCAGCATCAGGTAGGTCCGTTCGCGTGAGATGACTGATAGTGCTCAATTTGGCGGACGCTGAAAACGCGTCCGCCCAAACGCGGCAGGCTGGAAGAGGTCCGCGCGCGCACAGTAGTGCCTGTAGAGGCTGTAATCAACCTCGACTTGCCAGACGCGTCGCTTTTGAAGATGCGATCTTGCCCTGATCAGCAGAAGAAACTTCCGCTCTCATTCGTAGACTCACTTCGTCGAGCATCAAGCCACCTTGTTGACCTCGCAGCTCAAATAGTACCACTGCTGAAGCTTCACACAGCGCCGTTTTGCAACGAACCTGCATAGCACGCGTATAACATTGCACCATCTGCGAATGACAAATGGCAGCTGGCAATCAAAAGGCAACTGTTCAGCGCGAGAAACGAGTGTACAAAATGAGGGTGCATGCAGTGCAGGGGTGGCTGCTCGAACCAAGCGGGCAGAACTACCACCAGACATCGGGAGCATCAGCATCCTCCAGATCATTGGGTCTCCTTGGGCGAGGAGGCAGTCGTGGTTCGGACCCTCCCGCTGGCTTCGAGACCAGTGTACGTGCGTCAGCCCCAACTGTGACGCTAGGCCCGTTGGTGGAACCGATATTCGGAAGTTCAGCGGACGACATCCAAGGGCTCTGTCCCTGCTGCTGCTGCTGCTGACCGTGGTCCATGTCGAGCCAGTCAACATCACCATCCAATCCGTCATCGTTTCCCAGCGATTCGTCTTCATCTTCTATGGGGAACCGCCCAGCGCTGCGTGCGAAGTGTTGCTGGTACTGACGCTCACGCTCGTCGAGTGCCTCTCTCAGCCTGGCCATCTCGGCCGCTGAGGGTGTATAGCCGGCTGCATATCTTGCCGCATTCGACGAGGCCACTCTCGTTGCTCCCACATTGGGCGATCTTCCATCTTCGGGTGAGAAGGTGACGCCGCTGGATCCAGGAGACAAGGCCTCGCTACCGCCGTTGCCGCCGCTGCTCAGCACCGAGGACGTGTCGAATTGAGACTCCTCTTCAGCAATGTCCGAGAGGCCCTCCGGTCGGAGCGTGTGGTAGTGAGCCAATCCATAAAAGCCCGGGTCCATAGGAATGGCGTCATCGGCATACGCTACAGGAGCGCCGAAGAAAGCGTCGCGATCCAGTTCCTGTGGTGAAGGCGCATCGAGATCGTCGTCGTCGTCGTCATCGTCGTGCGAGTCGTAGCTGCCTTCCTCTTCCCGCACCGCTGAGCCAGGTGAGTCTGGTCGAGAGGGGGGAGCGCTCATATCCGATTCGGCTTCCAGCTCAGCCAGCGAACGACCGCCAACGGAACCACCTAGGCGCTGCGCAGAAGCGTGTCGCGCAGTCGCTGCTGATGATGCACGGCCATGCGACTGTGTCGATGCCGCCCGTTCTTCAGATCGACTGGGCTGAATCCAAGTCGATCCGACGGCTTGGGCCGGACGATGCAAATGCACGGGCTCCATCATCGTGGCGGCGTGTTCGGTACGCTGTGCAGCATCGTGACCGCCCAGCCCGAGGCCAATGCGGTGCACGAGTTCGTCGGGACCAAGGCCCTCGTGCTCCACGTCACTGTCGAGCGGCGTTCCCATACCCGTCGATGGAGTCGGCGTCGGCTGAGTCCACATTGTCTCGTGAGGGTAGACACCTTCAAGACCAAGCTCGTTCTGGTCGCTGGGATCCCAGCCTTCGGAGTCGGTGTAGCTAGAACCGGGGAAAGGATAATCGTTCTCGTCCTCATCGCCACGCGAGATGTCGCTCGGCATGGATCCAGCGGGGGAGACGGCGTTGAGATGCGGAGGAGAATTGGCGGCGGTAGAGAGGTAACGATGTTGGTGATTGTCGGGCAGTTGCACGGCCAACGATGCAACAGGCGACGTCGGCGTGGGCGGAAGCGACGATGCTGGACTGGGTGCAGGCTCTGCGATGAAGCGGGCAATGATCTCGAGCCCTTTCTCGCGCTCGGCTTCAGATCCAGCGAGGTACATTGAGACGAACGGCCAAGCGTGCACGCCGCCCGGTCCGTGCTCGACGGCAGTACACAACCAGTCGACGCCTCGCTCGTCCTCTTCTGGTGGCAGTCTGTGCGGAGATCGCGATGCTGCGCGCCTCTCCTGCAAAGTCTGGCCGCTAGTGTGCATCTGAGGATTCGGAGTTGCTGAGAAGCGAGAGGACGAGTCGAAATCTTGGCCCGGCTTGTCGTCTTCTGGGACATGCAGCTGACTTCGGGTGGACTGCGATTGCCTGATGCGGTCGATCCAGATTTCGATGTCGTCTGCGAGCCGCTCGCGATCTCCCCAGAGCACCAACATGCCGTGCTTTAGCTTGATGCGGCTCCAATCACCAATGGCAGGATTGACCAGCTTGCTATTCTCCAAAAGAGCCTTCGCTTGCTCAAAGTCCGGATCGCCCGAGCCTCGTTTGGCTTTTTCACGCTTAACATCGTCAAGCTGATCGTTCCAGATGGGGATGTAGAGGTCAGCGGTGCTTGCCACGGCATCGGTTTCGCGTTCCTCGGGAGGAAAGATGGGTTCAAGCGGGCCGGCCGTCGTTGAACGAATGTGACGGACTTGGTTGAAGGCGTCTGTTGTCGACCGAGTCCTGGGTGAGAAGGTGGCCGCGGCGGTGTTGGCTCGGTTCAGCAGAGGCTCTGTCAGCATGCTGTGCGCGGCTCGAGCGACTCGTTGCGGAGGCGACAGAAGTGTGCGTAGGATTGCCAGCGGCGCGGTGGCAGTGGGATTTGCCTCCCTATCGATACGAGGACTGTCAGCATCCTGGTCGTCGCCAGCAAGCACTGCACATATATTAGCGACCCATCCCATTGGACCCCTGACCCTGCGTGGGGTCTTGAGAACGCCAGCGTATAGCTGTGCGAAATGCATGAGCGCTTCGGCAGCGACATAGTCCCATTCATGCTGTCCAATTGCTTCGGTCCACGCGGATACGCCAACAGCGTTGGATTCGCGGGGATGGTCCGACCGCGCGTGGGAATCGCCGTCCATCTTTGAGGATGGCTTTTTCGAGGACGCGGCTGCTGATGGAGGAGTAGCGGCGGCAGCTTGTCGCAGAGGAGCAAAGGCCAACGAGCTCGAGGGACGCAGGTCCGCCCACGGGCTGATCAAGATGGCCTTTCCGGGCATTGGGAGCGAACTCCACTCCCTCTCGGCGAGTCTGGCATCGCCGCGAGCCTGCCCATCCAGGCAAAGAAGCATGGCCATGGTGAGGTTGCCACCGGCGCTGTCACCAGCAATGGTGATGCACGCGGGATCGATGCCTTCCACTTCGACGAGATGGGCGTAGCATCTGAGGCACTGCAGCAGGGGACCCGGGAAACGCGAGGTGGGACCGAGGTCGTACTCGACAGCCACACAGCGGGCGTCATTATCGCGATCCTCCATAGCGCAGACCTTGGTCACGATACGAATGAGCGCCTCGGCGTAGAACGCAACCGAGCCGAGCGAGAAGCCACCGCCGTGCAGGTAGAGCAACGTGGAAGCTGATTGGGAAGAGGGATCGGAACGTCGAACTTCGACGGGGACGTGTGCGTCCGCACCAATCCAAAAGGCACGAAAGCCCGGCCGGGTATACATTTGAGATGATTTTGGCTTAGACTTGGACCTGTCGGAAGAAGCCGCGGTGCTAGCCGTACCAGCGGCCTTGCGCAGCGGATCGTTCTTGATCGCGGCACGAGGCAGTGCAGCGGTTGCGGAAGAAGATTCTGGCGAACGCGAGTCGCTTGTGAATTCCCTTACAATGCCGGCTGCCCCTCCGCCGGTCCTCCATCGAACGAGGGGGCCGATGGTCTCTTCGGCGAAAAGGACACGCGGAACGAGATGTGGGAAGCTAGTGCAAGCGAACCTGACGAGGAGCAGCGTCAGGTGGTGGAATGGTGATAGCTGAGCATCTTCTTCGAATGCGTCGTGCGACGTAGTCTCTTCGTCAGAGGAGGAAGCGATTGCCGAGACGGCGGTGGCCGAGGTGTAAGCTGATGCGGGCTCCAGCCGAGTTGCCAGGGACCTGGACTGGCGCGTATGTGATTTGTGGTGTGCGGTCGCGGAAGATGCGGTGAGAGGCTGATACCAACCATACTGGCTGGACGAAGGACGACTGAGCGACCATCGTTGGTAGAAGTCAAAGGGCAACCGTGTGCAGATATATGCGAACGCCTTAAACGCGACATCGACCAATTCGGCGATGCCGCATGTGCGCAAAAGATTGACGGCATAAAAGAAGGCGACGACGATGAGGTCGGAAAAGTACAGTCCACCGAGGAGGGGGCTCTGAGCATTAGAGCGCTTGCGTTTTGGACTCGACTCGTCTCGATAAGGATCGACGGAAGATGTGGTGATATTCGCGCTGCTGTAATGTCCATGCTTGGACCTGCCTTTGACTACGTGTGTCGCATCCAGGTCCGAAGCAAAAGCGGAGCGGCGTAAGGGAGCCAGGCGAGGTGACGAGCGTGAAGAGGAAGAGGAGGAGACAATGTTGGGTTGAAAAAGCTGGTCGCTTCGATCTTTCTGGATATTGGATCTATGTCGGTGAGAGGAAGAGACGGCGCTTTCGATGCTCAGACGCCGCGCTTGTTGGCCTTTTGAGCGAGCCGATCCAGCAGGGGCTTTGCTGCTCGATCTGGCATGATCGGATCTGGCCTGATACGCAGAAGAAGCTTTTAGGGTGGAAGTGGACGAAGCCGGGGATGCGGAGGGTGAGACGGCTCGAGGAGCCGGGGCTGGAGCGGTCTTCGCCTTGCTGACGGCTGGCCGCAGGATATCGAGCATCGTTGGAAGCCAAAAAGGCACGCGGCTTTCGTAAGGTGGTGCTTAGATGCGGATCTCGGTGTCTGCTCCTCCCATCTTTGCTCGGTAGCACGCTGCGTGAAAGAAAGCACGAGCAAGCCGCGATCGGGTCGGGCAAAGATGACCGGTCTTGTCCCAATGCTATCGAAAGGGTTGGTGGTGGCAGCTCGAGCTTGCGTGAGAGTTGATGTTGACGTGACAGGTTCTTGGCGCGACTGTCCAGCCGGTAATGAGGTGAAGTGATAGCAACGGATCGAGTCCGGACGAGAATGGTGGTTTGGGGAGAAGGGCGGAGCCAGACTTTGCTCCAGGAGTCGAGTGTGGACTGGTGTGAGAAAGTGTTGTTTGCGCTTGTCACATTTCAGAAATTGGATAGAGGCTGAGCTGAGCTGGACGTACGCCAAGATGAGCATGTGTTCGTTCTGTCTAGTCTAGCTCAGCTCAGCTGTCAAATGCGAGGGTTTGGCGAGCCGGTGCTGCAGGGACCATCAGATCGCTGTCTTTTGTGGGAACTCCTCGACAGTTCATTTCGGCTGAAAAAGAAAATCACGTCAAAACGTTGCCGTGAAACGGATCTTTTTTATCAATTCACTCCGACGATAGCACGACCCAACCGGTTGGTTCTGCATTTTGGGGTTTGTGGGTTGCGTATCATTACGACCCCACACATATTACGGCAGCATACTCTGCACGGTGTGTGAAATTGTGTAGTAGGTTGCCCGTCGCAAGTCGAGGAAAGCGTACAGCAGCTCGAAGAGAGTGTGCAGTAACCTTAATCCAAGCTTAGCCCACACTCAGAGTCTGCTCGATGCAAGGCCAGCAACCCTGCATCGATCGGTCTCGAGCGTCACTGCATGATCGCTGCCTTTTCACGCTCCAAAAACAGAAAGAGTGGAGGCTGATTTCGACTGATTTTTTCGAAGATGTTGAGCCGCGCTTTTTCATAGAACAGCTTGCTGAAAAAAAAGAACATCTGCTTCGCGCCTGCTCGAACGAAGCGGTAGGGGTGGACGATCGCGATGAAGACGCTCCAAATGACGAGAATCCCTGGACAAGCAAGGCACTATGATCGGAGTGGAACGATGTGTTGACACATTCAGAAGTACAGAATATTGGTAGGCGATCCCATGGAAGGACAGCTTGGTGTTGTGTTGGTCTAGGACCTGGTATAAACAAAGGGGGGTAAACTTAGCATCGATGTCGACAGACATGACCATATAGAGTTACATGTTGCAGCATCATTGAGGCATGGTGAGTCAGATGACGTGTGAAGATACACGGCTCGTGGATTGTTGGTGTTGATCGTCCTTGTCGTCCGTCCCATCCTCGTCGTCTTCGAGCACAAACACGGGCTCAGCCTCACCGACTGGATCGACGTGCTCTGAGACCACTTTAGCCCGCATATGTCTCGGCTCTCGCTCTCCTCCAGCAGTGGTGGCTTCAAGACCAAGAGCATTCGGGACTCGATCCGACATCTGCTCCTCTTCCTGCTGCACCAATGTACGCCTCACCTCGACGCGTACCGCCCAACCTTTGAGCATCATGAGCGTCGTCGTCCAGCAGAACAGCAATGCCACCACAGCTACAGCTACGTTGAGGATAGCCATAAAGTCGCCGTAGCCGCTACGCATCGCTGCAAAAGAGACCTCTTCGCTGCTTAGCATGAACACAAGCCCGCCGCAGCACAGCGAGAACGCAGCCAAGGCTTCGGTAGGCGGACGAGAGGGCAACACCGAGGCCGTCGGCGGTCGAAGCCAGAGCAAAAAGTACGTGAGGCATCGCAGCAGTGCGAATCCAGCAAGAAGCAGACCCCACAAAGAATGGATGTCCACCTCGTACTGGTAGTCCTGGTGGTGGGCAGCCATCGCCACCCCCGTGACCCCGATGACAAGCGCAGGGAATGGGTTGAAAGAGGCAGAGTAGGATGCTGGTTGCGTTTGCGCTTCCACCATAAGCTCCAAGTCGACATCGACTCCATCTTGATGCGCGTTCGCGATACGACGGTGTCGCCTTCGAGCCTCCCGCAAAGAAACTGCGGCCACATGGTTATGTACGATCGGGAACGAGAGCATATCTCTGATCCACTTGGTTTCCAGCAGCATCCCCATTAGACCCGCGAACCAAAACATGACGGCGATCGAAATGTGCTGAATCTGCTTGATGGTATACGGATCGTCTGGAGCAGCGCCGAATCGCTCCATCCACGTATTGCTGGCGCCGTAGATGAAGATGACGAGGCACTCGACAAATTCGGCGCTCGGCATCCTACGACGCCACGTCGCTCGTCCACCGCTGCTGTTCCTGGCTGCCTGTCCACTGGGTCGCTTGTTCCATGCCCATCCACAGTCTGCATAGGCTCCGAGGTAGCGTGCAAAAGTAAGCAGACCGAACCAGAAGAAGATGCCTCCCTTGATGCCGTGGGCCAAGCACACATTCTTGTACCCGCCACGGCACGAACCTGTGTAGACGGCTAGGCCCGCGTACGATGTAGCAAAGGCCAAGACGGGCAACGAACGAGCTGCGACAACACGTGTGTAGCGCATTACCGTGCGAAAGGTGCTCAATCGGCATGAGCGAGACTTGTTGCCCGAAGCAGGCACTGCGGCTGCATCGGCAGGGCCATCTTGCGACCAAGACGTGTGATCACTGTGAGTCTGCTTGTTCCAGAGCGAGATCGTTGTCAGGCTAAGTGGAGGTCGGGACGTCGAATCGCCACCAAAGATAGAGTTGCGCGGTGTGTTGCAGGCAGTGGTGGTGGGCGAAGCGACCATGACGTTGCCATCTTCGCTGAAGTGTGCGTGCCGAGGCTGGCCACCAGCACTGCTGACTGCTGTGCTACCGCTACCGACCCATTGGACAGGTTCGCTATGCACGTTGTCTTGGAAGTGCACTCTATGAGGAGAACCGGATCCAGAGTGAGAACGAGAGCTGCTCGGACTGCGCCTCGATGAGAAGCGGTGTTGCATGTGCTTTTCGATGTCAAGCTCCTGGGCGTGACTTTGTGCTTCCTCGGAAAGCATGGCTTCCTCTTCCAGTGCGTCATAGCTTTCGACGGAACGAGATTGATGCTGGTTTCGACCCAGCATGGTCGCCACGACATCTCTCCAAGACCGGCTCACCCGCATCGAGGCACCACCGTCCGCCTCAAGCCACAACGTTCCCTTTGATCGTTTCTGCGAGCCCATAGCCGTGATTATGGACCAAATCTGACCAGCAAGGCGGAATACGTCGCTACCTAGAGTGATTAGAGAGATCCATAAGATGGCCCAGCCCATCGAGCCGTGTGCATTGTCCGGGTAGAGACGTGGAGTCAGCGCTTTGTACGCGACCGAGACGAGCATGGAGCCTGCAAGAAGGGCGAGGTAGAGAAGGGAGATAAAAGGTGCCAAAGTGGAATGAGCAGCGCGAAGCACGAGAGCCATAGGCAGCAACACGAAGCAGCTGACGACGGCAGTCACAACGTGAAGGATCAAAAGACCCCGATACCGAGATGGTCCCTCGTCATCTGCATCCGGTAGACGAGACGCAATGTCGGCAGCAATCTCCTGTCGTTGCCCTGCATCCTGCTCGTCGAGAAGCTTTCTCCATCGGTCGTCGACTACACCCATCATGGGTTTCCCTGCCAAGATATCCGCGTTGGAGACAAAACGTCGCAGCTGTGCGGCAGAGCCAAGACCATAGGCAGAGTCCCACTCGATGTAGCTGAGCGGGTCCGGACCGTGGGCTCGAAAGAGAAGCGTCTCGTTCAGCTGCTCAAGGACCGGACCAGAGTGTGAGTGGCTGTGGCCCTTGTGTGTGTGCCAAACTGGAAGATCTCGCAGCTCAGAGCCGGCAAGAGTAGCGTCAGGGATTGATGCTGGTGATGGACCGTCAGCAGACACATCCTGATGAGCATGTGCGTGACCGTGATCGTGGCCGTGATGTCCTCCATGCTTGAGACCGTCGCTTGCCGGTTCTGCGTGCTGAACGGACATGGGCATGTCGTGATCCATGCTTTGCTGATGGTCGTCTCCTTCGGCAGCAGCTTCATCTTCGTGGTCTCCATGTCGTGGCAGGATCGAGTCGAAGCTAGTGTGTACCGAGGCCTGTGACCGAACGAGCAATGAATCTGGTGGTTGAACGTGGCCACCCGTTGCTGCCTGAATCGAAGCACTGCTCACGAACGATGCTGTGTAGAGGGTGGCCAGAACTAGAACAGCGAAGAGCGCAGGTGCGCGCGACCCAGACAGCGGTATTGAACGCGATCGAGTCATTTTTAGTGCCGAGTGGCGCAGAGCGTATTGTACACTGGGAGCTTTTACACCTTCGGAAGATATGAGAATCGGCTCGAGTCTAGTGTGACGAGCAGCTGGCGATGTGGGCTCCGAGTGCAGTGGTGCATCCAACCTTTTGCCGGGACCACTGCAAGGACGACCGCGCTGAAAGCTTCGCGGAAGGAAGTCTAAGTTCGAGCGCGGAAAGGTACTGTTGTGGAACAGCCAGCAGGCAAGTAACGATAGCCTTGGATGATGATGATGAGGATGGATGGTACAAGATGGTGTCGATGGGATATGGTTGGATGGGATTGAGATCTGGTCGCTGCTTATGGTGCTGGAAGCCAGGGTCAGGATTTCAGGACCGGAACCAAATTTCCGTGACACAATGACGGCGCTTCAGGGTCTTCTTGTTCTTACATTGCCGTAGCTTTGTGCCATTATAGAGTTGGCTGCCTTGGCTGAGGGTGACACCCGAAGCGGAACGAATCGCGAGCTCGAAAATCGTGCCAAGACCGTGTCGCCTCGTGCCTTCCTTCGCCTTTGCTCTTCGGTCCTCAGCGATGGGTGCACAGAGCCGCACAGAGACGGTTGCCTTCCACGAGCATCGATTGGCCCACGACCTGAAGGAGTCCTCTTGCACAGACCGGACATGCGCGGTGAGCTCGGATGTGACTCCGCGGAAAGAGGAGGCGCAGTCTCGCTTCGGATGAGCTTGCTACGATTAGGGAAGGACCCCACTTCTTGCTTTCTCACTTTCTGTCGCTTGCAGACGTAGGCGAGATCTGTCGATAGATCGTCAAGGCAGCCTGAGTCTGTAGCCGCAAATGTCAGACGGAAAGAGTAAGCAAACATGGGAAGCTGGGCCAAAATTTGCTCAACTGGACAGCCCCTAACGCATCGTGTCATCATTCCGTCGTAGACTCTCTTTATAATAATTTCTTTTTGCCGCTGTGTACAAGGTTCAGACACCTCGGAATCTCGGTGGACTCTGGGCATTCCACCACCTGTGGCACCGAACAAGACCCGTAACGGAAGTGGAGGACAATCGGGATTCACATAAAAGACAAATAAAAAAAACAAAAAGTCTCTTCAGGGCGCTTACCGTACCAAAGTTCCGATCCAATAAGGCACTCAGCCATGATTGCCGGGTCCACACATCTGCTATCTCCGAGCTCGGCGAGAAACGGTCTTCTCTATCGTCCCGCCCATTCGCATCGCTGTCCGAGAAGCGCAGCAGCCTGGGTAGACGGACTGTAGAATCTAGCACGTCCGAAGCAAGCCGGCGAGCTGGCGTCCAAGGCAGTTCGATGGAAGGGACTGGGAGAAATGGCGAATCGGGTTTGCTCGCCCATTTGATACCGAGTTACACGCTGAAAATGCCGGAGCTGCAGCTGTCGTCTCACACGTCGATCTTTGCGGACATCTACCCTCGACTTACACCTGCAAGTAGCAAGATCGGTACCTGCTCTTGGACAGGCTAGCGGGCAAACGTGCGCTCTTCCTCATCTGCGCCGATACACTTGTATGGGACGAGATGCGGTCTCGGAAGCACAGATCGTAACGAGCGCTGACTAAAAAGCAAGATCGTCACCGAAATTTCCGACGACGATCCGACGCAGATACAGTACTTCAATCACCTCGCACACCTGTGCTTTTGCTTCCTAGCAGAACGCAAGGTCAGCTACTGTATGTTCAGGCAACCGAGTTATGAAGACCGCAAATGGTTCGCTGTGGGGGACAAGGTGGCTTCGATCTTTGCAGCGCTACCTGTTCAGGCATCCAACGCGTGCCGATCGCATGAAACGTAGAATTTCTTCGTTCGGAATCTCACTTCCGAACAGGCGGTCGGCTTTGCACTTTGAAAACTGGCTTCCGACAATAACCCGCAGTCCCGGCCCTCGTGCTCACAGATCATGCCAAGCCGCGACTTTGATCTGGCGTCCAGCAAGTATAGTCAACACCTGTGTCGTGACCCGTGACAGAGGCTCACCACCGTTCCTCAGTTCGCATGCAAAAGAATGATCTTGGCTATTTGAATAAGACAGCAAGGGTGGATGTACAGCTTGGTCAACGCGTGTGTATCCTCCATACTGTACCTCAATTGGCTCTCGGTGGTGTACGAGGTTGATCGGTATCGCGTTTCGGCCAACCATTGTCGCCCGATTGATCGCGACGCCACGAACGATGCGCACCGTTCCATCGCCGATTGCCTCCACCTCCTATGTCGTCCGGCGAGCCGGAAGGGTTGGCACCAACTTGGACCAGATGCTCGAGCGCGCGCTCCACCGCATTCCTACGCGTCCGAGGACTGCTCTGCTGCGATGACGGCTCCGGTTGTAACCCTCTCGACGCACTTCTACCCCTACGAGGGATTGACGACTGCTGCATCTGGCGGGGAGGAGGCGATCGCGTGTCTGCTCTGAAGAGCGAATCTTCGAGGCCATTGGCATCCCGACTCTGGTCCTGCCTGCTCGATTCTGCCGATCGATGGTCGAGCTGCTGGTGATCGACACGATCAGTCCAACTCGGTCGCCTCGGCAGCGATACCGTCGGTCGACGAGCGCGATCCGCCCCGTCCTCTCGCAGTTCTGTCGCAGAGCCATTGGAGCTCGGTTCGTCTCTCGCGCGAATCCATGTATCCCAGCCCCTGCGTGGCGAACGGTCCCTGACGCTCTGCGAATAGCGTCGCCCATCATCATCCCGATCCTGATGAGGCGATACAGATCGGCCCCGAGGATTTGTCGACGCTGGCGGCCGTGGCGCAGTCGGGGGCCTCTGAGATGACCTAGATTGTCCCTTTTGCGGTTGTCCCTTTTGGGGTTGCCCCTTCTGCGTGTGTCCCTGTTGTAATTGTCCCTTTGCTTGTTGTGCCTTTGGTTTCTTCGTCTGTGCTGTGGGAGCAGACGCGCCATTGGAAGGTCTCTTTGCACCTCTCGGGGAAGCCGATGCTGTAGCTGCCGCGTTCGTAGTGCTTCGACGAATCTGGGGTGGAGCTTGACCGCTGGTCCTTGCTGGCTGTTTCCCTTTACCATTCACCCGTGGCATCACTGGTGTTGCACTGCCAGGTGCTGACGCCCTGGATGCCGTCTGTGCTGTCGATGCTGAGACTGATGCCGATACTGCTGCTGCTCGATTCGCATTATTGTTGCGCTTCCGAGATGATGCTCCATCAGCCGGAGCTGGCAGCGTCCGGGCTCGACCTGCACCTCCATTGGTGTGCACGGATGCTCGTACATTGGCCTCGGTGGATGTTCCGGCAGGGACCGTCGCCGATCGAGGGACCACCTCATCGTCCTTCTTGTTCGGGAAAAAGAACTTGAATGGCTGTTTGATCTTTTCGCCCCTCTCGCGTGCGGTGCGGAGCACACCTGAAACACGAGAGATGAAAGCAGCAGCAGTTCTTCCACGCAAGAAGTTGCCTCGAACGCCATTGTCACCGTAGCTGTCGATCAGCAGTTGGAATATACGATACCGTTCCTCGGTGTACTTGCGCGTGTAGAAGATTGTTTCCGAGCTGATGATTTCGTTGAGCTTCTCAAACATGAGACGGTGTGTCTTGGGATCCCAGCGCTCCTTGGAGGAGACAGGAAGGCCATTGGGCCCCATGACGGTACGAGTAGTGGCAGCAGTGGCCGTGACATCCTGTACGGATTCAGATCGTCGATCGTCGTCGGACGATGATGATGATGAAGAGGACGACGACGATGACGAAGAGCTCGTGGCGCTGCTGGTGCTCGTCTCAATGCTTTCTATGGACGAAGCGCTGGCCGAGCGTCGACGAGCAGGGCGCGAATACGGGGTCGAGAGGCCTGTGGTGGCAGGTAGCGCCGGTCTAGGTGCCGTGTCACCAGAGAGATCTCGCTTCGGGACAACGGGTGAAGATATGGGGATTGGAGCTGATGTCGATGACAATGATGATGTTGCTGCTGTTGAGACTGCCGGTTGGGATGTTCGAGAGATACTCTTGGCGACAATGACACCATTGTCTGCTACCACGTCCTGGAAAGCCGAAGGGTGCAGCTCCCACAGATCCTCTCCATCGCTGACAAAGAGCTGCACATTGGATGGGTGCACGTCGAAGCGACCAGCAGCAACTTTCTTTGCATCGTCGTAGTCGATCACGGAGGCGAGAACCTTGCCATGAGGGCCAAGATCGAGCTTGACCCTACAGCGCGCCATGGTTGTCGACGTCGGCGAGAATGGTCTGCTGAGCAGCTCGATTCGGCTATGGGTGCATGGTCGCTGATGACATTTGCCTTCCGATTCCTGCCTATCACAGCCGATGCTCTTGAAGCAGACGAGAGCCGAGCCGAGCCGGCCTTGAGTCGATGGATGGATGTCAAGGAGAGGGGAAAGGCACGAAAGAGGAAGGACGACGTTGAGCAACAATTTTTCTGACGTTCAGGGTGCAAAGTGCTGTCGCGTGTCAAAGCGGCATCCAGTTGCGGACTGTTTTCTTCGTTTAGACAATTCCGGTGGGATTCGAGTGGAGGCAAACAACGTTTTCGGTGTGGTTATTGTGACCTCAATTCTAGGAAGAATTTTTGTTTCTACACTGTTTGCGAGACGATGGAGGCTGAATTTGTCATTGCACCGTTCAGCAAGGCGCACCACAAACGAGCTCACGATTGCGATCGACGGGACGGGACGGAGGACACCTTCCGTGCCGTGATCTGGCTCCTTCCAAGTGACAGTCGTAGGTCAGCTTGTGTCGCCTTTTGCTGAAGCTTTTCACTTCTTATGTGAGATTTGATTCAGATGACATGAACAGCTCTGCAGAGACTGAGAACATGCAGGACACTAAGCGCTGGGCTTCGAAGTAGTACGAACGCGAGGAAAAAAAAACTGTCTTGAAAAAAGAATGGAATTCGGACATGGACAGGTACGCAGCGAACCCTGTTTTCGAGCCTTTGACGCTGCAGTCTGTGATTTCACTTGCAGATTTATCGAGTTTCGGGAAAGCCGTCGGTCGACACCATCATCGGAACACACGAACTGGAAAAAAAAGGATCTCTTCCTCTGATCACATCGACTGTCATCCATCCAACCCGGACCACCCTGCTCGGGAAAGTATCGCATCTCATCTCATCGCATCGACTCGGATCACCCGCTCGTCTACGCGCCGGCTTCACAGCTGTGTCAGTGCAAGACTAGGGAATCACCAAGACAGTCGGTCTCGATCCGCCGGGCCACTTCTGACCAGATCTCCTCTGAACCGGCTCTGAACATCGTCGACTCGGCATCCGCCATCATCGCCCCCCATCATCAGTACACATTCTCGAGAATATCCCAGAGACGGGCTCGAGGCACCGACTGTTCTGCGCGACTTGACCTGCCCCGACTTCATTTTGTCCCGCAATCCCCACTTATCCACCAACGACCAGCCTCATACCGTGTCACCCATGTGTCTCAACATCGACACCTTCCTTTGACCGGACCTTCACATCACGCCGCCTCGATTGCTGCTGACACCATGGCAGGTACGGCATCGACTGCTGTTACCCAGCCATCCTCACCCACGCGGCGCGCCTCACCCTCCGGCATAGAGAATCTCAATCCAGTTGCGTCCACATCGGCACATACGCTCGACAGTACCTCAACTTCAGCGGCGTCGATACCGACGGCACTATCAAAGGGCGATGCGATGAGCGCCGACACTGCTTCCGCCAACACCCAAGGGTCCACTGCCATCGAGAGTGCCATCGTCGGCTCTCCGTTCGGGACTGGCACAGATGCTCCAGCACCTTCGTCCATGCCAGCATCGCTACAGGCAGCAGCTGCCGGTCTCAACGAAGAAGATGCCAAGCTTCTGGCGTCCCTAGCAGAAGGCAATGGCCTCTTATCGCACCTCTCCAATCTAGCTGCTCAGAATGCCAACTCGGATCAGCTCATCAACGCTTATGGAGGCTTGATGCTCGATCCTTCCGCTTCTGGACTCCCATCCACTCTGACTGATCTCGATGCGGCTCAACAGGCCTATCAAGGAGCTGTCGATCTCAATGAGGCGCTTACACGGCAGGACATGGACTGGGACGACGAGGCCTTCGACGACATCGAACCAGAAGATGAGGATGATCAAGATCAAGGTCCCATCCAGGCATACGCCAAGCTCGAGTTCCCCGGCTTTTCGTACTACATTCAGACGCTTGACGTTACCATCGGAAGACGCCCAGGCCAACTTCAACCAAATCAGCAGGCGGGTGCGCAGCCGCCGCAACTCCCCAACGCCGCTTCAGGTCTCTTGCAGGCGCATATCACATCGGAATCCAAGACCGAAGGTGATGTAGACGTCGATCTCGGCCCGCTCAAATCCATCTCACGCCTTCACGCACGCATATTTTACTACACCGGTCCTATTCATACCCCTAATTCTGCTCTCCTCAACGGCACTCCTGCCCATAGTCGAGTCTCGAGCGGCAATGGTGCCGCACCCTTTCGTATCACGTCGCCCACCGATCTCAACCGCGTCAATGGCTCTCATTTGCCCGGCGCAGACGCCTTTGCACAGGATCCGTACAACATCGCGTCACAGATGGGCGCAGGACCGGGCGTAGACCCAGACCAAGGTGATGGTCAGTTCGTCCTGATGGTCGTTGGTCGCAATGGCGCCTTTGTCGACGACGTCTGGGTCGAAAAGGGTGGTATTGTCGTCCTCGGCAAACGAACCAAGATCCAGATCGCCGAGCGCGTCTTCTACTTTGTGTTGCCACCACCGCCGGGCGCAGCTTACAGCATCGACGGCGACAGCCAACGCGCACACGACTCCGAATCAGAATCGCTCTCCGATCTCAGCAGCGAGGGCCAGATGGAAGACGACGAGGACATAGAGGAAGAGGACGATGAGGACGAGGATCAAGACGAACAAGGCAGCTCAGCTAGTTCTGTTTCGGGAGACGATGCCGGTGAGGACGCATACGAAGGACAAGAGGAGGAAGGGCAAGATGCTAAGCTAATCGCCACGTCGGGCCGCAGAAGATCGTCTGCAGCTGGTGGCAGAGGCAAACTTGATCCACCGAAGCGAAGGCTTGTGCTCAAACCCAAGTCAAAGGTAGGCAAAGCGTTAGGCGGCGCCGTTGAAAGCGAAGCCGCTGCAGACGAGACCATGGAAGACCTTGGCGACGAGCGAAGGGGCAAAGCGCAGGGCAAAAACAAGGCATCTGCCAAGACAACCGCCGCGGCCCTAGCCAACAGAGCCGCTGGAAAGGGCAAGGGCAAAGGAGCCGGGCGTGGCAAGATGCCCACCAAAGGTCCCGTACCGCAGACTCGTCCAGACGGCGACGACAGCGACAGCCTTGGCACGCCGAGCGCAGGGGAGCAAAGCAGCGACGGTGAACAGGATGACGACATCACGACTCCACCCCCTCCCAGCAACGCGCGTGGTACCGCTTCCGGCAAACGACCAGCCAAGGGTACGAAGGGTCAGAAGGGCACGAAAAGTGTCAAGGCTAGCAAAGCCAAGATCGCTATGGAAGCTATGCAGCGTTCAGGAAGCGAAGGCATCGACGGCAGCGCCATCAAGAAGGAGTCGCCAACTCCTGCATGGGCCATGGGAGCGGGCATTGCAGGTCGAAAGAGAAAGAGAGGCGAGCCCCTTCCGGACGAGGAACCCGCACTCAAAGTCGGCACACCTATCGGCATCGAAGCTCTCGATGCGGCCAAGCGTGCCAAAGCTGCCAAAGCTCGAGCCGACGCCTCCACGCGCGCGGTTTCCACCAGCCCTACAAAGGGCAAGGCCCCCGCTGGCGCTCCGACGTCCTCCGCTGGAAGCGACTTGGCAACAAGCTCGGCTGACCAGGCAAACATGGCTGCAGCTGACGACGATGTTGTCATGCTCGACATTAAGCCTGCCACTTCCAGATCAACTGTCTCTACCGCAACCTTGCCACCCACGGCGGCTTCCGCGATCGCCACCTCGGAGTCGACAGCAGCGACCATCCATTCCAAGTCCGCGCCACTCCCCATCGCTCCTGCAGCGACACCATCAGTAGCACCCGCCGCTGGAGCTGCAACGAAAACGGGTCAAAAGGCAACAGACAAAGCAGCTTCCGCTTCGGCATCGTCAGCCAAAGCGAAACCGGCAAAGCCAAAGACAGTCAAGGCCAAAAAGAAAAAAGCAGGAGAAGAGGCGCCATCTACACCCTCCGCAGACGGCGGATTATTGGCTCCACTGGCTGCCGCCACGGCCGGAGCCAATCTGGGTGCTCACAACGGACAATCTGTACTGTCCAACGATCCCGCTTCAGCGTCCGCGGCTTCGGCCATTATCGCCGCTGCCAGTGCCGTCTCCGGCTCTATGCCTGGTCACAGTCAGCTTCCTGCGCAGTCATTGCCACATGCTGTGGGTCAAATGCCCTCGGCGCTACCCATGATCCCATCAGCCGCCTCCGGACGTGGCGTGACCAGCGCACTAGGCGCCAAGATCGCTCCATACCCATCCGCATCTACGCCATCTGCCATGTCGACTCCGACGGCGACAAATGCGGAGTCGGGTCCCGGTCTATCAACGTACCCGACGACTGCCAGTATCATTGCTTCGGCAGCAAGCCTTGCAAACGCGAAGTCCAAAGAGTCCCAGAAGGCTGCTGGAGCTGCCGCTGCTGCCAACAAGAGCGCTACTCCGACGCCAGCCTCCGTCGCAAAGCCGCCACCTGGACCCGAGGACAAGCCAGATCTGTCCAACATCGAGCTCATCTCGCAAGCGCTTCGCTCGGATCACTGCGGCAAGAAAGGTGGCAAACTCACGCTGCAAGAAGTGTATGAGTGGATCGCCAACAGATGGGTCTGGTTCAAGCGCAATGGCAGACACACTGGTCGCGATTGGCAGAGCTCCATTCGTCACGCGATCGGCTCTTCACGCGATTTCACCCGCATTCCACGCAGGTCCGATGAGCCTGGCAAAGGCATCTTTTATACCATGTCGGACTCCAAGCTCGCTGAGCAGCATCGCGCCAACCTCGCCAAGCAGAAGGAGGAAGCTGCCAAAGCCGCTGCGGCCGGACCGACTGCGCCCGCTGGAGCTGATACATCTACTGGTGCCCCTGCACCTACCAGCACGACGGCAGCCGCTGCACCGGCCTCCTCTAATGGTGACGGTGTTGGTGCATCTGGTGCTGTCACCGCTCTCAACCCTGCATCTGCAGCCGCAGCAGCCGGAGCCGCAGCTGCGGCCGGCACGGCCGGGTCTTTGCCGGCGATCCGAATTCCGCTCATCATCGGAACGCCCCCTTCATCCGCTATCACCGCGGCGAGCGACAAACCTAAAGCTGCTCCAGGCACCATCGAGTCGTTGCTAGAGACGCCGCCCATTGTGCATCACGACGGCAAGCTATACCTCAGCCCGCAGGTATTTGGCCATCTCAACGCAGGGCAACTGGCGCAGATCGAAGGCTTGGGGGCTCAGCAAGCGCTACAGGTGTTGCAGGCGTATCTCGTGACCCATCTCAAGGAGCGAATGAAGCAACAGCAGGTGTCGGCTCAGAAGAAGGATGCTAGCCCTGCGACCGCCAAGCTTGTGCAAGGTGCGACAGCAGCAAGTGGCAAGCCTATCGGATCTGCCGCTTCAACCGTGACGTCCGCATCCTCTGCCAACGCCAAAGCTAGCGTCGAAAGCGTGAACGGTTCTCAGTCGCCAGTCAAGCCGGCTCTTGCTTCCACGAGCGGAACCAATGCGGTCGTTCCTCCAGCAACAACTTCGCTGCCAAAGCCCCCCGGATCTGCGACATCACTGCATCCAATGACCACGCTGCCCAAGCCTTTGCTGCCTGCGCCCATCAAGCCCTCGATACCAAGCAGCTCACAGAACGCAGCTACTGGTCCCAAGGTCAAAGCGCCAGGCTCAGAGCCCGCATCCAGCTCCGGCCAAGTCGCCAAGCAGCCTGCTGCAGCAGCTAGCTCTGGGAGGGCAACCAGCGCTGGGTCGGCATCCTCTGTCCCACCTGTTGCAACGAGCAAAGCGCCACTTTTGCCAGGCACACCGCTCCGAACGTCTGCCGCCGGAGGAGCGGCCGTATCCAAGCCTGTCAATCCTGCTCACGCTGCTCCTGCCTCTTCCACAGCAACAAGTCAGACTGCGACCGCGCCAAACGCATCGCTCAGCGCGAAGCAACCCACTCCAGCCGGATCAAGCGCCAGTGGCAATAGCAGCATTGGAGCAGGCAAGACAGCTTCGGGCGGCGCTGCACCAGCTACTTCGGCAGCTGCACCGAGCACCGTGGCCGCACCAGCATCGACTTCGGACACGGCGGCTGCCGCCTCACCAGCACCAGCAGGAACGAGCAGCGACGACCCGCTGTCTGCTCTTTCGGCGCTCGCGGCGCATCCTGAAGCGGCGGCGCTGATTGCCTTGTTGCGCAAGCAGCAGCAGGAGAGCGGGGCTAGTGGAGGCAAGCAGATGGCCAAGCTGACGCCGGGACAGCTGCAGCTGCTTCAGATGGCCAACAAGCTCGCAGCGCAGCAAGGCAAGAAGGGCGCTGGTGGCAAGAAGAAGAAGAAGGTCTCGACGGGCACGGGTACACGAGAAGGCACCGCTACGCCTGGTCCAGGCGGACAAGAGTCTTCACCGGCGCCTGCTGGACCGAGTCCTTCGCCAGGTCCGAAAGCTGGCTGATTGATATGAAGCGGGATGCTGTAGCTTCAACATTGTACTTGACAGTACTGCTTCTCCTCGCACTCGCTAGCAGACCCACCTCAGTATAGTTACGACACGGACATAGTGCGACTCGGGCTTCCGCGGCTACTGGGATATGTAATAGGCTTGGAGAGAAAGATCGAGCATGGTACAAGTACAAGACTGAGGTAGCGTCGCAACTGGGTGGGTTGCTAACGACTGCAGGATGAGATGGCACATGTCAAGATCGGGCCCAGGCAGGAAGCTCGCCTGCGAGCCAGTCGGCTTCCTCCTTTGTCGTCTCTCTGTTCATCACTTTATTTCTATGACAGAACCTACCAAACCTAGCAACGACTTCTCTGTGCTGCTTTGCGTGTGTCAAGAAGGGCTCCCCGACGTGCTCGCCCAACTGAATGGCTCGATCCTGATCCGCTAGGTTTTCCGAATGACCATAAGGTAGATAGAAGAACAAGGCGAGCGACTGGTCGACTTTCTTGTCCAGACCGTGCTCGATGGCGATGTCCGCCCACTTTTTGGCGAGCCCGTCCGACTGATATTGCTTTGCGGAGCCGCGGAAGGCATTCCTCGGGTACTGATCGAGCAGAAGAATCATTCCGAGATGCTGCTCCACTAGTGAGTCTGCTGCGGTAATCGGAGAGGCAGGAATGGTGGGGGTGATGCGTTCGGCGTGGACCTCGGGGTAGATCTTGGAGTAGCGTTGAACGAGCTGATCATCGAACTCGTCACTCTTGGCAAAGTATCGCTCGGGGCCGGCCGCTTTCCAGAAGAGAGCCATGTCGACCAAAGCACCGACTCCAGCCGAGAGAGCGGGTGGCGGTGCACGCAGTATCTCCTCGAAGGATTTGCCGATAAGACTTGCGACTGAAGAGGCCATGATGAAGTTGCTTGGGCACAAGTGATGAGAAGGGTAGCATCATGCAAGTGGCAGGGTCGTACAAAGACCCATTGACGTGCACGAGCGAGCTTCATCAGCTCGGCTTTTGGAATTAAATTGTGGAGGAGCAGAATTTTGGGACATGTTAGGGTTTGAACTCACACAAACCATGAAATTCCTTGGCAGGGTCCGCGAAGGTTGAACGAGAATCCACTCTCCCGCAGTCTTCGACATCCGCACAATGGCAATGCTAACGCTCACACCACCACCCGTCGCCACCAGCGTATCATCTCCTTCGTCGATCCAGATACCCACAGCATCGCGCGTTGGCGAGCGCCGTACCGAATCATTTCCGTTAGCTCGCTGGTGCCATTGCCGTATCTCACTTCCTTGTGTCGGGGCACTAAAGGGACATCCTCCGCTGGACCGGAGGTGGCACGAGCTGGCTTTGACCGCATTCGCTAGATCACGATGGCGCCAAACAGAGGCATCGCCGCCCATTTTGCGGCATCCAAAGCTAGTATCAGTCGCGCGCATCGTTCAGTCAAGTCCAAAGCTACCGAAGATGTCGCCACACCAGTCTCGCAGGCTGTAGCAGACAGTCCCTCACAGACAGCTGCGGCTGCGTCTAGTGGCGAACAGCCGAAAACATCGACAAACACCACCCTTTCGATGCCTGTCTCGCCCAAGAAACCGACACAGCGAAGACAGACTCGTACGCGTCTAAGGACACCCGATGAAGGCGAAGTCGACCGTATCATGGCTGAAAACGAAAGCCTGCTTCAGTCGAGCCCAACATCTCGACTCACATCGTCGTCAATACAACCAGATAGCGAGCTTGTGACGCTCTTGGGTACGCCGCCAACTACTCCGCGTGCCTCATCACGCTTCAGCCCGCTTCTCGAACCATCTCAAACCTCTCCCATCTCTGTACGCACGGACCCAGACACCAACAAGATGTACCTCATGCTGTCCAGATCATCGTCCAGCAAATCGACCTCCTCTCCTGGCTCTCCCAACCTCGCGAGCAGCTCCAGTCCAACAAAGCGTAAAATGACGACACCTCCTAAATCTGCTTCTCCCAGCAAAACGCCACGGACGCTTACGGGCACGCCGCGTCGACTTATTACTGGTGAAACGGAATCGTTGGGGACCGAAGAAGAAGATGGGCTTGTGCTTACACCAGGCCGAGCCAAGGGCACCAGAGTTATGCTCGGCTCTCCCAGCAAGAGTCCGTTGCTGTCGAGGCTGGGCGAGACACCTAGGGCGCAGGCGCTACGTCGGATCGTAGACGAAGAGGATGAAGAAGCTCACATCACGCCCCGTGGTGTGAGGCAGAAACCAAAAGGAGTCCCTCTCCCACCGATGGCAACGGCAAATGCTGCAGCGATCTTTCGAGGCGCTCAGCTCCCCGCTTCTTCCAGTGTTCCGAATCTGGCACAAAGCAGGCAGGCCGAGCCGGCCTCATTGCCTTTGTCGTCCTCGCACACGGCTGGCTTGTCTCACGCCGAGATCGACTCGGGCCTGTTGGCAGAAGAAGATCAGGTCGAGCTGCCACAGTCAAAGCACGCACTCGCATCCGACCTCCCCTTGCCGTCGTTCTATTCGAGCCTGCTGTCCTTGCATGTCGCACTGGAGCATGCGCTGGTCGTACACCTCGCTACCGCAGGCTGTGCCAGTGCAACTCTCGAATCATCCGCTCAGTCTTCCGACGACGAACATTCCGATTCCGAGCGCTCTTCCATCAAAGCCGAAACAAAACGTACAAGAACAGTTCGACTGCCCAATCTCATCTCGTTCACCGCGCTGCGGCCGCTTGTCGAGCGATCGGGAGGACGACGTCTCGGCCCTACCGAGCTCAAACGTCTCGCCAGTGTTTGGATGGATTTCCAACGCTCTTCCATCAACCAACGACAAGCCTCCGTGGACGAAGAGGAAGAGGTGCGAGGATTGGGTTTCATCATCTCGAAAACGAGGAGTATGGACCCTCGCACAGGTCGTCGTGCCCTTGATTGGGGTATCGGGATCGAGCTCGAGATCAAACGCACCATTCGGCCACGCACACCTCCCACTCAGGTCAACTTTGGTGGTGTTGAAGTCCAGTCTTCTCCCGTATTGCCCTCGTCATCCGGAGGCTTTGACGAGAGCGTTCTCGGGACACCCAAGATGCCTTCGAGAGCCACGACACCACCTCCTTCCGAGCGTAAACTTCGATCTCCATTTTTACAATCCTCGTCACCACTTCTTTCCTCGCCGCGAAGGAAACTCGCAGCAGCTTCGCCGACGCCCCTCGCCAGTTCACCCAAGACTCGCAGCACCGTAAGCTCAGCCAAAGCAAGGGAGGGGATGTCTCTGGTAGCGATGTGGAACAACGGCTTGGAAACGCGCAAAGCTGAAGTAGGAAGGAGGTTGAGAGAGCGTTGTGCCCGATACCATCAGTTGTGGCTGGACGAGAGGGGAATATCCGTTGCTCCAGCTTCTGCCGTGAAGAGAGAGGAGCTTGGGGTGGAATCGGCTACTCCATCGCGGAAGCGGGAAAAGATGGTCGGCTTAGGCATCGCGTCTGCTGGTGACAGTGATCGCGAGGACGACGATGACGGGCTTGCAGCACCGCCGCGAGACGCGGTCATGGGAGCGGGAGGCCTCTTCACTCCGTCAGCCACAAGATCCGGTGGGAGACGTCTTGGCAAGCGTACTTTCCACATGGATCCCAGCGAGATTGACAACGCGGGGCTCACGGATGACGACTCTGACGGTGCAGAAGGCTTAACGGGACCGACGCTGCAGGGCAAACAATCGCTCATGGACGAGGTTTCCACCACCGTTGTCCGCAGCTCTAGGTCGATGCCTCAGTTGCCGGTCGCTTCCGCATCTACCACGGACGTGGGCGAGATCCCTCCCGAAGGGTCGACATTGCACCACTGGCATTCGGACTTTCCGCTCGACGATCCATCCATCGTTCGACCAGTTCCGCTCGCTACACTCCCCTCGCTCACGATCCCACTTGCAACGCCGCATCGCAACAAGGACAAGTCCCTCCTCCCCTCCGCCTCCGCCCCTCTCACCCCGCAGAAACCAGTCAAATTCATCACCGCCGTCCCTCCCACCCCGTCCGCCTCCACAGCAGGTATGACGCTTCGCGAGCGCATCGCAGCCAAAGAACAACTTCGACGCACCGCCTCGCTGCCCTCTCTGTCCCAGAGCGGCTCGTCGCTGACACCGATGCAGGCGCTGTCACAGCGAGCTCTCGTCTCCCGTCTACCCGAACTCTGCTCCATCCTCTTCATGCTCTTCTCCAACGGCACGACTCTTTCTTCAACCGGCATCACTCGATCCCCTACACTGTCGATGCAGGATCTGCTGGGCAAGTTGGCGAAAAGCGTAAAGATCCAGATGAGCACCAGAGAGTGTAGACAGGCGATCGATGTGCTCGGCAGAATCGCCCCTGGGTTCTTGGTCGTGATCAATTCCGGTGGCGAAACCAGTTCAACTGCTGTGGGCAAGGAGTTTGTGAGGATGGGAAGCAATTCAGACACAGGCGCGGTCTGGAGGTTGAACGAAGTGCGCGCCAAGATCGCCGCCGAGCTCAACCGCGGCTGACGCAACGTAGGTCAGGTCCCGGGCATCGTAATGGCATTTACAAACTATCACTGCCACCACCAATAGCATCTTCACGCACAAACATAGCATTTATTATCACTCTGTCACGACAACTCTTGCAATCCCATTAACCTCGTTTCATACCACATCCACATGTTCGCCTTGTCGGGCAAGATATCAATGACACCGATCGATGGTGTGAGCTTCTTTACCGCCGTTTGTAGATACATGGCTTGAGAAGCGTCTTGCCATGCTCGGCTAGCTCGTCCAGCGACGTGTTTTCCGGATCAATGGCGCCGTCACCATCGATACCAGACAAAGACGATACATGGTCGCGTTGAGACAGTTTGATGAACTCAAAGAGCACAAAGTGGGTGTTGCTCGCATCCTTGTGTTCGAGTCCAAAGCCGAGCATCTTGACGATTCGAATGAAAGCGTCAAAGCCGTCTGCGAATCGACTCGAGACTTCGGCGATGATCAACTCTCCACCTGTGCGCAGAACCCTTTTGGCCTCCAAGAGCATGTGGACCCAATTCGTGCCCATCAAGCTGAGACAGAAGACTGCCACATCAGCAACGCCGTCCGCCGCGCCTGTTGGCCTGGTCTGTAACCCGAGCGGATCTGCTTCCGCAAAAAATCCAGGCAAGGGAAGCCCGCCAATGGCCGCTGTATCCTGTTTTCTCACCCAACCATCGCTCGTCGTAACCAGGTCGTAGCACAGCACCTTGACACCCTTGGGGATCAACTTCTTTGCTAGTCCGCCTTCACCAGCGCCCAGATCGACCACCAATGCACCAGGAGCGAAACGGGCTTTGGCCTCTTGCGAAGACGCTGCTGATTGTTGCTGTGCTGCTTTCTTTTTGCCCTTACCCTTGCTCGGGCCGGAACCGTTCGCTTGCGATGAATCGAAAAGCTCTACAATACGATCCAATGGATTCTTGGGCCAAGATCGCACTTGCTCTCTGAATCCTTGATGATACTCGTCAAACATAGCCGGAGCAGCATCGATCATGCGGACGGCTTCGTTGGACGCTGTGGTATAGAGCTTCTCGTTGATTGTGCGAAACCGCGAGCCGGAGAGTTTGGAGAGCATCTGCGCCTGTAGTGGTGTCAATGCAGCACTGGTACTGTTGTTCGTACCGTTCAACATGGCAGGGGCTGGTTGTGCTGCAGCCGCCACGGGTGATGCTGATGGAGGCTTTGTTGATGCCGGTGACGCTGCAGCTGCTTGAGGTACTCGTTCGTCATCGCCTTCTTGTTGTTCTTGCTGCGCTTTGAGCTGCTTGTTGATCTTCTTGCGCTGCGTCTTGCTCAATTTGGACAAATCGATGGACTCTCCGTCCAAAACGACGATGCGAGGTTGATTCTGCGAAGCCCTTTGCGACTCAATGCCTTTGGCAGCGAATGGATCCTTCTTTTCCGATTTGCCATTGGCAGCAGTGGATGATTTGGCGCCATTGCTGGTCGATTGCTTCGACTTCTTAGCTGCCACAATCGCATTCGTTCTGCTTGTTTGATCATCATCCGAGTCCGAGAGAGTGGCTGCCTTCGGCTCTTCATCCTGCCATCGTTTGCGCTTTGCAGACAGCGCGCCTCTGAGACGCACATCAGCTGCACTGCGTGACTTTGCGAAGCTGCCATTACTGTCTCCTTCTTGCTGTTTGGGAGTAGCTCCGACTCCTAGATTGGCTTGCCGTGGGCGGGCACTCTCTTGAAGTCGACTTGTGCTTGCCGAGGCTGCCGAAGAGGATGAAGCAGCAGCAGCAGGACCACCTAGACCAGGCAGCTTGGAGAGGATGCTATCGGTCAGAGCAGAACGCTTCAGCTCGAGTTGCGCTTGCAGCTGGTCTAGATCGAGCGCATCCGACATGGCTATCGTACTTGTCTACCGACTTAACTATGACGATCGAGAAGGAAATCGTGATTGGAAGAAGCGTGCGAAACGACCAAGAAAGAAAAAAAGAAACAAAAGTTCAACCCGAAATAGCAGCCTGAGCGCCGCGGGAACCAAGGACCAAAACCCTTTCCGAATCGCCGCGGATGATCCGAAGCGAGAGCCAAGTTGGCCACGTTTTTTTTGCGGAGGTGGGCTAGGCTTATCCGCCCCCCTCCGCACACTGACTCTGGACATGCATGCCTCCAGCCGATAGATTGTCGTGCTTGACCAAGACTTCTCTGCGTGGAAGCAATCGTCGTCATCTTGCCCTCATGCGCCACCCTTTTGCCGGAATCGCCGACATCACCAAAGATCAGCAGTTGTGCGTCGCCGCAGATCCTCTTCCGCACAGAGCTTTCAGCTTCGCGACATACCAGGTCGTCTACGACACAAGCAAACAGTGACTTCATCGATCTATTCTCGCAGAACACTCTGTTCCTTCGCATCCATCACGGCCACTGCCTTTTGTGGTCCTCGTTCATCGCATGTACAGTGTGACGTGCTGCGTTCAGCAACGTGACGCTTCAAGATGAACGACGGGTTAGCCGAAGCCTACGGCTCTAGGGCAGGTTCCCAGTCTGTTCCTGCGTCGCCGTCACCATCCCAGACTTTGCCGCCTAAGAGGACTAAAATCAGCTGCTTGCCATGCCGACAGCGCAAGTCAAAATGCGATCATGCCCGTCCTTGCTCATCGTGCGTGTTGAGGGGCACCACACAGCTCTGCTCGGATCCTAGCGCCGGCATGGGTGGTTCAACCTCGGCATCCAACGTGGCGCCATCGAATCATTCTCAAACAACCTCGACTGCCGGTACAAGCTACGTCGCGCACACCTCTACCACCTCACCATTCGAATCGAGGGCAATGCCAGCGTCAGCCTCCATGCCGACGAGCCTCGTCCATCACGCAGCGCGGACATCATCCGCGCTCGAACCGCATCGATCAAACGGCACACAGCAGAAGAGGAAGCGCAGCGAGGCACACACATTGAGACAACCGGACACCACGACCGTCGATTCGCTTCCTGGCGTTGACGGGTTCGATACGGCCGTCACAGACGAGATGCAGCGCATCAAGCAATCCGTCACCCGTCTCGAGACTCTGCTCGGTCAACGACCGTCTGATGCTGCTCTCCCAGCTGCGTCATCTTCGCGCACACATTCGAGCACTTCCACCGCTGATCATGCATATCGGATCGACCCAACTCAGGACTTGCCTGGCGAATCAGATCCTCCTTCGCGCGAAGATAGGCGGCGCTGGCAACAGCTACGAGCCGTACTGCCGCCTCTCATCGACACCCACCGCATGATGCACTACCTGCTCGTCGAAGGCGATTGGCTCATGCCGTATCGTGAGGCTCCTCGTTTCGTGGCGCTCTGGAGACACTCTTACGAACGACAAGCCATCACCGACATCTTTGCCGTCCGCGTCCTCACTCTCGTGGCTTGCTCGGCCCTCTTGATCTCCGACAATCGCAAGCGTGTGATTCAATTCGCTGTACCCATCCGCTCGCTACATACACAACTCGCAAAGGAGGCTATGCGCATCGTCGAGTCCATGCCTGCACTCCGGTCAGGACGTACCGAAGCAGAGACGTGCGATCTGATGGAAGTCATGCTCAGCATGAGCTTCTACTTTCGCTGCATCGCCAAAGAGACGCTTATGGGCAAATACACAGAACGTGCCATTTCGTTGAGCATCCGCGCTGGCTTCGACAATGAGCTGCGACCATGTTGGCTCGGGCTCACGCCTGATCAAGTCGAGCGCAGAAGGATCATAATGATGGAGCTCGTCATGTCGACAAAGTGGCTTGCTTTCCACTGTCGGAAAGATCTGGCTCCTTTGCGCATCACGTCGTTCAGCTCTGGCCAGCCTCATCTCGAGCGCGTAGGTCAGCTCCCTCCTCTCCAAGCATGGCCTGAATGGGACCAACTTGCGCGCAACGCCGCGGCACAGTCGCTCTACTCGTTTGCATGGCGTTCCAAGTCCGACGCAGAGCGCGACACTGTTCGCAACTTTCTCAACGTCTCAAGCTCGCTCACCAACGAGATTCCGCCGCTCATTGAGTTTGTGAGCAAGACCGAGGCTCAGGTTCTGCAACCCGAAGCCCTGGCCCGCTGTACAAAGGAGGATATGCGCGACATGGCCAGGCAAACACGCCAGATCTTGGCGCGCTTGGAGGAGTGGTACACCGTCCTCCTGCCCAAGGCCGGCGTCGGCTACGACCGAGCTGTCAATGCCAACATCACCTCGGCTGACTTTGTGGAAGCCAAGACTATGGCCAGCATTCTCATGGTCAACTCGGCCGTCTTCTACATGACATCGATCATCTGTCGCGCCTGGCTGCTCCTTTCGGATCGGCTGCAAAGCCTCAGCGATGCGCGCCGCGACGACGAGAACGAATACGAGAAGGCGACCGCTGTCGACTCGAACTTTTTGACCCATTTCAGCCAGAGAGGCATCGACGACGTGCAGCAGATGCACGCATCTTGGCTACCGTCCACATTCTTGAGCGAGATGCAAGCGACCGTGGTCGAGAATGGCAAACGGTGCATTCGTGGCATCGCAGTGACCCGAACGTTGCAATCCTTGTCCTCATCACAGTTCTACGTCGGATGGACGACTCAAGCCTACCTACAGGCCGCGGTCAACCTTGCCATCCCGCTAGTACGGTCACATCGGCGCCAGGTCCAGCAGCATATCGATGACGTGGATTCAGGCTTTGCAGACACCTCGACCGAGGAGCTGCGTCGCGATATCGTGACCATCTTTGAAGCCGTCAGCGAGCTTTCGGACAACTTTGTGGCGCAGCGTACTGCCAAGGTGCTCAATCGAGCTTTACGATTCAGTGGCCTCGAACGACCCTTTACGCATATCGACGACGACGCCGACCAAGTCGAGGACGCATGGGCAGCAGAAGAGCAGGCATCGTCCACCTCTGTCGCTGGGCAGATGCAGAATGCAGCAGAGGGCTTGGCACTCTTGTCGGCCGCGTCGAGCGCGAGGACGGCCAGTGACGGTTCAGCATCGAAGCATAGCGGCGCGAGCGGAGCAAGTGACACGAGCTCGCCGGGTGTCTCGATGCTTGGCTGGGACGCGACCTCGCGCTCGATAGCTAACAGCCACAAACACTTGGTGCCGTTTCACGCTAGCTCGTCACCGCATCCGAGTGCAGCAATGCCAGCGACAGCACCCGTGGCGGGAGAAGGCCCTTCGAGGGAGCCGATGTGGTGGGAATCGCGCCTGCCCGTCGAGATGACACCGCATTCTGTGTTCGGCGCGGGCCTTGCAAGCGGTGCGGGAGCCAATCCTCTGTTGGGGCACCAGCACCACCAGCAACAACAGCTTCACAGGCAGCATCAGCCATCGTCGCAGCCACAACCGCAAGCGCAAGCGCAGCAGCCACACCACATGTCGGATTCGCAACTGCTCGAGGAAGTGCTCAATTTCGACCCGTCCTTCTGGCAATTTGTTATCGACGGCGCCGGATCTGGCGGTCCTGGCAACGCAGGCACGGCCAGCATTCCGACCTAGTGCGTGCAAAAGATACAAGGCATGTCGATTTCCGAAGGTTTAACGCGGAATACAGGACCTTACTTTGCCTTGAAAATCTCATAGGCTGCGTGGTCGCGACAGCAAAATCAAATGAAGAAACCACGGTGCAGAGTAGGTCAGCAAATGATGAATAGAGAGAGAGGGTGACAGGTTGATCGATGGAATCGAAGGGAGAGACGATACCCACTGACAGTGACGCCGTCGCTGAGAACCTCGAGCTTGCCCTTGCCGACAAAGACGGTGCGATTGACCCAGGCGTGTTTCGAGTTGGCAGGGGCCTCCAAGACCGGGGTTGTCTGTGAGAGGCATTGTCAGAGTGTCAGTGTATTCCCGGCACCTGCTGGGGAAACAACGTCCAGTAAGCGCTCGACTCACCAAAAGATATCCGTCGTCAAAGTTGGTAGATTTGGCGGAGGCATCGCCGCCCAAGACTATTGGATTCAACATGAGGAAGCCGACGTTAGTTCAACAAGTCGTTGGCTCAATCAATCGTAGTCTATGAGCACTCACTCTTTCCGACAGCTGGTGTGATTTCGAGGTGACCGTAGTACTGAACATAGATGACCTCGTTCTCTGGAGTGACGGCGTGAACGCGAACGTCGAGCTTTCCCCATCCGTCCTTGACGATGGCGTAATCGCCGCCTGGGGTGACCTTGGCCTCGAAGCCCTTGCCTGTCAGAGATCCGCCCAACACGGGAATGTAGGCTGAAAGATAGGAGACAAGTCGAGTCAGCTCTAAACATTCGCCTCGAGGGGCGTAGCATTGGCTTCAGAAAGGTGTTCTACATACAGCGATCTCCGACGGGGGTGCCGGTAATTCCAAGCGCCGGAGCAATAGGCAGCTTGAGGGTGAAGGCGTGCTCAAGGCTGATGCTGGGTGTCGACATGTTGGTTCTCGGAGCAATGCTTTTGGTCGGTGGTGGAGAAGAGAGAAGGAGACCAGGACTCGGTGCACTCGAGGATAGGCCGGTCCTTAAGGAACAGAAGAGCACTTTGGTACTGCGGCTATGCAAAGGCCTAAAGTGTCTGTGCGTGCTGACTGCATTATGTCCGTAGCTCTTCCGTCAGGGTTCAAGGTGGGGGCGGATTCCGGGCTGTCTGATCAGCTTGCGGGAGGGTTCCGATGTCCTATCGCTCAACTCAATCGAGCGTATTTCCGCTACACCAATAGTATTGCCTAGCTCAGCTGTACCGCTCGACGCCATCACGGTATCGTGCATCAGCGTCGGCATCGAACCGCGGTGCCGTTGCCAGAAGGTTGCAGGTGACCGCGGCTTGGTCATTTGACTTTTTCGGAGCAGGTGCATCACGCAAGCTGACGGCGTCCGTGCATTTCTTCTGCACGAAGAGCTTATCTGCCCGATGGTCTAGACGTTAAAAATCGATGGCCCGATCGGGTGAGAACGAATCTAACAAGTGACTCTCAACGCTCCGACCATTTGCCGGGAATGGCAGCACGGAAGCATGACGGCACCGCTGACTCAGTTGGTCGAGCCACGCAAACGACGCTCGTCGTTCAGCTTCAACATCATGGTCTCAGCTGCGAGTCCCTGATGCATCTGTCCGCTGTGTGACCCCGTCAACAAGATCGACACCGCACGCGAGGTCTGCCCACACGTCGCCGTCCCTGTCCGGTGCTCGGATAATCAACACACGGTGTCTGGAATGCGTTGAGGAACTTCCTCCGGAGCCCGATCTCCTCCACATACCCTTCGAGACTCAGCGGCAACCAGCCATCGTCGTCGAACATCATCATCTCCACATCCATCCAACGCTTCTATCGATCTTGTCCTCTCTGCATGCTGCGTCGCTCCCTCCTCTTGCAAAGAAATCTCGCACGCGCAACACGACTCCAGCAATCAGACCCCATCTTCCGACCTCCCCAACACTCGCATCTACAAATTTCGCCCATCATGGTCAAGAACGACGCCGATGTCATCAAGGAATTCAACGAGCTCGTCAACATGACGGCTAGCGAGCTCGAAAAGTGGCTCAAGTCGGACGACTCGACCTCGTCCGGTTGGACCAACGGCGATTCCGGCGAGACGGTTGGCCACAACTCTGGCACCAAGATCGTCGACATCTTGAAGCGCAACCCGGACAAGAAGAAGGACAAGTACACCGAGGACGATATCAAGCACATGCGCAAGGTGGTCAGCTACAACAAGAGGCATCTCGCCCAGGAGCAGCACCTCAAGGAGAAAAAGTCCAAGGAGGAGTTGCAGAAGACAAAGAGCTACAAGAGTCTCAAGAGTGAGTACAAGCTATCCCCCACCCCCTTTCGTTTCAGCCGTCCCCCTTTTCCTTTCTTTCGTGCTGTCGCCCCCATCCACTAGAGGTTCATCTCGACGCATGTCAAGGTAATGGTGCCGAAAGAGAAGCTAGGACTCCCCAGATCAACTGCATCGGAGTCTAATCCAGTAACGACAACGCAAGGCAATGCCTTACAAACTCTCGCGGACATCATGCGACGGCCTGCCGTACTCGGCGCTCCTCCGACATGACGACAGCGATGTCTGACACATCCACACCCTGCGTCGCCCCTCGCCTCACACCCTACAGCCGGCCAATCCGACCCATCCACTTCCGCGCCCTCGACATCCTTTCGTTCAGACGTCGCACTGCCCACCGCGCTCAACCTCGGCAAAATCGGCACCTCCGCCACCTCGGCCTCGACCGCAGCAGCCGCAGCCACCAACTCGAGACTCACCGCCTCGACCGAGTACCTCGACTCGTTAGAAGAAAGCGTCAACAAGACCATCGATGCTGAGGTCGAGACGTTGCTGTCGAGCTACAAGGAGTTGGTTTCGCTTGCAACGGTAAGTTTTTCAAACGGCCTGACCAGAGGGTATAAGAGTTTGTTGCTGATACGCTGGTTTTTGTTTGACACAGATCGCGGATAAGGACAAATACCGTGTGGCGCAAGAAGCTTTCCAGACCGAAGCGAGGGCAGACATTATGGTACGTCTTGACATTTTTTCGATCAGACTTTGAACGCTTCACTCACTCGTTCTTTGTCCATCGTCGCATGCAGATCCGCTCGGCGCAAACCCTCACCCTCCTCTCCGAATCCCTCAAGCTATCCCTCTTGCTCTCGAAAACCCCCGACCCAGCACTCAACGACGAAGCCATCCAGCTGATCAAGAGCACCGAAGCCGAAAAGCTGCGCTGTGCTGTGCTTATTGGCCAGATCATGCACCTCGACGTCGGGAGAGCAGAGCAGCTGGTGCGCGATCTGGATCGATCCTTCGTCGAAGGCAGAGCGAGCCGTGCGCAGTCTCAGGGTGTACCAACGTCTGGGTCGGAGGATGTTGCGAGGCAAGGGTCGGAGGATCGAGCGGTGGAGGAGGAGGAGATCGAAGATGACGATATGGAGGATGTCTCTGCTGGGTGAAGGGTTGTTGCTTCGAACCATGTTGAGCATACCTTCGATCCGGAAGAGGGGAACACTTCAATCGTCAGAACTCGCCAGGCTCTGATCTGGAGATCTGGATCGGCCCGCGACCTGCCACTTGGGCGTCCTCTGCGTCGGCGGCCCTCGTCCCTTGCTTTTCCGACGCAGCCACTGCATCTGCATTGCCTTTTCTTAGTCGGACTTCCCGGCACAACCCTCTTCTTGTTCGTTTCTTCTTTCTTTTTACCGTTGGTCGTGGTCCTCTTGACTCAAAAACGTGGACTTTGCACGCTGACACTACAAACTTCCATTCTTTTCGGTGCTCGCCGACCACGAATAGACTGGGGTCACGACCCTCTCAAGGCTTAAGAAAGGGCGGTCGATATCGCGGCCCAGGCACAGCTACAAGGATACTGGTGCTGTTGCGTAGCAGCATCGTAATTTGTCAGGCGGATGTTTGTTTGCAGGCTTGTCCCGCAGCCGCTGTTGCACGCTCATGTAGCAGGTGAATGCAGATCGATCTGCTTGCGGCACCCTTTTCCTGCTTCTTACGAGGCTTGTGCGTGGATGTGATGCGAATGACATTTCTCAAGAGCAGCGTGAAGTTCAGAAAAACGGATCGAAAGACCAAAACTCCTGATGAGCACCGATGCTCTCGCCCTCCTTCCTCTTCTTGGCATCGTCGTACTTGCTCTTTTGCAGTTCGCCTCGGTGCATCCTGACCAACTGATTTGCTGTGTACCTCCATACGCTTGCACTCTGCATCCACTCCTCGTTTCCTTCTTGCGTGCCTTTGTCGAGCAGATGCGAGTCAAGGAGCTGCTTCTGAAACCCCGAATACCTGCGCTCGAAAACGTACAAGCTACGAATAGCTTTGGGTAGGTGCTCGTCGACGTTCTCCCTGGCTTCCCGGAACATGGTCTGCCAATCCAACACTGTCTTTTCTGCAAATTGCTCTTGCCAATTGGCCTTGCTGAAGGCCGGTCGACCACGACATACGTAGTAGTAGAGAAACTGAGCGAGCAAGCCTTTCAGCAGTGCCGATTTTGCTGCGTCGTTGGTGGAGGAGAGAAGATCGAGGTAGAGCGGTGTGAACAGGTGGGCATTATTGAGATGCATCAGGAAGAAATCGTGTTTGTAGGCCTGCGAATCGGACTGTTTCGGAACAGCGCCGAGGAGGAGGGCGGATAAGAGAGATAGTTCTCCCATCGCTTGTTCCGGGTTGGTCAGGGATGACCATCGATCGACGTAGGATTGGATCACACCTTTCGCCGGACCTTTTTCGAAGGGTGCATCTGGCAAACTCGCTTCTTCGTTCTTCAATCCAAGCGCGTCCACACTCAATCTTTCGTCATCTTGCACCTCCTTGATCAAGTCCATCAACCCCGTTTTTTCTCCCTCGAATCCTGCTGGGCTGAACAGCCAGCCGTGATCAAACAACCATGCATGACCGGCAGCCGTAGCACTAGCCATCGCCAACCCTTCCCCCGCCAGCCCTCCCATTCCCAACTCTATTCCGTACCCAAAATGGATCCATGCATGCAATACCCCTCCGTAAAACCTCACCAGCATCTGCGCTTTTCCTTCATTTGCATCCTCACTCAACACGTACTTGTCCAGTACCCCTCTGAATCCAATCTTGTTGACTTGATCGTCGAAAAAGTGGAGATACGACCAGTAGAACCTCGCGTTCCCCAGATGGTCTCTCCAATTGGTCTCGTCAATCTTGGCGACTTTGCAGTTGGCTCCTTTTCCATGGAAGGAAGGATGGTAGGGGTCGTACTGCGATCGGTCGTTGTAAGAGAAGCCTGAGAGGTAGTGTGCGATTTGATAGTCGTAGTGCTGCTGGAGTTGGGCTGGGGTAGCTGAGATGGTCAAGTCGGCGATCAATTGGTGTGCCGAGTGATTGTGCATTCCACGTGTGTTGAAGAAGCAGTGGTGAGAGGCGTGATTGGCCTCCAGGAGGGCGGAGAGGGCCGAGGCAGAGGATGGTTGGACGTGCGGGGAGAGCTCGGCGAATGAGGAGGTGATGCTGGTTGGAGTCGTCATGCTGGATGAGGATCTGCCGCTGCTCGTTCGATTGTGGTATGCGAGAGATGGTAGATGAGAGTATGTTGCAAGACGCGGAATGCTTGATGCCACAGCTGACGATGAGGCCGAAGAAGAACAGGATGTCGTCGACCTGAAAGTAGTGACCGCCCGATGAGCTCGTAGCGACGTATGCCAAGCTAGCATTGATATGGCCCTCGAGAACGTTTGCTCTGGATCTGCTCACGCTTGATCCGCTGCCTTGTAGACGGATGAGAGGTTGCCGTTGCGTGGTGAGAAGAGAGTTGCCTCGAACGCCTGCCGTTGTAACTTATGATCAAGAGGCGACGGTTGCTGAGTGAGAAGGCAACTCTCAAAAGTGGAGGACGTGGTCCAAGCATTCTACCTATGACCGCGGGGATCGCCCTCGCAAAAATCGAAATTCAAGCTCCGCGCAGGTGACAGTTTTGGTTTGCGCGGAACTCGAAGCCTTGACACACCATCGTCGTGCGCTACGCCACCACTAGTCAACCACACACTCGATGGCACAGCCCATAAGGAGACAGAAGCGGAATCGGATTGAAAAGGACCGTGACTGCAAACATGCGAAGGAACGATAGACGATCTGCGCCGTCTGATGACAAGTGACGGGCGACTGCCTTGTGAAGAGAGAAAGAATGCTGACTCGGACCAGTAAGGTCACCCTGGTTCGGGTTCGGGACAATAGACAAGACGAGACGAGGGAAGAAGTGACGTCGAGAAAGAGGCTGAGATCTATGTACGAGCGACCAAAACGCTATCCAGCAGCGTTCGACAGCGGTTCCACCTCACATCTTGGTGAAGCTAACATCGTTCAACACACCGGCGTCCAAGCTATCAAAGATCCTGAACACACCCTTTGTCACGTCGAGCCATGCACTGTTGCATCCAGCACATCGATCAACAGCCGTGACGACGACGCTTTTTCCTTTGCCTGCGATGCGGATACGATCACCACAGTTGAAAGGGCTGTCGAAAGAGATGGCGGCGATCATGCTCGAGTCGCTAGGGCTGGATGCACCTGGGCAGGCTGGGTTGAGCAGCTGGGATCCAGCGTAGAACGTCACTTTGCCGTTGGACACGTGTTGACGTGCCTTGACGTGGTGTCGACCGCGGGTGTCTAGGTTTGGGTAGTCCGCAGCAGTGTCTTGGATGCGTGGCTTGGAAAGGGAAGACATCGATTTCGAGATCTCTTCAGGAGCGGAGGAAGATGGCGTTCCAATGTGTTGGCCGGCGGGAGCGACGTGAGCTGGTGTTCCAATGTGCTCACGAGCGGGAGCAACGTGGGCTGGTGTGCCGATATGTTCGTGGGGAGGAACGAAGAACGTCGGAGTGACAACGTCGGCTGCTGCTGGGACTTCTGCCGATACAGTGTGTTGCAGCAGGGCCATGGTGGTGGCAACCGCCAGAAGGAGCGACGAAAGGTTCACTCTCGTCATTGTCGCGAAGGAGTCTACGGATGAAGTGAGAGATGCTGTGGAGCTGTGAGGGACGGTGGCGATGCAGATGGTGGGGATGCTGGAGTACGGAGCGAAGGTATCGGTTGCGCAGCAGAGCCACTTCTTGAGGGTCGTTGTAGAGATTCGTGGGCAAGAAAAAGACGAAACAGAGGAAACGATCGATTGTCCCTGGGGAGGTATATATTGCATTCGAGCTCAAGATCAACACATGCACAGGCCGCCGGTTCTGTCATCCACTGAAACGTCAAAGAAGAAGCTCAATCAACCCACTTTGTTCGGGTAGCGAGCAGTGCGCCGTTTCGCCTCCTTGACCCACTAAGGCAAGGTGCATAGGAACGCGGCTCGAGCGGAGGCGACATCGTCAAAAAAAAGGGGTGCAGGACACTTCGTGCATTAGCTGTCACACGTCACACGTCGAAAAAGAACTGGAACAAGAGCTGCTTTTTCTCCACTCGCTGAACTGATGGACCATATCCGCTCTACTGCGATGCAATCGCAGCCTGGGTCGTCATGACGCCCTCTTTTGTGCACTACGCACGATGATCGCCACCATCGAAGAATCTGCGCAAGAAGCTGTTTGGACATGACGTTGAAGACGTTGCCAACGCCGCTCCTCGTCGACTCAGCTTGCACCGCTCCGTTGTGCCTGTTCATGTCTCTGATGTGCTGGGTCCCCCGAAGGTCTCGAGAGCACTATTGCTCGTCACCGCTTTGTGTGACAGCTAGAGAGCAAGACTGGTAGCGCATCTGCAAGGGGACGGCGCCTCCTCTGCAAGGTGAAAGCAAAGGCTCTGTGCACGCGTCCTGAAGAAAGCTGTGTGCTGGCCAGCAGGAAAAACAATGAAAATAAATATAAATGGAAAGAAAAAATTAAAGTTGACATGTCGTGTCCATCATACTCGACATCTGGTCCGGAGAGCCCGGCCGCCGGCACCACTTCAACATCTTCCTATGATCACATCCTCACCAACTGTCATCTCGTCGGACAGAAAGGAAAAGGTGGAGAAAGGCTTGTTGGTTCGTGGATGATAGATCCCGCTGCAGGATCCGGACAGCTTCAGCACCCTAGCCCGGATCTGCAGCGGTATTTAGCGCTCCAGAGACACATGCGAAGCGAGCTCGCCGATCTCTGACCCCACACGTCGTTGGCGACGCAAGCGATCGAACGTCTTATGAGATCAAGATCCGAGTCAGTTATTTCAATCATGCTTCTATATAACACATCACAACATGCGTCATCGTTCATCGTCCACACCCAATGAGGGCGGTACGATCCTCTCTCAAAGAGTACAAGAACACCCTTCCGCATCCGACCGTGTTGATCGCAGAGTTGCTCGCGTCAGGGAAAGCGAACGCTATGGCTCTTCCCTTGATCAGTCTTGCATACTCCCTCTCGTCCGCAGACAGCGTCTCGAGGAACGCGCGGAACATGTACGCGCCTTCGTCTTCCGAGAGGTCCGTGCCGCCGCCAGCTTCTCCGCCACCGCCATAGCCTCGTTCGCCATGACTGCCCAGACACGCGGTCAGTGCAGCGGCGAGACGGTCAAAGTTGGCCCCTGTGAAATCCACCGCCAAAATAGGCACATTGCCCGACTGCAGCTGGTCGGCGAACTTCGACACTTGACGTGAGGCCTTATCCAAAACCAGCTGCCGCGAAGACGGCTTCGGCCGATTCTGTTGACTCTTGTCGCCCTTCTTGGATCGTTCGATCGGCCTTTCTGGCAGCAGCATCTCGCGTTCGCGCACTGCGATCGTAGCAGAGGGCAACACTTCGTTGCCGCTGTACGTGCGCGAGAAGCCTCCGTGCTGATGATGATGGTGATACATTCCGCCCAGAGATCCTGGCGCTGCCGAGGCTGCTGTCGCTGCTCGCATCGCAGCTGCGTCAAATGTAGCTGGGCCAAAGCGCGCGGCCGACGCGTTGCCTCCTGCAGATCCAGCTACCTGCACGTCGACGCTTCTTTGCTTCGCAATGCGATCCTGAACGAAACCCACCAGTTCGTGTCTTGCCACTTCGAATTCGGCCCGCTGTAGTACAACCTTGACTTTGAGCACTGGCGATCGCGCTTTGGCAAACACGAGCAGAAGGATGCCCTCGGCACGACACGTCGCCGCAGCAGCCTCGGGTGTGTCGTAGGTTGCATGCTCGTACTGCAGATCCGCTGCGATGTTGTGCGCCCAAAGCTCGCGACAGATCTCCATGCGAGTTTCCAGCAGGCCCGGCGTCGAAGCGACGTAGACGTCGCATCGTCTCGGCGTATACAGCCCGAAGCTGCGTTCTTCTTCTGCGCGTGAAAGCAGCTTGGGCACCTGAACTTCCTGGTACTTCGAAAGCCCGAGCGTCAGCTTCCCTACTGCAAGCTGGACACCAACACCGTGAAGAGGTGCGGAAGAGGCCGCCGATGGATTGGCAAAATGCTTCAGTAGACCATCGTAGCGGCCGCCGGCCGCCACTACATCGCGGCGCTTTCCAGCTCTCACCACCGTGAAAAGCACACCGCCCTTGTACAGGCTGCTCGACTGAGCCAAGAGCGGTGAGAAGAGGAATCGTCTCTGCACGCCAAAGAAGCGCGCAGTCGCCACCACATCTGAGATTTGCGACACGGCTTTCGCGAGTCTGGTGCGCTGATCCAACGGAAAGAGCCTTTCCAGTCGATGATGAACTGCTCGGACGTCGTCGTCAAGATTGAAAGCTTCTAGCTCTTCGATCGTAGATCGCGGTAGTCCGAGTTGCAGCAGCTGCGATCGCGCGCTCTGAATAGTCTTCGCTCCGGCTAATAGTGCGACGACACCCAACACAGCGGTATGATGCTTTGCAGGGACACGCTCCAGGATCATCGACAGAACAACCTCATGGTTGATATGGATCACCCAATCCTCGCTGGCTATGCCAGGGATCTCGTCCAGCACCTCTTCGACGAGCGCGAGCGCTTCTGCTTCTGCAGCCGCCGATTTCTCTGGGGAGACAATGTCAAAGGAAGCAGCCAATACAGCGCGAGGCTGGCCACCTGCGACGATATTCTCTCGGTAGACGTTGCTAATTTCGTACCGTTTGAACCGCTGATTGCTGCTGCGAGCGAAGACCCGTGCAAAGGGTACCGTGAGATCATAAGGGAGATGCACGACTCGTCCCGTTCGATCGAGCATCTGCACGATCTTCTCGTTGGCAGTGTACAGGCCGTTCGGCGGCACGACGAGCGGCGCTGTAAATTCAACTGCGCCATGTCGACGCGCAGCGTTGCGAATCAAATCGCACACCACCGTCGTCAAAGATGTATCGCGATCGGTCTCGGCGCCGGTGTCGAAGGTAAAATCGCGGACAAGGTCTGCGGCGGTACGACTGAAAAGGGCGTCCATGAGTTGGTGATTGTAGGCACTAGTCGGGTTGGCCATAAGACGCAGGCACTCCTCGATATATTCGTCCTCCATCTTGGGCGGCAGGAGATCACTCTTAAGGATTTCGAGTGGTGAAGGTCTGCGATCTGGATCGTGGTCAAGCATCTGTCGAATAAGGGCAGTCTGGCTCTCCAGCTTGCTGTGTGGCCAGACCGCCGGCAAGCCTATACTGTGGTCGCGAAGCTCTCGTATCAGCAGGATCCGCTCCATGCCGGTACGGTAGACGCGCTGACTCGCCAGCATCTCGAAAAAGATGATACCGAGCGAGTAGATGTCCACTTTGAAGTTGTACTTGATGCCGCCCTTGGCGCGCAGCTCTGGCGCCGTGTACAAGAAGGTGCCGAGGTCACCAGTGAGGTCGTTGCTCTCAGCCAGCTCTGCCGTGCCACCCATGTTGCCGGCATTGCCTTCGGCAATTTGGAGCGCATTGGTAGCTAGACCAAAATCGCCGATCTTGACGTCGCCATTGGCGTACATAAGGACATTTGACGGCTTGAGGTCGCGATGAATGATTCCGAGACTGCTGATATGAGCGAGCGCCTCGACCATTTGACGCAGAATCCGCCACGCTTCGTCTTCTGTCAAGCCCTTCTCGATGGCCTCTCGCAGAGTGCGGTTCTCTACGAACTCCATCTGGATGTAAAGGACGCGCTGGACGGGAACGCTGCCTGCAGGAGGTGCTACACTAACGCTCCTCGACATCGATCGACCAGCACGAGAGGCTCGACGCGACGATAGTGGGATTCGACTGAAATCGTCGTCGTCGTCGTCGCCGCTAAAGTCGTCTTCGGAGCTGGACTCATCCGAGTCTTGATCGTCATCCTCCGCCTCTGAGTCATCACTGTCATCCGATGGTGTGCGCAGAGCCAGCAATCCACCCCTGAAGGACGACTCGGCTATCGCACGAGAGGAGCTACCTGCATTTCGCTGGTCGATGCTGCCTTCGTCGTCATCAGCGAAGCGGATATCGCTGTAGCTTCCTGTGAGGTTGGATGAATTGGCGCCGGATGCGAAAGCGTCGTCACCATCATCGTCGAAGTCAGGAACCGCGCGGAAGGACTCGTCGCGTCCTGCTTTCGGCCTCCCAGAAGGCGTCGAACGTTGGAAGCCATTGCCAAAGGCAGACATGGACAGGCTCGGTCCCGATGCATGTGTCTTGCTCGTGGTTGTGTTGGTCTCGAGTGTCTGACTGGAAGTGAATCCATCCGTGTCACTGGCGGCTAGACCGGCGATGGGCATGTGGGTCTCCTCGATCCAGCATGTCGAGTAACGCACGATGTGTGGATGATCAAGACGGCTAAGTGCACTGATTTCGCGCAAGGTCCTCTCATCCTCGTCAGGTGAGCTGGACAACTTGATCTTCTTTACGGCATAGAAGCGGCCGTCGAGACGATTGCGGGCCTTGACGACACTGCCGAAAGCGCCTTTGCCGAGGAATTCAACCTCTTCGAAATCAGAAAGGTAGCGGGATGTGGATCCGGCATGAGCTGCTCCTGGACCTGGAGGCGGGCGGAAGGGCCAGAGCGAACCAATAGGCTGCAACACGCCCGCTTCGATGGGGGCGCCGATCTTGGGGCTTGGGGAGGCAAGGTAATTGTTGGCCTTATCACTCGTCTGCCGGGCCGTACTGGGGCGGGGCGTTGCTCTGACTGATTTGGAAGTTGTCGCTGCAGCTGACGTGGTCGATGTTTGAGGTATCTTGGTGATCGATTCCTCCGCCAGCTCCGTGTCTTCATATAGGATGAGCTCGTCGAGACGCGATACGAGAGCGGCAGCGGTAGGACGCTTCTTCGACGATCTTTCAAGCATAAGAAGCAGGAAGGCTTGCACATGCGGTGCAAGCGTCTTGTCGCCGCGAACAAGGTGTTCGGGCAAGTCATGTTCGGCAGCGCAGTCCAGGCCAAAGAGCATCTGGCATACACAAACGCCGAGATCCCAAATGTCACGCTTGCGGCTGTAGGACAGAGGCTGATCGATCGATTCCGGCGCTTTCCATGCATCAGCCAGCGCTGGATCTTCACCGAGCTCGACGACGTCATTGAGCGGGTTAGACTTGTGCATGTCTTTCAGGCGGCGAACATAGCAGGCACCTGCCAATCGGACTGCAGAAGCGACGCCAGCTTGTGCTCGGCTTTCGATGAAGATGGAATCGGTGCCAATGCTGCGGTGGATGAGGTTTCGAGTGTGCAAAGCGTCGAGGGTTTTTAGCAACGCCAAAAGGTATTGGCGAACGCGCTTCCAAGGCAGCGAGTCGCACTGGTCGAGGAGATCGCGTAGACAAAGGCCATCAGTGCGTTCGGTGACGACGCTGAGCTTCCATCCCTGAGGCTCAGCGATGCGAGTCACGGCACTTGCCAGTACGTTGATCAATCCGGGCTCGCGTACCTTGACAAGCTTGTCAAATTCGAATTCGACCTCTTCGAGCTTACGTTTGCCAGCCGAGTAGGCATAGTGTTGCGACGTGATCAAATAGTGTTCGATGAGCCATGAGTGGGAAGGAGCGCGGGAATCGGTTGGAGGTTGGTGAGCTGGTTCGGCGAGGTGGCGTGTGGCAAGGCCCGTGTTGCTCAGCACTGGGCCGATTCGGAGGACAGAGACGACGCGGCCATTGTGCTCGATGGGCTCCAGGAAGGTCTCGATGCGCGATGCGTCCGACGATGTCGCTGCGGCCTCTGCAGGGACTGCTTCGGAGATAGCCAGAGCAGATGGGGTGTTGAGGCCTTTGACCGGGCTCAAAGGACCTTGCTGGGCAAAATAGCTGCCTTCTCGCTTCCGTTCTTTTTCCTGCTTCAGCAGGGCAGCTTTCTTGTTTGCTTCCTCCTGAATGAGCTGAGCCAGCTGTTCGGAGCGAACAGTTTCGGCCTGCTGTCGCTTCAGACGCTCTTCCTGCTGCTGTGCGAGATGAAGCTCTTGTTGCTCCTTTGCACGCTTCTGCATCTCCTCCTCCAAGCTGAGGGACGGTGCGCCATCTTTGACTTCTTTTGGCACAGTGTTGTTTGAGCTGATGAAATCTTGACCGGCGGTTATGAGCTCCCAGATCATCTCGGCTCCGAGAAGAGATTTGGCTTTGCCATTCAACTCATCGTTCAGGCTGGTGAGGTGGCTCGAAGAAAGACCCTTGTGTCTGCCATCGTTGAGTTTGACGATGATAGTCGGTGAAACGAGCGGGTAGTTCTTGGGGAGTCGAAACGAGACGTACGCGGAAACGAGCTGTTTGAGACGCTCTTCGTCTGGACGAATCACGACTTGGAACTCATGCAGCTGTGAGGTCGCCGCTCCTTTCCAGGCCTTCTGCTCTATACGCGTGTAGTCTTGGTCGAGAATGGATTCGATGGCTTCGATTTCGGTTTGTTGGAGCTCTGCAATCTCTTGCGGACTTAGTGACGGCAACGAGGCTGCAGCAGTCATGATGAGCCTACGTCGTCGATATCATTTGGATGTAGGGTAAGCTGAGATGCGTCAATGATATCGCTTGGGTCGACGTCGGAATCGTTATGAGCGACAGGCTCGTAAGCCCAGCAGCGTCGTTGATAACCTTCGATAGCAACTCCACTTTCGTGGAGCCGGTTCAGAGGCCGATCCTGACAAGCATCTCGAGGTAGAATGGGGTGATTTGATGGTGTTAGCTGGTCAAGACAAGCACTCGATGACCGCGTGACGTGGCGCAATGTGACCAAGTGTCGAAGAGTGTGATAGATGCGATACAAACTCTAATCATTGGACCCTTTTGCGTCGGGTTGTTCCGATCGATTGACAACGCCGTGTACTACTGCCTTCGGGTGGCCACGCAATTTCAGCCAAATCTCCGACGCACAGACGGTTTTTTTAGGACTGCTCCACATCAAAGACCGAAATCCGAAACATTCTTCTAGACGTCCATCTTTTATCCTCCGTCCGACGACAAGGAGCAATTCTGCCGCCATGTCGACGGCGGACAAGCGCAAAGCTCCTTCGGCAGCTGCCGGCCCGTCCAGATTGTCTGGCGCCAGCTCGTCAAAAAGAGTTCGAATAGACGAGTCCTCGCAGCGTCGACGCAAACGAGAAGAAACCGACTTTTTCGACGGGGATCCCGAAATCGAAGAGGAGGATCGTCGGCGCATCCGCAAAGATCAGAAAAGCGGTCGCATCGACGACCGTGGCGAGGATCTGTCGGAGAGTGACGAGTCAGACGACAACGGCGCCGACCTGTTCAACGGTGACTCGGATGCAGAAGCTGATGCAGGATCACATCGGAGAAGAGCAGAGCAGAAACGCAGAGGCGACGCAACTGGTGCAGCAGGAGACGACGATGACGAGGACATGTTTGATGTCGCGGACGACGAGAAGCAAGCTTCGAGCTCAAGCAAGACGAAGCAGAAAGACCGAGCTCGCGACAACTACCTCAAACTCGGCGAGTTGGAAGAAGGACAAGACTTTGGGTCGAAGAACCGTTCGACGTTAGATGCGGCAGACGACGATGCCGAGCTCCTCAAAGGCGGTGGTCGGGCTGATGATGACGACGACCTGGATCCAGATCTCGAGCTGGAGGATGAGGACGATGAGGACGACGCCGATCAAGCAAGCTCGGATCGAGACGGCTACGTCGACCTCAACGCTATGGCCGAACGCTCACCACCAGCTTCTCCCGGCGGTACTCCGACGACTGCTGGCAATACTAGGCGCAGAAAGAGCAAGCAGCAAAAAGCGCCGAAGGTGACGGGCTTCAACATGAAGGAAGAGATGCGTTCCGGCAAATTCGACGCAGATGGCAACTACCACGAAAATCAGCGCGACCCGCATGCACAACACGACGCCTGGCTCACCGGCGTCTACTCCAAATCCAAGATCCTTGAAGCACGCAAAGCCCAAGAGAAACGAGACCAGGACGCAAAGGAAAAGGAACAAGCAGCACAACAAGCGGATGGGGATGAGGATGAAGTCAAAAAGAGACTCGTAGAACACATGCATCGCGCCGAGACAGTGCAGAGGACATTGCAGAGGTTGGGCAAGGTGCTGGCAGATAAGAAGAAGCAGCTCAAAGCGAAAGAAATCGCAGAGGAAGAGCACAAGCAGGCAGCGGTAGAGGTCGAGTCGGTGACACATCTATCCTCCGTACTCATGTCTCGCTTCGGTCGACTAGATATTTACGATCAGACCTACGAACAACTTTTGCATGATGTACACAAGTCGGGACTCGTTCGACAGACATTCGATCCTGCTGCAAAGTTCGACCCTCCGGCGATAGCTGAGCCCTCTGTCGAGGTTACTTCGGGCGAATCAACCGCCGAGTGGGAATACCGATGGACACCTTCCTATCTCGCTGCAGCTGCAAGAGAGTCAGGCGCACCAGTCGATCCCGATATTCAGGTTTTTGGCCCTTTCAGTCTCGCGGACTTGAAAAGCTGGGCCGAGCAGGGATACTTTGGAGATGCTGGCGAGCGCATTTTGCTCAGACGGACGGGCACGAGCGATGCATGGCAGGCTTACAATCATGTCGTAACGAACACGTAGTAATGGAAATTTGATTGGACTCCTTCGTGTCTTTGGCAGGCTCGGTAGTTCTACAGGTGTTCATGATCAATCAGCCTCGGAATCCTGTCCTATTGGCAGCATAGCCGCGCGTCAGTCGTACAAAGTCTGTCCTCAACTCTTCTTGATACCGTTCGTGACGACGCTTCTGCCTCCTGTGTTTGCCTTTGACGAGCCATTCTGCTCCGTCTTCACCTTCGCCTGTTCCGATGTGGGCGCTTGCTGTTGCGGCTGGATGACAGGCAGCATCGAGAACGCCTGCTGCATCTGCCTCATGAAATCCTGCATCTCCAGCATACCTTCCTTCAATCTTCGCGCTTCCTGCTCTCTCTGCTCCTTCTCCTTCTTTACTTTCTTCTCTTCCGGACCTGTCAGAGCGACGAATGCATCCTTCAACCTCCTCGTGAAGTCTTCCAGCCCATTCAATGTCTCTTGCATTGATTCGTTGACTGCAGTTTTGTCGGAGATCGCATCCTCGCGCCGTTCAGCATACACACCGGCAACTTCCTGATCCAAGCTTTTGACATCCGATTTCACTTCTTCCAGGTCCTTTTCGATCTTGGATAGCCGATCATCGCCTTCGACTTTGGTCTTGACTTGCTTTAGATAGTTGATTTCGCAAGAGAGAGTCGACATCGTGTCTTTCAGACCCTTGAGCGTTGTCGAGGCTTTCTGTTGACGTGTCGAGAGGGTTGTCTTGAGTTCGACAATTTCGTCTTTGAGCACTTTGAGAGCAGCGGCTTGTTCGCGTTGAGACTTTTGGTGGAGAGCAACGAGCTCGCGGTAGAGCGGTTCGCATCGATGACATTCATGCCGGCATGTACGGCACGTGAAATCGTTGCCAAAATTGGTAGGGTCGACAATCTTGTTGCACAATGTACAATTCTTGCGAGGCTTGATCTTGGTCGTCATTGAGAAGGAGCACTGGAGATCGTACTGTGGCGAGATAGATGGTGATCAGTGAGCAAGACGGTGTGTGGTGGTCGAGAAGAAGTGACAAAGGGGAGCAGAATGAAGTTTTTAATGTGCCCACGGACAAAGGGCACGAACAAAGGGAACAGCGCTTTGACCTGGTCCGTGTTAACCCTTTCTGGTAATGCAGACGAACTCGCACGGCTCAATTTGCGCTCTGTGCCCACCTAACCACACCAATGAAAGCACATATTGTCGTGAGAGCGACCCGTCAAGTGATCGACGGTGTTCATTTCCACGAGAACATTTACTGTTCGACGTGCAAGAAATCTGCATGATGCTTACTTCCTTCAAAAAGCAGCACCTGCCCTCTCCCCTCTCCTCAGCATTTAACTCATCAATATCCTTCGCGCCAGGGTCACAGCATCTGGGAATGCAACAGGAGACCATCCTCACATTCTGATACCTCGAGTCGCGAATCGTCTAAGATGTCGTGAGGGTTGAGAAAGAATTTATTCGAGTATGACATGTGGCGAGCATCAGAAGGGAAGCGGACGGCTTCTCATAGGGGGATACGGGAGTATTCGGTCAGGTAGGAGTTGGGAAGGAAGAACAATTAAAGGCCTGAAGCAGAGTCACCGGAGACGTTTGTGTCAGGAGATGTGGTACGATTGCCCCTGGGTGGGAAAATCACGTCGAGCTGTGACTGTAGTCTTGCCCCAGTTCTAGCCACGAGAGCGAATTCAGTGTAGAGGCCGCGTTCGACCAGAGCCTTCGCTTCTGGCCCATCGTCATAATCTGCCCACAACTTCTTGTATCGAGTTTCGATTTCGTACAATAACTCTCAAATGTTGTCAAAGATCTCGATCACTTCGAGGGGCAGCCCGGCCTGTTGGCCGACGATTGCTTCAGGGCTGTCGGTCCCTTCCGCGAGCAAGCTGCGAGGAGTATGAACGTTCGAGACAAGCGCGCTTGCACCTTTTTCAACAGGATCGGTACCCGCGGCGTTAGCGTTGAGTTGGGGCTGAGGAGCCTCATCGGCCCCTTATTCGATTTGATCGCCGATCGACACTTGCGTGAAAGGATTTTGCGGCATCTAACGCTCTTGATGAATGACGAGACCTGCTGCCAGGCCAGCTGAAGTAAACAGTGTCTAGGCTATGTGCAAAGATTTGCTTAAATGAGGGACGTGTGGTAGGGAAACAGAGGGGAAGGATTGGCCGAAGAAGGTGCTATATAATTATTATGCTTTGCCAAGCACGATTGATCACGATGGAAAGGGCAACAAAGGACCCAGGCAGACTCGAGTGTTCAATCCCCGCAAGTCAGCGCAGAGCACATGTATCCGCAGGGAATGAAGCGACTTGCGGAAAAGATCGCACGAGTGCTCAACTTTGACTCGACCGTGCGAGCGCTTCTCCGAGCCTATTCTGATGAAGACGGATCCTCTTGTGCCGCTTCATTTTCTGCAGCCTCCTGTGCCCGCAGCTCTTCGCGTCTTCGGAGCAATGTCATGCGAAACCAGTAAGCGACTTTGAGATATGATCGGCAAATTTGCACCAGCGATGGCCGAGTGAAGTTGCTTGCGATAGTTTGTAATAGCCTTGCGGCATTTGCGTCGATGTCACCCAAAGCGCAATCACAGCAACCAGGCGTTGGACCATCGATGCAGTGAGAACATTGATACGGTGTCTGCGAAGTATGTCGATGAAACGCGACCTCGAAATCCTGCCACTGAGTCTCATCAGCTGTAACCAGAGAAGCTTCGTACATGGCTCTAATTCCGGCGTCTTGCTTGAAGTGGCGAGGTTGAGTGTGGTGATGATCTTCTGTAAAGGTGGATCGATGTCAAACCAGGATGAGCGGGCTGAGCGGGTGGAAGAAGGAGAACGGCATTCGAGCTGCGCATTCCCAAATCAAATACGCCTGACGCATTGACGAGGCTCAGACGGTTTCTACCAAATGATCATTTCGCTTGAATCAGCACCGTGACGAGGCAAGTGACACTCTCTCACGAGGCTAAGGTGTTGGTGGCAACATTTTCGGCTGGGTTCCGATCAACAATGGAGACGCCTTGTACAGCTCTGCTGCATTCCTCTCCTTTCAACTCTCGACTCGGACACAGAGGTGGTTCCTTCTCTGAGATCACGTTCTTCGCTGTTCGAAAGCAAAGATGTCAAGAGACTTGCTCAGTCATCACACGCAAAGGCTCGAGAGGCGAGGAGGAAATAGAAAATTTGATTTTCGACAAGAAGAAAAGGTGACGCGAGTTGACATTTTAGATAGGGGGCTTTATGTCGAGAGCAGAAGAGCATGCGGAGCGAGCTACTGACGAACGAGGGCCATGATTGTGAGATGTCTGAGAAGCCGCTGGCTTGTTGGAAAGGACCGTGGACACGCGCATCGAGACAACTAGGATGATTGGAGGAGGGTTGAAGAGTGCATGGTCGAACAACGCGGTAATCTTGCTAGTTGTCGTCGCTGTCTTCAGCTTCAGCAGGAGCTTGGGCATCAGGAGCTTGAGCAGGCTTCTCGATTCGAGCCAGAAGGCCCTGAATGGCGGAAAGGGACGAAGTGAGCTCGAGCATCGAGTAAGGGCGTTCATCGGTACCCTTTGGGAAGATGATAGAGACGATGAAGACCCTGATGGCTTCTTCCATACGCCTATGACGATGGAAATCACAACGTGCGCAGACATGCTTTTCGCCCTCAAAGTGTATGTCCCATTTGTGCTCACCGCAGCAGACGCATGTACGTTTGTAGGATCCTTTGCGCGTCATTGTGTCAAGGCAGATCGAATGGCGTCTGGCGAAGATAGAAGTAAAGTGTCAGGCGAGATGATCGAGAAAGATCGTTGAGAGGGGGCGGTGATGAGTGGTAAGGGGAAAGGCAAACAAGACATTGGGTTGGATTATATGCGTCGTGAGCAGGACAAAATGATTCGGACTTTTGCGCAGCTTCGGGCCTGGTGTCTACATGCGCAATTGAACGTCGGCGCAGAATCCTGAGATGAAGTCGATGACCTGGTTCATGACACGTCAACCTCGTTCCGTCTGAACGAACACTAATGAGGTCGAGCGATGGAAGCCCGATATTGCCGCAGAGACCTACTTCCAGTGGCTTCTCCGCCTGCGCTTGCCCTTCAAGTCCGACAGGTATGGTCGGAGCTGGTCCATGAATTCTTCGGTCGCCTTTCTTTGTTCTCGCAAGTAGTCTTCCAAGTGCTTATGCACAGCTTCACCTCCGCTCCCAAGGGATCCCGAAAGCCTTTCAGCTTCGTTGACTTGGCTTGCGACATCGCAGGCGAATACGTAACGGCGCAGCTTGTACACGGTGTGCCTGATGTAATTGAGGCCAAACATAGTTCCCATATGAAGTGGCATCACATTGGGTGTGTCTTTGTCCTCTGTTGTAGAGGCGCTGGCAGCGTCAGGAATCCTGGACTTGTTGCCCATGTCAACGTATGGTCTGAAGCAATGCAAGCAATGAATATTGGAAAGCTTGGGAAGTGGGACGATGTTGCATACGCTGCAAACCGTCACTTCATCATCGATAGGTAGAGCTCCGGCATCTTCGACCTGGCTGGACATCGTCGAATTTGAGACGATCAACGAGGAACGACTGATGTAGGGGTGCTGATGAGGATCGGATCGGTCGTGAGGATAGTGGAAGAATTCGATGTTGGTGAGGAAATCCCGATACGTTGAAGGAAGACAGCGTCTGATGATCGAAAGCGGGAGCGTTAATATATGAACTGCACGACAAGCAAAGCAACTCGTGCTCCTCGCAAATCGAAATGTGACTATATGGAAAGCCGTGACAGAGCGGAAGCAGGTGGCGACGCATTTCGCCGTTTCTAGTCTTGGGTCTAGCTGCGCTTCGAATTTTGACTCGTAGCATTTCAATGAGAGCCTTCGATGAATTGAGCCAACAGTGTGCAGCCTTTAAACCATCGTACGACATCACAGAAGGTGTATATGAAGCCCTTGACATTGTCGATGACACAAAGATAAGAAACGCTCCACTGCCGATGGAAACGTGCTTCCGGGTATCGCCTGCGATCTTGCTAGTGAAGGATGGGACTGAGCCTGATGCGTCCGAACCCGGCTTCGAACGTGGTACGTTCTGATGTTCGGCCGCAGCGAGAAGCATCGTCGAGAGCGTAGTCGCGGAGAGCGAATGAAAGTAGGAAAGTCGAGGTTAGCATTTGTCTCAAGCTCAGCAACCATCATTTGCTCGATCGTTGTCATGCAACTTACCGATACCGTCCGGAGGACCGCTAGGCGGTAGCTTATCCGCAGCTACGTATATCGCAACCTCGTATAACCCTTCACCGTGCTCCTCGATCCATCGCCTGTCCTCTGGATCCTCAGCAACCTTGACCACGACTCGTATTAGGCGAGTCTCCATACCGCCTGCTGCAAGCAATCGAGTAGATTCGTGATGCGAACTGGTCGTGATATCTTTTGCCGCGTTTGCATCTGGTTTGTGCGTTGAGGCTGGCGTTGACAAGAGACGGTAAGGGATCTCGTTGGGCACGAGTTGAAAGTCGCTTGTGATGGGGAGCGTGTCCGGCTTGATTGGTTGGTTTAGAGCCAACGAAACGTCCAGGTACCTCGTGACTGTGTCATGGGCATATAGCAACGTAATTTCGGCGATTCCTGGCGAATGATTGTCGTGGTGTGCGTAATTCAGTGGTACTCGAAGTTGTCGTGGGGTGAGGTCGGCACACCAGAATGGGACGTGCGAACGGACGTTGCCTATGGGCAATCGATCTCCTGGCCCAGGTGGCGAAGGGAAGGTGACTTTCCACTTGATTTCGTCGCCTGTCGTCGTGACTCTCCCGCCTTCCTGTGGCTGCTGGTACAATAGCCTTGGCGCTATCACTCGAACGCTGTCGTCTTGTTCGCCCCGTTGCTTATTACTGAGCTCTTGCAGCGCGCTCTCCCTCAAGCGCTTCGCGTTTTCGTTGATGCTCTCGATAATTTTGTCGCTGATACCGTCTTGCAAGCACCAGTCGATCCAGCCTTGTCGGCAGTGGTACCACCAGTGTCGCTTCCTTCTCGTTTCGAAGTCTTGCTGGCTCTCCCCTGAACTTGGTGCAGGTGAAGGTTCGAATTGGATGAGCTCGATGTACACACCGTCGGGGAAGACGATGAGCACGTTGGATGTCAAGCCGTCAGCATGGGTACCGCCGCGCACAACTTGAAAGCCTAGCTCGGAGAACAGGAGAATGGCGCGCTCGAGTGCTGATGTACGTTGGGTAGAGGCTGTTCGAGGATCATTGACGAGCAGGATGAGGTGGTCGAGCGCCGGTACCAGCGATGTTACGGCTGCAGACATGTCTGTTGAGAGCCTTCCTCTAGTGACCTTGATCGCCGTGTGCTATGGAGGAGAAGTGGTATGGACAGGACGATGATGTGTGGGATAGGACCGTGCACAACTTGACCGGAAATCTGCCTGACTCGACCCTGAATTTTCATGCAGGACAGCCGACGATTCAGGGTCCAACCGACCTCGTCCTTCTTCCAGAATCATTCTTCGTACCAAACAGCATCATCTCAGGCGAGGATGCCGCCTACACCCTTTCAGCCGAGTCATCAGACTCCCTTCAAGTCGACCGTCTCAACCTCGCAGCAGTCGCGCATCCACCACACGCCTTTCGAAGGAGCCTCAACGGACTCTCAAGCTCCCATTTCGGTCTCTGACATTGACCCTTCGGAATGGAAGTACCACGCAGAAGGCGGCAAGAATCTTCTTCTTTCTTTTGATCCCGCTGGAGGCATTCGGGACGGTCAGGGCCCATTTGCGACGTCTGAATGTACGTACGCCTTGCGTATTCGCAAGAGCCTACCTGCTGACGCGGGATCGAACCAGGATGAAGAGGAAGAAGCGGAACAATTCACCCAACACGTCGTCCAACCTCTCCTTGGAAGTTCTTACGTCCTCCCGAGATGCATCAAGATTCCCATCCTGACAGCTCGCGATCGAGACATCATCGAAACCCTCTCTGCGCGCATAGAGATGCAACGTCCTGCAGCCCGCCGTGCCCACCCTGCTCGCATTCGATCCGAAACCCTGTCTTGCATCTACGCTGTAGAGGATGTAACTGCGCCTGTCCTTGCAGATCCTTCCGCGCAACAAGAGGTACTGTGTGTAGAGATCAAGCCAAAATGGGGCTTCCTAGCCCGTGTCGATTCGATACCGCCCAGCTCACCCAATCTCGAGATCAAAGCTAGATACTCTCGATACCGCATGCACAGGGTGACGAAGCACGCAGTCAGCGACAGTGCCGAACATATGTCGCTACAAGACTTTGAAAGGCTGTACGACCCACTCGACCTCTACAGCACGGACGCGACAAGGAAGCGTAAAGCAGTCGGAGCGCTGTGGCGCGACTGGATCGAGACGGGAGGCAAGACCAACAATCTGCGCCTGTTTTGGAATGGTGCCGTTGTGGGACCGCAAGACACGAAGTCCCTCGACTCCATTGCGCGGTTCTTAGGTGCAGACAAAGCGGTAGCTGGAGATCTGGTGGATGTGCTCGCAAAGCATATTGTAGACGAGCTGTCGAAGGCAAGCCTTCCATCTCGCGGCGAATCCGAAGCACCGGTGAGCATACTTTCACGCCTAGCACACCTTCAATCCGCACTCGATCCACTCGACGTAGAAGGATTGGCACAGCTCTGGCTCTCTCGCACCCAATCACACATCCTCGGCCAAGTTCCGCCCGACGTGGACCTTCCACCCGCACTCACGCGCAACCTTCCCGCCACAGAGCTGCTCGCCGTACTCGAACCGTTCCTCTCCGTCTCCGACAGACAGGTGACCTTAGAAGACGCAGTGCAAGCATTCCTCGTCGCGGCGACGTTCAAGGATTGCTCGATGCTGCTGCGCTTCCACCGATCCAACGAGGGGGTCATCGGGGAGACGAAGCTGGTGGATTTGGACAGCAAGCCGTTCAGCAAGTTGAGTGGTATGCAAAAGACGGACAACGAAGTGTGTGCTGCTTTCCTGGCTTGGTTGTCGAGTTGCGAAGGCTCGCCAGCTGCCTCGATGGCGCCGTAGAGACTTAGAAAATGCAATCGTAGTCAACCTTTTCTCTTCACCAAGAGCGTGGGCCGTGCGTGTGTGTCCTGCATCGAAAGGGTCAACTTGAACGAGATGTCTGAGGGGTGGTCTGGCTCTATAGTTCCTTGAATGATTGTATCATACATCTCTCGAATTTGTACTTCTCGCCTGTGACAAGAAGATCTGTTTCTCCCTATCCATCGTTTCCTCGCTCGTACTAGCCATAAGCAAACCACAGCATCACGAAGTCAGTCAGTCAGTCAGCATTGTCTCCTCTTCCATCTTCGACCAGTGTGGTAGTTGGACACTTACTATACACGCAAGCAATCGCTGAGCGCCTGCTTCTGATCCCTGCAGCTCCAAAGCATGCTGATCGTACGCGTCTTGGAGCACTCGACAAAGTTTTCCATCTGCTGACGACACTCCTTCAACGCTTTTGCCTTTTGCTGTTTCAACAGCGTGTCCGCTTCCCTGTTTGACAGGATTCGTTGTTGCTGTGTCGGTGGTGTGGAGGTGGACATCTTGGTCAAAGTGATGGGTGGGGGATTCGTGATGGTATCGAACAGCCGAGAGGAGGAGGAAGGAAGGGTTGATTCGGTAAGGGTCCGACTGAGAAGAAAGTTGTGGAGGTTCCGAAAGTGTTGCGTTTTCTCGCACGCGTGTGCTAAGCAGCATGGCACGTTGTCGGTCGTCTTGCCGAACAACGCTCATCGGCGGCTCATTCCGAATCCAGTATCCGAGATGTCCAATCTCATTCGCAATCGCAATCCAAGTCTCATATCATGGAGCGTCCCTCATGCTCTGATCTCGATCTCAACCAGACTCTACGTCAGAACGACAGTCAAGTCAAGATATGGAGTCAATCCCTGAAATCATTTTGCTTCAGAAGATGTGTGCGTGTGGGGCATCATTGTACAGAGGAAGGGACACGGCCCCTTTTGTTCTCAGCTGGGTAGAGCCGAAAAAGAAGAAATATAGGTGTGCGAGAGAGTGTGAAAAAATGCTAAGATGGCGGAGAAGTTGCAAGTGAAAAGGAAACGACTTTACACAGAGGTAAGGGGAGCGTGCTCCTTGAACTCGGTGTTGCGGGCCTTGACACCAGCATCCTCGGCACCGGCGATGGCAGCACCACCGTGAACCTCGAGAAGCTTGTTGAGGTCGTCCTTGGGCGCCTTGAGAACCTTGACCTTGCGCACGTAGACGTCCTTAAGGGGGAAGATACCCTGGGTGGCCTTCTCGACCTCGCGGCCAATGACCTCGGGGATGAGCTTGGCAACAAACTCGCGCAGGTCGCACGAGTTGGCCTCACGCTGCACAATCTCGAACATCTTTTGACGAATGGCGCGGATGTGCGACGACTTGGCGTAGGTGTTCTTCTTGACCTGGTTGGCGCGCTTCTTGGTGAAGGCAATGACGAACACACGGAGCAGGTAGCCGTCGGTGGTCTTGACGTCCTGGTGAGCCTCGATGAGCGACTGCCACTTGCGAACGAGCGAGCGCAGCTTGTCCGAGGTGAAGTCCATTCCGTAGAAGTTGGTGAGGCAGGTGCGGCCCTGGATGCCGTCGACCTTCAACTTGAACTTGCGGTAAGCCTGCTCGTCGTCCTTGTTGAGGTCAGCGAGCGAAGCCTCGACGATGCGGCCCTTGAGCGAGTCATCGGCGTTCTTGAGACCCTGCGATCGGTTGACAAAGGTCTTGCCGACGTTGCGGTTCTCGAAGAAGGTGGGTGCCTTGATGTCGTACCAGTCCTTGCGGGTGAAGGGGTCGACAGCCCTCTTCTTCTGACCCTTGCCCTTGGAGAGCTTCTTGTTCTTTCCGACAGCTGTTCAGTGGGACGTGGTGGAGGTGGTGAGAGCAAAGCAGGGTTAGTAACATTCTTTCGCCGAAGACCGAAGCAAGCTGAAGCCTCTTAAATGGGGGCGAGCCTGCGCTTCTGTAATCCAGCACCGCCAATCCTGATCGCATCCTTTATAACGGCAGCAACAACATCATGGACAATACGGGACGGTGGCGAATATGTGATGCGGAAGTCAAGATGCGTCGTGATGGTGGAGCTCTCAGCTTAGCAGTCGATATCGCGTGACGTCGGCACCTCCATTCTGGGCGCTACTGGGCATCTTCGATTTGACACTGCACGGTGCTGCGTCCCTCTCCAAGGCGACTTGTTGTCGGTGAATGTGGCAAGCGAAAGCGAGCGAGGGTGCACAATGACTGTGCGGCTGTAGAGATCCATCGTCGCCCGTGGAACGCCTGCCTACGGATGGTTGATGCCAGTGTTGCAAAGCTGTGACTTCTGAAAGTGGTCCGTAACGAGCCCCGAGGATGACAAGAGCTGCGCACATCCGACCAAATCGGCGTCCAACCCGACTCTCATGCTCGTGTAGAATCAATCCGACGTCCCTATAGCAAGCCTGCGCTACACTTTTGCGGCAGTCTCCATGCCGTGCGCCCTGAACGATAGATGCTGATGGCTTGCAAGTTGGCTAGTGATTGCAAGGCAGCCAGAGCAGGGACTGTCACCCATATCGTAGTGCGATGTTCAATCTCCATGCTGCGTCGCTGATGCTGCAGGAGTTGCTAATGATGTGCGTCGCAAAGGTCTGATGTTGATATCGGTAATGCTGCTGGATTTGTGCCGTCGTCGCGATGCTGCTGTTGTGTATAGGATGCGATAGGATGGACGATTGCTGCTGCTGAGGGTGACCACTTACCCATGATGAATCGATATGTCTTGAGGAAGGATGGATCAAAGAGAGAACGGACGATGTCTAGTCTCGAATCTTGGTCGTCTCGCTCGACTCGCTGTGTCTCTCTCTGGCTAAGCCTGGCTCACGGGGTGCTGCCTCTCTGCTGCTGTTTCTGCGACCGCGCAAGTTACTTGTTGCTGCTGGCTGCCCGTCTGCAGTCTTCCAAGAAATGGTGGCTGCTCTCTGTGGCCGTGGCTGCCTCCAGCCTGTTGAGAACTGGCTGGAACTTGCGAGCTCCAGGGACGCAGCGTGCTGCCTCAAATTTTGGATTTGCTGGCTTCAGCTCGGTTTCTAAATTTTTCAAGTCGGGGAAAGGCCGGCCGGAGACATTGGTCACGTGCAATTGCCCTTGTATACAAGATCGGAAATGCAGGCAATCCTGTAAATTCATATCCTCTGTATTCAACTTTATTGTACCTGCTGCTTGCTACGAGCTGAACGTGGTTCCCTGGGAGCCTGCGAAATACGAGGCACAGGTCACGACACCAGTTGTCGCGGTGTGGGAGCGGATCAACGAGCGAGCGACACGGCGAGGATTGACTGAGTTAACTGGTGAGCAAGCCTGGATTCTGAGAACACGAGCCAGGACTGCTTGCCTACCAGAGCGAGATGGCAGGCAGCGAACGCTAGAGCGCAAAGCAGTCGCTGTGAGGGTGTTTGATCGAGCAGGCAGGCCAAGAAGCTCGACTTGCCGTTGAGCGAGCGCCGGACGCAGTGTCACACTGGCTAGCGACCTTGAATCTTCTTGCCATCACGATCCCTCTCTCCACCCAGTCATCATCCGGTGTTCCATCCTCAAGGTAAGTTTTGGCCGCCCATTGCCAAGTAGTCATCTTGATCGTCATCAGCACCGTCTTCATAGCCAGCATCCGAGGCGACACGCACGCATCAGCCGCAGCAACGAAATCACGGCGCATCAGCAACACTACCTTTCAGCGTTCCACCAGACCATCCACGCAGCATCGACAAACACGCTGCTATCCTACGTCACATCGGCGAGAAAGACCCAGCAAAATAGTCCACCGGGCATCGTATCGGGACAGAGCAAATGCAAAGGTGGCACGGAAAGATGGAAGCGGGAGTAATTTGGATCATGTCGAGAAGATCGTATACCAGGCTCCGGTAGATGTGCTCCGCTCAGATGCGGACGCTATGCTGCTCTAGCATGTTATAGAGATCCTCATGATCGCGCAGTTGAAAGGAGGCACCAGGCCATCTTGCGACGCTGCAGTAGGAGCGTCATATCCTTCCTGTGTGCGGTACCGGGGGCCAGTACGGCGCTGACGAAGGAGCAACGAGTAGAGCAAGGAGGACTTGACCATGGCATCGCAGATACTCAACACAACAGGTTCATAAATCGCTCATGTTCCGATCTTTGCTCGTGCAACCAGCCGGTCGAAGCTTGGGGACACGGCAACTTAACCTCAGACACATCGTCGTAGCATCGTCACGACATCAGCATCGCACCAACTATGCTCCCTGATGACGACCAAGATGGCAAATTTGGACGAAAGAATCATGTTGGAATAGCTCGACTGACTCGTGTCTTTTCTTCGGTGTCATCGACCCACAGACTCCGTCCCTCATATAGTCAACATGGCTTCCGTTCAGCAGAAGATCTACCGCACGGCTAACGCCCCCACCGGCCCCGCCGATGAGGTCGAGACCGTTGTCGCTCAGGCTCTCATTGACCTCGAGTCCAACGTCTCCGAGCTCAAGGCCGAGCTCCGACCTCTCCAGATCTCGTGCGCCAAGGAGATCGAGGTTAAGGGTGGCAAGAAGGCCATCGTCATCTTCGTCCCCATGCCCCAGCTCAAGGCTTTCCACAAGATCCAGCAGCGGTAAGCATCTCATCCATGGATTTCAGCAGCCACATCCAGCAGCAGCAGCAACGTATTGCGCACAGTAGGGTACTAGCAGGGAAACGTTGCGACAATGATCATAGCAGGAGTGTAGCAGTCGACTCGAGGGTGTTGTCAAAGACATGCGGATGCTAGAGGAGGATCGGTGGTTGGGTAAAGGCTCGACGAGCATCCGCCCTGGCGAACCTGGTTGGACCAACACAGCATATTGCGACGAGCTTTCGCAGGGGGCTAGATCACGATACTGCTGCAGCTGCGATGTGTTTGCTGGAATCCTTGCACCGCCCTACCGCCCCATTCCACGTCAGTATACTGATTCTCCGATTTCCTCCGCTCTCCTTCGACCCTTACAGTCTCACCCGTGAGCTCGAGAAGAAGTTCTCGGACCGTCACGTTGTCTTTGTCGGCCAGCGCCGCATCCTCGGCAAGCCCAGCCGAAAGAACCGCAACCAGCAGCCCCGTCCTCACTCGCGCACCCTCACCGCCGTGCACGAGTCGATCCTCGAGGACCTCGTCTACCCCTCGGAGATCACCGGCAAGCGCACCCGTGTTTCCACCGACGGCAGCCGCTTGATCAAGTGCTTCCTCGACTCGAAGGACGCCACCTCGCTCGAGTACAAGCTCGACAGCTTCTCGTCGGTCTACAAGAAGCTTACTGGCCGCGACGTCAGCTTCATGTTCTCTTCGGACAACTAAGCGTATCGCGTTCCATCCCTGCTTCCCCCTCTCTATCCTGCATTAACTCATTTCGGAGTCGCAGCATCCTTTCGCGGCTTTGAATCCTCCTTGCGCATACAACGCATCACCCATCCATCCACCTCAAAAGTTGGCAGTGCGTTCACGTTTCTGTCAAGTCGTCGCTTGCTTGATGGACCTGGCGTGACCGCCGGCATCCTCGTCATTGGAAATTGTCGGTACGAATCGGCGATTGGCGAGGTGCGACAATCTTTATTCCCGCCCTCTTTCCAAACGTCTCTACCACCTGGGACGTTGTGTACTTGTTGTTCTTGACATTCTTCCCTATCACTCACGCACATGCACACAAGCGATGAAAAATCAAAAACTTGCTTCTCTAGAACCAGTCTACCACGAGCGTGATTGCCGAAAGCACTAGAGTCGTGCAAGCTATGTGCGAAGTGTCTCGATTCACGACTGGAGTGGTCTGGCGAGATCGAAAGTGGTCCGATGTCGTGGCCAGACGCTGTACATGATCAGCTTTGTGATCTGTGTGACTGCCGCACAAGGCGGCATCGTTGAGGAGCGGCTAAGCCAAAAGCAAAATAAATATCTGATACATTAATAGACTGAAAAAAGAAGAAAAGGCCGCAAACGAAAGCCAATGATCCACGCTTTTTATGCATAAGTGAGATCTCAAGCCTCTCTCCTCGCCAATTGCTTGGACTCTCTCTTGTCGGACCCTTTCCGTGGCTGCCAAGTCGACGGTCGCTGTTTGTAAGGCTTTTGACCCTCCTTTGTTTCCCTGCTGCCCTTTTTGCCTCCCTAAAGTCACACCAGCCGACACCATATCTCGTCGCATTCGACGGATTCGCCGAACAATCACATGCAGGGCTAGCACATCAAGCTTCTGCGCCCATTGTTGGGGCGCCTCGACTTTGGCTGCAGGAACACCTCTCCCAGACCAAGCTGAGCAGCAGTGAGCTTCAGCTCTCGACTCGTCGGCAGAATGAGCGGAGCACATCCTTTGTGGCCGGACTACGCTCCTCGGCAGCAGCAGCAGCAGCAGCAGCAGCAGCAGCAGGTGACAGCACCAGCAATCTCAGCACCCGCAGCAACGGGACAACCTGCTGGTTCGACGCACCACGCAGGCACCTTCTCATCCGCGTCAGCATTGTCTCCATCGTCTTCTTCCGTCTCCTCCTCTTCCCGGCACATGCCGAACGATGGCAATGCCATTGCGCATGTATCCCAGTCATCACGTACTTTACGTAAGCCAAGTCCCGCCATCTCGCCCTCATTTGCACACGACGCCGCTCGAGATGCGTCGCTAGGTCATGGTGGACGGCGATCCATGCACGGAAGCTTGGACCGCTCTCCTCCGCAAGCAGCGCCCTCGGCTGCATCGCTCGAGTTATCGCATGACGCTAGCTTGCTTCGCTCGGCATCTTCTTTCGCTGTCTCGAGCTCGTCGTCGAAAGCTTCCCGTATACCGGTGCCTTCGCAGCAGCCATTCGGATCACAAAGTGATCACGAGCGCCACTTTTTGACGTCCTCCTCGTCAGCTGTTGGCCCTCCTCCAATCAGCTGTCTTCCAGCCTCGTCCTCTTCTGCCGCTGCGGAAGCTTCGTCAACCAACCTCGCAAACCTTCCATCATCCTCTTCCACTTCGTTCACGCTGGGTCGTGACCTCTTAACGCCGCCGCCGCCGCCGCCGCCGCCTCAGGGCCATCCGTCCGAGCCTTCTACGTCACCTTCAACATTCCCCCTGCCATCTCGACCCAGCTCGAATGCACAATTCTCAAAACTGGCGCCTTCTCAGCATTCTCCTCCGCAGTCCGACATGAGGCACAATATCGCGGCCTTCGAGCCTACACTCCCCCCATCGTCTTTCGCCGCGCGTCGGGATGCCAGCTTTGCGAGGGTCCGGTCTGGCTCCGGCTCCGGCTCCGGCTCCATCTCCGCACAGTCGCGTGCAGTTCCGGCTGGCGACGCTGAAGTCTCGATCGCTGTTCATGTGTGGTGGCCTTCTACCTCCAAGAGCTCTTCCTCCACGCTGGCTAGAGCGCCTCTATTCCGTGATGCCGCCAACGTCAAGCAAAAGATTTCAATGCGAACCTCTTCTTCTCAGGGCCGCACCCCGGAACTCAACCACGACGCCGTGTTCGAGCGCGCTTCGTTCGGATTCCGACACGGCGCACATTCGTGGTTGCGGGAGAAACCGAGCAAAGCTCGTCTCAATGCGCCCTCCTCCTCTGTCGGTCCATTGGGTCAGTGGAAGCGTGCCATCCTACTCTTCCGTGAGAACGGCAGCCTGTCCATCTTCGGAGAAGGCAATGCGCTCACGCACACGTTACAATGCGGTACCCTTACCTCCTCCGACGTGCGGTCTGTTGATGACTCGCTCTTCGGAAGACCTCACGTGCTCTCGATCCGACCCCGACAGCCGCGTCACAGAACCGAGATCTCGATCACCACCCGCAAACAGGAGGCAGCGTTGGAAGAAGAGCGCGCTCGCAGCTCGGAGCCCATCTTTGTGCAATTCAACACTCAGGAGCATTTGCGGTACCTCAAGGCGCTCCTGCTCATCTACGCCATGCCCGAAATCTACGGCTCGGCGGCAACTGTCACTGATGGCGGAACGCATCGCTTCTTTCGACAACTGGACGTGACCATCTCTGACGCCAAAAGCATCACGCCAAAATGGCCTTCAGAGCCCGGTGAGGCCGCTTCGCCTTCTCTGGGCAACCACCCGAGCACGCACTCGCACCTTCCGGCATCGCCCACTAGCACAGCCACCACGAGCGGCTTTACCACGTTTTCCAGCGAGCCAGCCCGCTCCCTCTCGCATCAACTGGCTTCGCTGCGCTCCGATGATCAAGATGACTCGCCTGCATCTGAAGCGTTGACCGAAGACGCCATGTCTGGATCCTCGCGTGCAGGCTCCCGTCCGAGCTCGCGGCCCGGTTCTCGCATGCGCCACAACGCGCAGCCGTCCGTTAGCAGTCTGCGTGCGGACGCCGACAACGATGCCGGGAGCGGTCCGAGCAGGCCTGCCTCGCGCGCTGCTTCGCTGCACGAACATCAGTCGCAAACGGGCGATCAGGTCAACCTCCACAATCAGTCCATGCCAGTTCCTCTAGGTGGTCAGTCTGGTGCGAATCGGTTTGCAGGTATCTCTACTCCGGCGAGCGAGTTCGCCGCTTCCAGCCCTGGGGCACCGAGCTTCATGGCCTCTCGAGCTTCAGCGCAGCAGCGCCGCGATGACAAGGATCGATATGACAAGGCGCGCTTCGATCGCTACTGCCGCATACGCCTGGATGGCGAGCTCGTGGCTCGAACTAGCCTTTCGCGCGCCAACAGCAGCGCCTTTGCCGTCGACAAGTTCAAGCTTCACGATGTCGGCGATGCCAAGTCGCTCATCATCGAAGTGCTTCACCCTACCGAAAAGACCAACACCTCTTTGACCGGCTCACCCTCTCCGACAATCAGCAAGTACATCCTCTTGGGAATTGTCGAGATTCCCATCGAGACACTGCGCAGGAATGAAGACATCGAGGGTCGGTATCCCATCTGGTCGGTCTCCACTTTCCCGTCGCTGTCGCAGCAACAGTCTTCCTCATCTATCGTCGCAGACGAAGATGATGCCAAGCCTGCCACCAGCTTCCATCGCGGCGTGGTGGGCGAGCTGAGCCTATCCGTACGCCTCCATGAGGGCGCTGTGATGCCGCTGAGCATGTACGACGAAGTCTATCGCATGTGCCATCACGACGACATCATTGGAGTGGTTCGCCATCTCGCCACCACTATGCGCGAAGACCTGCTCGTTTCGCAGATCACGCGTATCTGTGCAGCCTCTGGCACCATCGCCTCGCGTATTTCGAGTTTGATCGAGCTTGAGAGCGCCAATTGGGGCGAAAAGATGGAGCCCGAGCTGCTCTTCCGCGCCAACACGCTGCTCTCTCGCTCCGTGGATCACTTTCAGAGACTTCTCGCGCTATCTTGGCTCGATGATTGCCTCGGACCGACGGTGCGCAAGATCTGCTACGATCCTCTTGCACAAGCTCGTCCGGATACGGCAAACTCTACCGGCAGCGCTGGCTCGGCAGCCGACGATAGTCAGTTCGACTTCAGCACTTCGATCCGCTCACCACCCTCGCTTCCGGCCAGCGCCATCGACTCGATCCCAGATGGTCCCATGACGATCAATGCGCTCAGAAAACTGAGCGAATCCATGTGGCAAAACATCTATCGCCAACGTCACAGCTGCCCCCCGGATCTGCGTAGCATTCTCCACCAGATTCGAACCAAGGTCAACGAGCGCTATCGCGGAACCAAGTCGGCTCGGCCAGGCATTCAAGCCGTCGGCTCGTTTGTGTTTCTGCGCCTCTTTTGTGCAGCGCTCAACAGCCCTCAGCTGTACGGTCTCGCGTCCTCTCAGCCGAGCCGCGGCGCATCACGGAAGCTATTGCTGCTCAGCAAAGTGCTTCTTGCTCTCGCAAGCAAGAAGACGGCGTTTGACAAGGACAAGGACTGGGAGCTGGTGCCGCTCAATGATCTGCTGCGGACCTATTCGTCCGCCTTCGACGATTACATCAGCGTCATCTCGACCGAACCTCCTACATCCGCGCCAACGCAATGGCTCGGCATCCGCATCGACGGCGACGTTGACCTGCAGGCTGCAGCGCTGCGTAGATCAAGCTCGTTGTCCAAATTGCATCGCGAATCGATCCCGCGCGCTCCCTACATGCTCGATCAGCCGCAGGCACTGGCATCCTTTGTCAGTTTTGTGGCCGATTCGGCGCCAGATCGCGAGCAGGCGGATTTGAGCTACGGCGCGGGGGCCGCTATGATCGGCGGAAGCAACAGCGAGCAGGCCGAAGCTGACAGGATCAAGCAAAAGGCGGCAGAGTTTGTGCAGGTCTGCTGTCGGATCGAGGAGGCGGCAGGCATGCGCATCGAGCAGGCGGGCTACGATCCTCGTCCCATTCCGTGGGAGCGACTGCAGAGAACGGAAGTGTCGCAACGTTACGGCGAAGGTGGAAGCTCCCCGGCCTTTGAGCCGTCATCGGCTTATGCTAGTCAGAGCCGTGCATCGGCTGGATCCCTCTCATCATCGACGGCAACTCTCGGCACTGTGAGAAAGATGGGAAATGACTCGAGAGATACCGGCGATTCTTCTCCAAGTTCTGGTTTGGGTCGCCATCGCAGCCGCAGAGCCACGGTCGGCACTGCCAATGCGCGACCAAGGATGAGCGACTCGATGAAAGGTCATGACAGCACGCTCGATCGCGCAGGCGCGAATCCGGATGGCGGATCACCGAAGAGCGCTCGCAGGAAGAGCGTTGGTGTAGCTGCTCGATCTGGGCTCAAGACAACGCAGATCTCGACGGATACGCACAAGCCAGGGACCGTGAACGATAGCTCTGGAACCGGAAGGAGGACGATCGAGAAGGAACATACCGGCAGCAGCGCGGCGCGGCAGGCGCCAGCCGTTTGGGGCACAAAATTGCATCACCGCAGCGCATTTGCGAGATTGCGGAACGAGGAGGATGAGCACGGCTCGGATGATGAGCTTCGCCAGGCATATCGCACGCTGCGCGCAGAAGAGGAGGGTGTTGCCGTCGGTGCATCACGGTCAGCGGAGCCTGCTGGAAAAGCTACTGCGGAGACCGCAACGGTAGGAACGCAGCGAGCCATGTCGCCACTGGCAGGCGATGCGACGGGATCTGGACGCAGCTTGCAGACGACGGTAGCGCTGCTCGAGGCGGACGACGGTTCGACGTTTGTGCCGGTCCATGCTGTGCGCGCGGCGAGACCTGACATTGGACCAGAAATGCCGCTTCCTAGAGATGCGGACCAGCCCAGTGAGCAAGCACGCTCACACGCACGACAAGCGAGGCCAATCACGTCGCATGCTGCTGCTGCCCCGTCGACGGTGCAAGCAACACCTGAAGGTAGTCTTGCTGCCCAGCCCAAGCCAGCTTCGTCGCTGCCTGTAGCATCATTGGACCCGCGCGGATCGTCCACTGGCGATGGAAGTGAGGCTAGGAATGGCCTGACGATGGGAAGGGAGGCCGCAAGCGAGGCAGACACGAATCGAAGGCATTCCTTGGGTCAGACGGGAGCGGTGGCACGCAACTACTCGCTTCCACGGCCTGCAGCCGAACGAAAGGGTGTGCCGAGCCACGAGCATCAGGATCGTGAGAGCTCAGACGGGTTCGAGTTGGCAATCGAGGATGCCTATGCACAAACCAGAGCGTCTCTGCCGCCATCGGCCTCGATGCCTGTGTTCATGGGACAGCCAGTATCATCATCGTCAGCAGGAGGAGCAGCGGGCATGGCAAGATATGGCGACGACGCTAGCCACGGCGTCGATATGGCGGCGGCAAAGAAGAAGAGGTGGTGGAAGCCTTAATAGCATTTCGCTCTTTCCAATCAAATATTACTGTACGAGTCGCTAATTTACAATCCTTTCAATCTGGCTATTCTAAAGAAGGATGCTTGTTGGTTGAGATGCGGTCTTCAATTGAGTCTCGGCGAGATGAAGGTTTGGTATATTGCCGCGAAAAGGTCCAGCGAATCTCGTATCAAGAAACGTAATTGAAAAAAAGGCAAAAGGAAAAAGAACTGCAGCACCTAGGATTCCCGCGTGGTCCCCCACCGCAGTACTGACTAGGCGGTAAGTTGCTTAACTTCGCAGATCGGACGGGATGCGGTGTTTTCAACTTCCTGTGGCCGCAGATGTTCAGCAACGAACTAGTTGCATATACAACCCACTCAGTACTATTGAAAGCTAAAACATTTGCGCCTACATGGACGCATTGTCGCGCCAAGCAACACAGTTTCTTGACGCCTGGGTGAAGTCACAATGAATACGGGCACAGAAAACCCCCAGGATCATAAGCACTGGGTCGAATCGGGCACATCAGATTCGCGGTGCTGTCGGCGTCCTGAGGCGTGAGCACCAGGAACCAAAGGCAAAGTTGAACAGCTTTGGTTATCAAGAAATTGGCGCTTCGGACCAGAACGTGGGTCAAGGGTCTGGAATCTAGACCGGCGGCTCGTGCAGCTAAAGACGCTTTCTTGACAGCAGCTCCACCGCGTCCTGAGACCAAACCCTAATCCCTCTTCAACAGCCTTTCACCGCCTCAAAACACCCCTCGACCCACTTGAGAGCGTCTTTTCATGCTGCATTCTGCCGATCCCATCTTGCAACGTGCGCGCTTTCCTGTGCTCGGCCAACTTTGATTGTCCTCCTCCTTTCCCGTCTGAGGGCTTTGTGCGAGCTGCGCTAGCGATTATTGTGCTTCTACGTACCTGAAGCTCCCTTTCCGGCGTTGGCCTCTTGGTCAGCCAATGCTGATAATGCGTTCATTTCGTATGTCAATCGATGTCCCTATGCTAGCGCCAAGCTGCGCCCGGTACCCTTGCACAGCTTCTGGTTCATGCGAGAGCCCCTTTCGTTCATGCTGTTCCGTTCATTCTCGCCCTTGCACCCACACAGCCCGTATATGAAATCTGAGACCGGTGCCGAGGAGCCACCTAAGTTATAAAGTACAGATCCCTCTCTCGCCCTCCTCTTTCCAGCTCCCTCCTGCGATCTCTCCTGCTCGACACTATACCACCACGACTTCGCAGCCGTCGTACGACTGCAATTTCCCTAGTCATGGCGCCACTCACGCGCTCCAATAGCAGCGGAGACTCGTTCTCCGAGAAGCGAGATGTGGAAAGCGGCGCCCAGCCTGCTGCTGCCAGCGCCACCTCCAAGAAGCTGGGACCTTCATTGAGCTTTGGCGCCAACCTCTCCAACCTTCGATCTCGCACCACACGTTTCGACGAACCTTCGAACGAACAGCGTCGATTGGAACGCACCCATTCCATCGCCGCTTCTCTTCGCGGTCCCTCGCGTATCGACCCGTCCGCCAAAGTTCCCGTCGAATTCCGCACGCTCTCCATCCAGCTCTCCCAAGGCGGGCTTGCGGACGACTCCAAGAAGCACAAATCCGACAAGCGCGCCGTCAAGGAGCTCAACGACCTCGACTGGCACAGGATCAGCGTGGATGAGGTGCTCTCGCGCACATCCACCTCCGCCACCGCCGGTCTCGACAACGATCAGATCGAGCGCAGACTCAAACAGCACGGCAAGAATGTCATGTCCAAGCCACCCAAGCGTTTGCTGCAAAAGTGTTTCGGTTACGTCTTTGGTGGATTTGGAACGCTTCTCATCGGCTGCTCGATCCTGGCGTTCATTGCGTGGAAGCCACTGGGCAACCCAAATCCTCAAACGTCCAACCTCGCCCTCGCTGTCGTGTTGCTAGTGGTAGTGGTCATCCAAGCGGTCTTCAATGCGTGGCAGGATTTCTCCACTTCGCGAATCATGGATTCCATCGCAGGCATGCTCCCCGACGCAGTTACTGCCATTCGAAACGGTTCCCACAGCAGTATCGAAGCTCCGGATCTCGTGGTGGGAGACGTCGTGGTCGTTTCGTTGGGAAACAAGATCGCTGCCGATTTGCGGTTGATCTCTTGCCACGAGGCAAGGTTCGATCGATCCGTGGTCACAGGTGAAGCCGAGCCTATCGCAGGAGCCGTCGACCTGACCGACGAGAACTACCTCGAGACGCGAAACATCGCTCTCGCAGGCACAAGTTGCGTCTCGGGCTCCGCTATCGGTGTCGTCGTCGCCACGGGTGATAACACGGTCTTCGGAAGGATCGCCGCCATGACGAACCGACCCAAGGCCGGTCTCACGACGCTGGAGCGAGAAGTGCGATACTTTGTGCTCACCATCGCTGCCATCGCCGTCGCCCTAGCGGTGATCTGCATCATCATCTGGGGTGCTTACCTCCGACCCAAACATCCCGATTTCATGTCGGTCTCCCAACTCCTCGTCAACGTCGTCTCGATTCTCGTCGCATTCCTCCCCGAAGGCATGCCCGTAGCGGTCACCCTGTCGCTCACTGTCATCGCGCAAAAGATGAGCAAAGCAAAGATCCTCTGCAAGCAGCTCTCCACCTGCGAAACCCTCGGTGCCGTCTCGGTGCTCTGCTCGGACAAGACCGGTACGCTCACCTCGAACAACATGACCGCCACCAGCGTCGGTGTCGTCGGGTTCGAATCCACCCCTGCGGATGCACACGATCACGTTGCCGGAGCAGCTGGACCGGTGGGCCACGCATTCGAACAGGTGCAGTTCGTCGCTGCGCTCTGCAACGCTGCCGTCTTTGATGCTGCCACCATGTCGTTGCCAGTGGGCGAGAGGAAGATCTTTGGCGATGCAACCGATTCGGCGGTCTTGAGGATGGCTGAACAAATCCGCTCGGTGCAAGAGACGTCAAAACCGTGGGACACCGAGTACAGATTGAACTTCAACTCGAAGAACAAGTTTATGCTTCAGCTCGTGGGACTTCGATCTGAAGCTCAGGAGGATTCTGCAGCTGCGCAGAAGCTTGTCTCTTCTGCCATGTCGAACGGAGAAGCTTCGACCTTTGACGCGAAGGAGGACAAGATTCTGCTTGCAAAAGGTGGTCCTGATGTGTTGCTCAAAAGAGCAACGTCGGCGTTGGATGCGGCGGGAGAGGTCGTACCTCTGACAGACCAGGTTCGAGGATCGATCGAAGCCATGCAGTCGCTTTGGAGTTCGCGCGGTCAACGAGTTCTCCTACTTGCGCGCAAGATCATCCCAGCTTCCGCATTGGATACCTCGATTCTCATCGAAGATGCCGTCATGGCCGCCAATGTGGATCTCACCGTTGTCGGCCTAGTCGGCATTGTCGATCCACCACGCCCGGAAATCCCATCCGTCGTCTCTACGTGTCGCGGCGCCGGTATCCGCTTCTTCATGGTCACCGGAGACTTTGAGCTCACGGCAACCGCCATCGCACGTCAATGCGGCATCATCACGACCTCCACCCTCTACCGTGCCGACAACATGCACTCCGTGCAACTCCCCGTCTACGACACCCATGCAGACAACTCCGATCGCACGCCGCACGCCCTCTCGCTCACCGGTGCCGACTTGATCAAGCTCGAACCCAGCGATTGGGAGCAGATCTGTCGATTCGACGAAATCGTCTTCTCCCGCACCACGCCCGAACACAAACTTCGAATCGTCAAGGAGTTCCAACAGCGAGGCGAATGCGTCGGCATGACCGGAGACGGTGTCAACGATGCTCCCAGTCTCAAGCAGGCCGACATCGGTATCGCAATGGGTGGTGGATCCGCCGTTGCGATGGAAGCGGCGGACATGGTCCTGTTGGAAAACTTCTCGGCCATCGTCGATGCTTTGCTTTACGGCCGACTGGTTTTCGTCAACCTCAAGAAGACGGTCGGATACCTGTTGCCCGCAGGATCGTTCGCGGAGCTTTGGGCAGTGCTGCTTTCGTTCTTCTTCGGTCTACCGCAGGCGTTGAGCAACCTCCAGATGATCTTTGTCTGCATCGGTACGGATGGCATTTCGTCCCTCTGCCTGGTCCACGAACAACCGGAAGCCGAGCTGCTGAAGCGTAAACCGAGGAATGTCAAAACGGATCGTTTGGCCGATTGGAAGCTCCTCCTTCACGCATACCTCTTCGTCGGTGTACCGTTGACACTCACTTCGTCGGCGATGGCATTCTGGTACATGCAACGCAACGGAGTACCTTTTTCGGACATGTGGTTGAAGTACGGCGGTGGTCGTGTCCAAACCATGGATCCGGCTAGGTTCAACGAGGTGCTGAACAGGGCCAACGCCGTCTACTTCTTCAACCTGGTCATCCAACAATGGTTCAACCTGCTCGGATGGAGGACGCAGACCCGATCGATCCTGCAGCAGCTTCCCGTGGGCAAGAAGTCGACGCAGAACCTGTACCTGTTCCCAGCCATGGCGGTGTCGCTGTTGATCGCGGTGTTTTTGAGTTACATCGGGGCGTTCCAGAGGGTGTTCTTGACCAGAGGTGTCAACGTGGAGCACTACTTTTTGCCGATCGCGTTCGGTGTGGGGATGCTGGCGTTGGAAGAGACGAGAAAGCTGGTGGTGAGGACTTGGCCGAAGGGAGTGCTTGCTAAGCTAGCGTGGTGATGCTGGGCTCTGGCGTACACCGATTCGGTATAGACTGCTACATCTGTAAGATCCTATTCACTCTGACGTTGTTGATGCCAATGATAATCTTCGAACGCATCTTTCTATTCGGCAAAGTGTGTCCAAGCACGTTGCTCTATCAAGGTCGCCTTATCCCCCAGTAGGTCGTTGTCGAATCCTAATGACACAAGAATGTTCCTCGCCGTCACATCGGCCATCATCTTTCTTGTGTCGACCACGGTCGATGCTGTGTGAGGCAAGATCATGACCCTATCTCTGAGGTCTTCAGCCAGCAAAGGATGACTGGAATCGACGTTCGGCTCGCCCTGAATGACATCCAGCAGTGCCGCTGCGATCTTGTTCTCCCTTAATGCTTTTTCTAGATCCTCATTGACGACGACTGTGCCTCGTGCAACGTTGATCAATACGGCTGTGGACTTCATCCTGTCGAAAACGGTCGAGTTGATCGTTGCGTTCGTCGAGGCGTTCCCTGGGCACAGCACGATCAAGATGTCCGACTGTGCTGCCAATTGGAGCAGATCTGGTTCGTTGACGATTTGTGTCTGAGGGTAAAAGCTTTCCCGCAGCGAGTGAAGACGTGGAAACGATTCCGCTGCGAAGGGCTTGCTTCTCGAGGTGGTATATGCGATCTTTTTGACGTCGAAACTGAGCAACTTTTCCGCTGTCTTCTGAGCGATTCTCCCGAAACCATAAAACCCGACCGTTTTGCCCGCCGGACTAAATCCACAATGCATGGTCGGATCACGCAACACGTCTCGCAGCGATGCCGCAAACTTGCCCTCCATCACCAGCGACAGCAGGTGATCGATGCGACGGCAGTAATGGAGCAGCATCGCGATGGTGTATTCGGCGATCGAGTCGTCTCCGATATACGGTGTATAGCCGACTCGTATCCCCGCATCGTGACAGGCAGCTCGATCGACTGCGTCGGTGCCGACGCTGTACGTCGAGACCACTTTGAGCCGATCGCCCGCCGCGGCAATCTGCTCTGCACCGAAACGCCCTGCTACCGGCCACGTGATGGCGGCATCTGCTCCAGGTAGGTGTGTGAGGAACCACTCGTGCAGTTCAGAGAAGGTGAGCCCGGGCGGGGGGCTGATCAGGTTGACCCGATTTCCCCGCACAAAGTCTTGGAGGATGGGAGATGGGAGATGCTCGAACAGGGACACGATCTTGGGAACCACGGCGGCTGTACCTGAGTCAGTGTTTGCGCCCCCGCCGGATGCAGATGCTGGCGTCGCCATGTGTTCGACGGATGTGGGGTCGAGGAGAAAGTAGATTTGCTCAGTGAGATGATTGTTCTTGCAGACAATGCACACGAGCTGCTGCCGCCCACACAAGAGTGAGTGAACACCTGTCTCAGCCTTTTGACAGCTCCGCGGCGGTGTCATCTCGGCTAGAAATCCGGTGTCTCAAAGGCACAAATCGGCTGAAACTCGAGTGTTACGTCGTTAGTACGGATAAGGATTACATTTCAAACCCATTTCGGCGTGTTAGACTTTCTTTACGCGATGCTCCAACCTGGAGCAACGCTTCTTGTGGCAGTGGCTGTGGCTGTCGACGACCTCGTCCAGACAACCGGCACCGCCTCTACGGGCTGATTCGAAGGTCGTGGGCGCAAGTCATATTCTGCGACACTTGGTCGCCTGATCTCGGATGCCGGTTGCTAAGGCAGAGCTTCAACAACTTTGCTCGAATGCCGGACAGCTGGCAGTAGACTGCGCGCAGCAATGCGGAGAGAGAGACGACGTTTCATAAGTTTCAATCACCGCTACGCTGCGCCGACACATTTGAAGCCACGCGAAAGCGTGTCTGGTTACGAACGGACAAATGCCTCGCGTCGAGAGGCTGCATCGATCACAGAAGTGCTCAGCAGCATTCGCTGGGAAACCAAAGGGGAAGCTTTATCAAGGAAAGCAGTCGCAAAGTTCATCGATCGATCAAAGGGACGACACACGCACAAAGTACGCAGAAGGAGTTTGCGACCCGAAAGACGGCAGACGGCACGTCCGTTGGCAGTGCTTGACAAGCTCGGAGATGACAGCGGGACCGGTGGGAAAATTCATCGAGACACAAAGGAACCAAAGCGACGGAAATTTCGGAGTGGAAATGCGCCAAGTTGGCCAAGCACCGCGTCTGGCGACTCCCATGCAGGATGGTCCCCCGAACGCGTGCGCTGTCACGCAGCCACCCGATATGCCCTCCGTGCTTAAGAAGATGGCAGGACGATCGCGATGCGGTTCCGACTTACTCCTGGCGCTCCTGCTTCACGATGCAACTCGACCTCAATATACTGCTGCAATGCGATCGTGAATCCGCATGCTTGCCAAGAACAGCCAGAGGAACGGGCAAAGCTTGGAACGGGCGATGCGCAGCTGGCAAACAAAAGAGCGTGCGTGTCGTGTGGAAACTGGCAGGTCGGCAAAGAGGTGCAGAGAAACCGTGCATGCATTCGATTGATGCTCTGCCAGCAAAGTGCCTCTCTCCTTCGACCACGCGGCACATTCGCAGAGACTCTCTGTAGGTGTACCGCCCCTTTTTTGACAGCCGAAATCGAAATCTAGCTCCCTGTCGGCCCTCCTCACTGCTGGAACGCTGTCGCACACATCACACAGCCAACATCGATCCCGGTCGACCGATTTGCGCCCTTTCTGGCTTCTTCCTTGCTCGGCGAACTCTGCAATCCAGCGTGGTCGAGACGCAAGCCAAGACTACCATGACCGTGACCTCTCTCACGTCGGCGGTGCTGTCCGATTCGGAGGGTTGCAGCTTTCTCTTTCTCTTGCACCCCTCGAATCAGTCGCATAGGCGGCTGTTCCGGTTGTCGTCAATTGGCCTGGCCATCCGACACAGCAGAGGGTAGTGCAGCGGAGCAGCCGAATGCCAAGACAATCCAGCAGCAGTGTACAGTGCGATGCAGAAAATGTGTCGAGCAATCTGAATGGCATACAGTGTAGCTGGTGAGACCTTTTTCGCGAGTCGGGGCGTAGCACTTCTGAATCACGTTGGTCGTGTGTGACTTAGCCGCCAAGAAGCGCAGACCGGATTCCTCGCTGTGAACTGTACACCACATTCCCCGTTCTTATGGTCGTCACTTGCTCCTCCTCCTTCCCTTTCCTTTCCTCCTCATCCTCATCCTTTTCTCCCTCCGGTTCTACGTGTGTACCTTTGAATCTCCTGTTCGACGAGCTGGTTCTCGCTTCACTTCCATCTCCTCTCCATCCATCTTGCAACCCATCCATCCCCGACTCGTTTGCTGCTGTAGCATACCATCTCCCCTCGAACACTCTTGCGCTTCGGTTGACCCGAAACACATCAGCTCTCACCTCGTTTGTCATTTGATCAAGCCGGTCTCGATCTCTTGTCTCGCTCCCTCGCTCTATCTCCTTCTGCTCTTTTAGATCCATCTCTCCATCCTCTTCTCTCTCTTTCTCTCCATCAACCAACACCACCATGAAGTACCTCTCTGCTCTCGCTTTGGCTTTCGCCGCTTCTCTGACCATCGTCTCGGCCACTCCCGAGCCGATGATGCTCGCCGTTTCTCCTGGTCAGGGCCGATCCAGCCGTGGTGTTCGATCCGTGATCACTGGCCACAAGATTCGATCCCACACCCACCACTCGCGTAGGCAGCAGCACCACGACGACGACCTCGTCGCCCTCGATCGTCGCTTCAACAACGCCACCTTGAACGCTGACGAGGAGGAGGTCGCCGCCATCGCAGCTTCGCACCAGAAGCGCAAGAACACCTGCACGCCCAAGAAGGCCGCCGCCTCTGCTCAAAACTACGCAAAGGGTAGTGGCTCCAGCTCCAGCTCCAGCTCGGCTTCCGGCTCTGCATCAGCAGCTGGTTCCAGCTCCAGCGCCAGCTCTAGCTCCAGCTCCAGCTCGAACTCCAACTCCAATTCGGGCTCCTCTTCATCCTCATCCTCATCCTCATCCTCATCCTCGTCATCGTCGTCGTCGTCATCATCCGGCTCCTCGAGCTCCAAGCCCTCCACCTCAAACTGGAAGCTCGTCAAGTCGTACGCTGGCAGCTCGTTCTTTGACGACATGGACTTTTACACCAACGCTGACCCCACTCACGGCTCCATCACCTACCTCGACCAAGGTTCGGCTCAGAACAAGGGTCTCATCTCCACCAGCAACGGCAAGGCAACCATGAAGATCTCGGCCGGCAACGGTTGGGCCCAATCGGTGCGCATCAACACCAAGGACTCGTTCACCACCGGTATCTTCATCCTCGACGCCGAGCACATGCCCGTAGGCTGCGGTGTCTGGCCCGCCTGGTGGTCCACCCCCACCAACCCCAACGGCGGCTGGCCCAACGGAGGCGAGATCGACATTATCGAAGGCGTCAACGACTACTCGTACAATACCTACTCGATCCATACCACGGGAGGATGCACCGTACCGGCCAAGCCCAACATGTCGGGCAAGTTCACGCTCCAGAACAACCTCGCCACCAACTGTGCCTCGGACGCCACTGACAACAAGGGCTGCGGTGTCACCTCTACCAAGGGAGGCGACTTTGGCACCTCGTACAACAAGAACGGAGGCGGTGTTCACGCCATGTACTGGTCCGAGTCCGACGGCATCTCCACCTACTTCTTCCCCAAGGGCTCGGTACCCGACGACATCAGCTCTGGCTCCCCAGACCCGTCCAACTGGGGTCAGCCTCAAGCACACTGGCCCGCATCGCAGTGCAACATTGGCAACTACTTTTACAACCACGTCGTCGTCTTCACCAACACCATGTGCGGTGATTGGGCCGGCTCGGGCGATGTGTGGTACAACGCCATGAACGGACAGTCGCAGTCATGCAGCGCCAAGACCGGTTCCAGTTCCTGCCAGGCCTACTTGAGCAGCAACCCGGACATGAGCGAGGCCTACTGGACTATCAATTCGCTCAAGATCTACCAGACTTCTCGTCGTTCCTAAGATACTCGGTCCGAGCTTCTGTCCGGTACAGAGCCTGACCTTGATCTTTGGGGCTACATATAGGTATTGGCATGTTACGCACAATGTACACACTGTCACCATCTTCATTTCTGCCATGTAGGCCCACTTCTGTTTCGTCTCTGCGAGACGACATCGCGGGCTCTCTTGCTCACATCATTTGCTGTTCGTCATCGTCATCGAAGGGACTGGTTTCCCTCTGACTGATCACGTAAAATCACATCATGCATCACCAACTTCCGAGGCTCTCGTCTGTCTGTTCTCGGTGAAGAGTTGTGCATTGCAACGAGAGATGATGAGAGACGTGACTCTGTCGAAAATTCCACCCTCCATCATGGTCCCGCTCCGTCAGACGCCCATTGAACCCGCCACACGCCCCACCAATTACCTCTTTCCCAACCGCCTGCTTCCCTCACCACCTCGACTTCCTCCACCTTGCCATCACGTCGATGCACTGCAGGCATCGTCCTCGCTGCATCTTCGACCAGAGCTTCGAGCTCGCCGGAACGGAACATGTGGTAGTACCTGTTGTACACTGGTCTCGCACTGTCCTCCTCTGGCTTCTCCGCGTGCTCTGCCTGTCCTGCATCGGGGGTGATGTTCAAGCCTGACATTCCCTCTTCGATGGCCTGGTCCTTCTTCCTACCCTTGCCGCTTTTGCGTTCTTTCGGTTTCTTCTTGGCATTTGCCGTCGTCAACACCCATGGAACGAGTACGTCCTGATCATCAGTCACCTTTGCGTCCGCTTCCGTACCAAGCACGTTCTGCAACCCACTGTAGGATACCAAACGATCCTTGCTCTTTTCATGATTCGGATCGTGAATCTCTCGCTTCTCACCAAGCGATTTCGGATCGTCGGCTTGAAACTGTCGTTTGCCTTCATCTTTCTGCTCGAGAGCCCAGACGAAGATCATGAACCTTCCACTGCCCACCCCGCCTTCCATGCGAGGATCTTGATCCGTCGAGACGACGGATGGATGCAGAGTCGTGACAGAGTACACGGGTGCGATGAGTCGAATCATCTCCTGCACAGAAGCACGTCTTCGCTCCCACGTGGAAAAGTGGTGGATGGTGGCGATGCTGATGGCGTAATCGAAGAGAGCGCTGCGCAGCGATGAGCGGATCGCATCCCCCACAGCCACCTCTTGACGTCGCCCGGCGACGCTGGATAGGGATTTGGTGGCATCATCGTTCGAGGTCGTGCCGAAGTTGTGTTGCGCCAGACTGATCAGGTTGGACGAACGATCAACGCCGATCGTCAATAAGCTGTCCTGACGCTTCGAATCCGAGTCGGTCGCCGCGGATGGAAGAGCGAGCGTCGATCGGATCGGTAGGTACTTGCCATTCCCACAACCGAGATCTGCGCCTAGGCTGCCCTGAGGTATCGTGTTGAGGAAGGCGGGTATCAAAGGCCAAGGCTTGTAACGCGTGTTGGAGAAGTGGGGTGCGATCGTTTCGTAGATCCTGTTGGTACGACGTGGGAAGTAGAATGGAGTCAGCGCACGCTCGGTGGGGCCTTCTGGGTCGTCCGCGCTGGAAGGCTACGCACTTACGCATGTACATTTTGCTGCTCGTAGGAAAGCGCATCGAACTTCGCGGAGGCTGCCGATGGCTTCTTCAGTTGCAAGCCGAGCTGCTTTTCAGCCCAGTCGATGATACCGATCACCACGTCCTCGAGCGACTCGAAATCGACGAGCTTGGCAACGATCGACTGCGCTTCTGACGAAGAGTTGTCGAGGTGAACCTCGTTGCTTCCGGTGCTTGCCGACGCTTCCGACCTCGCCACGGCAGATAGCAACCAGCCGAGCTCGGAGGAGGTCTTGGATGGCGAAATGCAGGCATCAAATGTCACTGTCGCGCCAGCATCCGAAATCACGCGGAAGGCGAGTTGCAGGCTGAGATTTCGTTGCGCTTCGTCGATCGCGCCCTGAACTGGAGTTCGGAACGCGATTGTGACGGCGATCTTCCCAGAATCTTCGCTTCCGGCTGACGCGAGAAGGTCGTCCAGTGAGACATCATCCGCTTGGTCCTGACTGCTACCTGCGAATTCTGCAGCGCTCTCACTCGAAGCAATGGCCGAATGCATAAGCTCAGTCACCTTGACTTCATCTCGCAGCACTTCGATGGCAGCAAAGAGTCTGGTCAAAGGCGAAGCACTAGCCTGGGATGCACTACCATCGTCCATGGCATCTGGCGACGACAATGGAGCACTCAGAAGCGGGAGTGTGTCAATGACCAGCCCTTGGGACTGGGTGCTGCGAACGCTCTCAACTGTCTGTGCAAGTGTAAAAGTGCATCTCGTTGACCTGCGTGCGTTCTCTTCGGGCTGTGAAGGACGGCGAGACCAAGACGAAGCGAGAACGTCTTCGAACCAGGTTGCACTCGTGGAGTCTCCGCCTGGGGCGACGGGGTTGGTGTTGTGAGGCGAAAGGTGCTTGAGGTTGCAGATGAAGGCGAGCTTGGCAGCTGTGGGCCTCGTGACGATGGCAGGAGGCGATAACCGGACCACGAAGTGCAAAGGGATGCGCTTCTCGGGATTTGCCGCAGACGGAACAGAGCCGAGAGAATTTAAGCGATCGGAGGCGGCGTACGAGGTCAATATATCGTGTGCTGATTGAGACAGTGGGAACGAAGGTGTTTGCGTATCCGTAGCAACCTGATCAGCGACGGGCAAGTCTAGGGCCTGTATCCCAAGCGACAAGGTGTAATCCTGTTGCGAAGTGGGATCGTGCGCGTAGATGCATTGCAGGAATGGTGTCTTCCCGTGCAGCTTGTGATGTCCGTGACCACGATCGAGCAAGGCCGCTGCCGAGATTGAGGACGATGCTTCGGCGTCAGCTACACGCACAGCAGCAGAGCAAAGATCTTGCATAGCCGCAAACAGATCCGTCGACCTGGACTCTGACGACGCAGCTTGACTCGCCGCAGCCTCGAGATCATCCAAGAGCAACAAATCCTTGAGGTTGTCGGTCCAGTTGGTCAGAGCTCGAGCGACGTCGATTCTGCCTTGTTGAGGCGAGTCTGAACTGGCCGAGCCAAACAGATGATCGGCGATGAGCTGAACATCACGCTCCAGGATAGCACCTAGACGAGGGTCGCGAGCTTGATGTGAATCGGCAGAGTCGTTCGCGTAAGAGATCTTCAACTTTGCCTTTGGACTCAGCCCTCGAGCCTCTCCTATGTTGAGGATGTGCAGCTCGATGTCAATGACAAGAATCTTGGCTCCCAATGTAAGTGAGTGCGTTGGAGTGCTGCTAGATGTCGAGTCGGACCGCACTTCAGCCGCTTCCGAGGAAGGCTCTGAAAATGTTTCAAGGCCTAGTGCTTTGGCCGCGTTCTCGAGTGTTTGGCACAAAGCGGCGAGCGTCTCAACAGCACAGGTCCAGCTGGAGACAGACTTGTCGGAGGATCCAGTACGGAACACGCCCGCTTGGAGCTGTGGTGGGAAAGGTGCTGAAGTTGCTGTGTAACTCGCTGCATCCTTCCAATCGGCTTTGGCTGTCTTGATCGGAGCGACCGAATGCGCCAGGGCAGCGGTATGTGTCGACGTCTCGGTGAGCAACGAGATGTAGCGGCGCATCTGATTTGCTATACTGGCATCGGCAGAATTCTGTGTCGACGGTGGCTGTGGCTGCAGAGCGGGATTGGTTGCGGCAAATTGTGATACGGAATGTCGGATCTGAGCGATGAGCTGACGATATTGATCGCGCGACAGTCTTCCATCTGCGCTTGACGCCGAGTAGATTGATTGCAGGGACGAGTTGAGCGGATGCAGCTGTGCTGTATTCTCTGATTGATGATGCAAGCTGTCCTTGGCGCCATACAGGGGATTAAAGAGCGCGATTGTCGGCCCTTCCGCACCGGGAGCAGCTGTTGATGACCCGTTCGGAAGCGCCGAAGTTGATGCTTCGGCTGCTCCGTCGGCTGTCAATGGCACGCTATCTGTCGTTGCTTCTGAGGCCATTTCTGCGGTATGGACCACGAGATGGCTCGCAAAGACGATCTTTGGCGGAAAGGATGGCAGATGCGGGGAGAGTACTCTGCGGAATCGTGAATCTTCCTGTGCATTACGACCTTTGCAGACTCTCAACCTTTTTCTTTGCTGTGCGTCCGATTTCCGAACTGCTTTGAGCGCGGTGTCTCGCGTCCGTGCGGTGACACTTGCCGAGTCGCCTGTACGAGAACAACACTCACGCTCACACTCACACATCAGCCTGGATCACATCCTTCACCTTGGCCATCGATATTGTCGTCAACGATCTGGCAGTGCAGAGATGCCTCCGACAGCAGAGTACAGGGCTAATTGGCCAGTCTTTGCGCTGGCATGGTCGAATCACCCGTCCACGTCAAGCTCTTCCTCGTCGTATCATCCTCGCAATCCATCCGGCTCGGCTCGATACATTCCTTCCTCTCCATCGCCTTTGGGTCGACAGGACGAATTTGGCGGACCTCCGCCGTCCACAACACCAGGTCCACCAGATAGTGCCAGGATAGCCGTGGGATCCTTCGTAGAGCAGTACACGAATCGCATCCAGATCCTCGGATTCGACCAACGCGATTCGAGCTCGCTGACGCTGCTGGCAGATGCTTCCCACCCGTATCCTCCCACCAAGCTGGGATTCCAGCCATCCACGCTCTTTGATGCCTCCTCGAGTGAGCGACGCGATGCTTCTCTAGAAAGGGAAAGAAGCTCAGGCGAGAGAGGCTACGCGTCTCCAACGACCAAGCTGGCAAAGCGAGGCAGCTGGGGCACCAAAGTACGATCCTCATTATCAGGCGAAGGCAGCGATTTGCCAGATCATTACCCGGACAGAGAGCTGCTCGCAAGTACAGCCGATTGTCTGCGCATCTGGGAGATCTACCGAAACGAATACTCGGATCCATACCAGTCGAGCTACGTCGGCGGCAACAGTGGTGCAGGAGCGCAACAAGGCGAAGGCTCGCAGCTACCCTTTGCGCTACGAGAGAAGAGCGTCTTGGCACATTCAAAGAACACAAAGAGCCCGCCAGCACCGCTCACCTCGTTCTCGTGGAACACGCCATCGCCAAACCTCATCGTCACTTCGAGCATCGACACAACATGTACCATCTGGGATCTTCCCACTCGCACCGCCTTGACCCAACTCATCGCTCACGACCGTGAGGTGTACGATGTTGATTGGTGTCCCGGGTCGGCCGATGTCTTTGCCAGTGTCGGGGCGGACGGCAGTGTGCGTGTGTTCGACTTGCGCAGCTTGGAGCATTCCACCATCATCTACGAGACGGGCACGGCACCGGGTGCTACCGAGTCGCGTCCAGGGACGAGCATGTCGACGTCGTCACGGGCTACATCTACTCGAAGTGTACCGGCCGCACCACTGCTGCGCATCGCTTTCAATCCGTGGGATGCCAATTACCTAGCCACATTCCACTTGGAGTCCGACTCTGTCCAGATCCTCGACGTTCGAGCACCTGGTTCGCCGATCCTCGAGCTGCGAGGGCACTCGGCGGCGGTCAATGCGATCGCCTGGGGACCACCCTCCGTCGGTGCCGGTGTTCTTGGTCCGAGCAAAGGCATGGTCTGCTCCGCCGCTGACGATGCGCAAGTTCTGGTGTACGACCTTGCATCCACAACGCTGAGAACCGCTTCAGCACAGGGGAGACGCAGCAGGAACGGACACGCACCATCACCAGCGCCAGGCTCGCTCGGATACTCGCACTCGACCTCGTCCTTCGGTGGCACGGCTAGTCCCGCGCCGACTTCGAGTATCGCTGGCAGCATCGGCATCGGCGCTGAGATTCCTTTCCTCGCTTACACCACTCCAAATCAGGACATGGTCAACAATGTCTCTTGGCTGCGAGCAGGCGGCGGCGGTCTTCCACCGGGCGTTGGTGGTTTCAGCGGCGGTGGAGGTGGAGGATCAAGCTCACACAAGAGCGTTGTGCAGGAATGGAACGAGTTCACCGCGGGGAGCGCAGGCGGCGGTGGTTCGTCGTCTGGATTTGCGCCTCACGATTCGGACTGGATCGCTCTGGCAGCAGGTAACTCGGTGCGAGCTCTCAAAGTGTGATGCGCTGTTGCGGTCGACGTCCTCCAACCCAGACATACATGATTGATACCCGATTTGCGATGTTCCATGAAGGACAGTGTATGATGTGTATATACATATTGAGTTGGGCGTGTGCGAGGGAGAGGAGTAAAGTAGATCGGGCGAGACGATGGATCGGGTGCCACGATCCTTGATGAAAATGAACGAGCTCGGCGCAAGAAGAAATTCGGTCGCGATTCTTGAGCAGTAAGGCTGGATTTCGATGTAGAGTCCGTGCTTCATCGGAGAGAGCCGATCTTAGTTGTGACTGTTGATGAGCTTGTAGGCACATTTCCACCTCGTCTTGTCCTTCCACTATCATCTCAGACGCACTCACATCCCATCGACGGACTCAGCATAATGAAGCGACAAGCAGAGAAACAGATTCGGAGAGAAGATGGCGACGATGCATCCGACGACGACTCGCCATCACAGGGATCGATGCCCGCCACCCCGGCTGCTGGCAGAGTCATCCGCGGCCTGCCCAAGCGACGCGGAACACCCGGAACTCCTGGCACAGCAGCGGGAGCGGCCGCAGCGCCCAGTCCTATCAGCTTCGGTGCTGCTTCGTCAACACCGCCTTCCTTCGGCGCGCCAACGGGATCCAATCCTTTTGCTAGTCTAGGCGGCAGCGGTGGATTCGGCAGCTCTCCGGCTTCAGCTGCCCCCGCCGCTTCTACATCAACGCCAACCTTTAGCTTCGGTGCTTCTACCACCGCGCCTTCGTCCAGCACTCCTTCGCAGCCGCCTGCGAAAGTTAATCCTTTTGGCGGCTTCACTGGTTTCGGCGCCGCCAAACCTGCTGCTCCGGCAGCGAACGCTCCTTCCACAGCTTCCACGCCTTCCTTCTCCTTTGGATCATCAACAGCGAGCGCCTCTCCAGGTACTTCAAATCCCTCGGCAGCTGCGCCGTCCAAGACCTCGAGCATCGTGTCCGGAATTCTTGGGAGTATGTCCTCCCCTTCACCTGCAGCACCACCTACTTCCTCGACTACTGCCACGAATGGGCAGAGCGCGTCGCCCGGAGACAAGGACAAGCTTCGTTCGCTCCGTGGTCTCAACGTATCTTTCCAGTCAGCGCTTGCCCAGAAGGTCAAAGAGCAGCTTGATGCGGATCCATTTGCGGACCTCACACCTCTCATCGAGTCGTTCAAGACGCAGTATCGCAAGCATCGGGATAGCATAGAAAACAAGAGCTCGACATCTGCCCCTGCAGTTGCAAGCACGTCAAGCACACTGAGCAGCAGCGCCACTCCGTTCAAGCCAGCTGCTACCAACGGCACCTCCTCAAGCGCTTCCGCAGTCTCGACGCCGTCTACTGCTGCTGCGGCTCCTGCCTCCACATCCTCCTCTTCCGCTCTTCCGACTTTCAGCTTTAGCAAACCCGCATCGACGCCCGCTTCCACATCGTCCAGCGCACCCTCGACTAGCGCGCCTTCCTTCTCTTTCGGGTCGAGTGCCTCTGCCGCCAAGCCAGCTAGCTCTGATTTCTCCTTCTCGCCTCTTCCCAGCTCCAGCTCAGTACCATCCAAGACGACGCCTGCTGCCTCGTTCTTCTCCTTCGGATCTTCTGCCTTTGGCAACAAATCAGTGGCTCAAGAGGCACAGAAGGACGAGGAACAAGAAGCAGCAGGTGGAGATGAAGATGAAGAGGACCAAGAGGACGATGAGCAAGATGACGAGGAAGACGACGAAGATGATCAGGAAGACGACGAGGAAGACGAAGAGGAAGATGACGAGATCGACCAAGACGAAGACGAGGACGATGAGAGAGAGGAAGATGCAGACGAAGACGATGACGAGGTAGTCGTGACCGGCTCGAAAGCCGCCTCAAATTCGACATCCACAGCCAAGCCTCCGTCATTCTCGCTTCCAACAGGCGGCTTCTCCTTCGGTGGCAAACCAGTCAGCATCAGCTCCTCACAAGAAGACGAGAAGAAAGCAGAGGCTACACGCAGCATGGCCGGAGCGCCTCAACTCAACCTTCCCAGCTCCGGCTTCTCGTTCGGCGGCAAACCTGTCAACTTTGGCGCCTCCAAACCCGCCGCGTCGACGCCAACCGCACCAACGTTCGGTAGCACCCCTCCTACGTCTTCTACCGCGACATCTACATCGACCGAACCAACATTCTCGTTCGGCAGCAGCACACCTTCCGCAACCAAGGACACTCCCGCATTCGGTGGCTTCACCTCATCCACCAACCCCGCGTCCAAATCCGCCTCCACACCAGCATTCTCCTTCGGCAGCTCCACCCCTTCCTCTTCCACACCAGCCTTCGGCTCGTCAACATCCTCATTCGGTGCTCCACCAACGTTCTCCTTCGGCGGTGGGGCGTCTTCGTCATCCCCGACCAACTTTGCCAACCTTTCGGCGAGCACGGCTGCCAAACCGGGAGCATTCAGCTTTGGGTCCGGGGCAATCAAGTTTGGGGACGCGCAACAGAAGGATAAGAAGGAGAACGAGGAGGAGTGAAGAAGAGAGCGGATGAAGGACGATGAAATGAACGTTCGTTACGAAGATGCGAAGGGAAGATTTTGTGATCGAGTGATGAGAACAATGTTTGCGGATGTGAGGTCTCTTGCATTTTCCCCTTCAAATACACCTCGTCCACCCCTCTCTCTCGCACAACCTCAACAGAGGCTTCACCACCTTGGACCCTTCCAACGTCGCCACATGACCCACCAGCACCAGCTTCCTCTTGGCACGCGTCAGCGTGACGTTGAGTCGTCGAAGATCGTTCAACAGCTCGCCCGTATTACCACCCTTCCCGTCGTTTGTAGTGCAGGCGTAATTCGCACGGGCGAAACTGACCAGGATGACATCCTTGTCCCTTCCCTGACTCTGGTCCGCTGTGAGAAGCTCGATCGCATCCAACCCCGTGGTCTTGTCGAGCAGCAAACGCAAGAGCTTCAGCTGTTGACGATACGGTGTCACCACAGCGATCTGATCCGGCCTGCATCCACCAGCGATCAGCGTCGAGGCGATTCTGACAATCAGTTCCGCTTCAAAGTGGTTCTTGACCAAATCGCCATGCTTGCTCTCCCCTACCTCCTCGAGCATACGCTTTGACGTATCCAACAACCTTACCTTTGCCTCGGGTCGAAGCAGATCAGCCATCCATTGATCCGCACCAGCAAGCTTCAGCGCTGCATTTATGTCGCACAGCGTCAGCATGCGATCCCTGACATCATCACTTCCAGCCCTCAACTGCCCATCGTATACCATCTCGTTCGACAACCTCATAATGTCATCGTTCATCCGATACTGCGATCGTAGCGCCACCATCGCCTCGGCACCATGACGGTCCGACAGCAGCTTGAAAAGCGATATGTCCAGACCGCCCTCTTTTGCCTGTGCATTCTTGACCAGAGGCGGAAGTTGATGATGATCACCGACCAGTACGAACTTGTCCGCGAATCGCAGCGGACCGAGACAGGTCGGAAGCGGGATCTGCGACGCTTCGTCGACGATGCAGTAGTCAAATAGATACGTGGGCAACACCTCTCCAGCATCGTCACCGTTGCTCCTCGCGCGAATCCTCTTCGCGAGCCCTGACGAGAAAAAGGTATGATGCACACTGAGACACGTCGCAGCGACCACGTTCGGCGATTCAAACGCGTCCTTGAGTTCGTCCAGAGACGAGCAGCGTGGAAGCAGGAATCGATGAGCGTCCGGATGCACTTTGTCCTTGCTGCCGAGTCGCAGAATGCGCATGCAGCTGTCCTTCTCCTTGCTCTCGTCTTCGCCCAGTTTGCGAAGGATGGTATCGACGGCGGAATGCGTGTAGCTCGTCAGCAAGATACGCTTGCCCAGCTTGACCAGCAGCTCGATCAGCTTGGCGATGGTTGTCGTCTTTCCCGTTCCCGGCATGCCAAGCACGAGAGCATAGTCTTGAGCTGTGAGAACCTTGTCGATCGCGACTTTCTGATCTTCATTGAGACTCGGGTCCGCATGGGCTCGATCGATGACTTGCTGGAATGAGCTTTGCCCTGAATGCCCAGCAAAGGCGTCCTCCGAGCGTAGGAAGCGCGGAGGCCGCATGTCGACCACAAGCTCGCGACGCTTGACGTCCCCGCCCCTCTGGGGCGTCAAGAACAATGCGGCCAAGTTCGCTCGGATGCGACCCATCCCACTGCCTAGCTCGTCCTTATCGACGCGGAACACGATTCGTTCCGCAGCAGCTGCAACGTCGAACGGCTCTCCAAGCGCACTAGCGTCGATCTTCGCCAATGCCCGCCGCATGGCCGCATCGAGCGGGTGGTCCAGCCCGATCTCGACGCTTGTCGGCGTAAAGCTGATAACAAAGCCTTGAGCCACAGAAAGCATATCAGGCTCGATCGAGATGGTTACTGGATCGTTGATGGTAATGTGACCAGAAAGAAGACCGGCATTCGCATTCTGAGTCGGGTCGTAATGACGAACAAAGCGATGCACGACTCTCTTCATCGCCGCCGAGGGTGTTTCGGGCGACGACGGGGACTTCGAGGTAACTTCGAGACGCATGTTGCCGAAGCATCGCCCGACTTTCTCACGCTGCTCGGCAGTCATCGTCCACATCTCTCTGCGGAATCGGACGGCGTCCTCCTCCTCGAGATTCAGCAATCGATCCCACTTGCGGTAAAAGTCGAGGTGGATGTCGGTGAGATGCTCCGTCTTTTGCTCAAAGACATCGGCGATGGGTGTCCTTCTCGACAACCTCCTGCCGGTCTTTGATGCAGTGCGACCCTCGATATCTGCGAGCTTGCCTTCAGAGGGCTCGACGATGTTTTCCACAGCACGTCGGAAGAGCATGCATCCGTCGACGGCGTAGCATCGGCGACACTTGTGTTCACTGTCGATGGTAGGCGGCAATACCTGAACAGGCTCTTCTGTGGGATCAGTGAGCTCGGACTTGCGAAGACGACTCGTGTCGTGCCGAAGGTAGTGAGCAAGCTCGTTGCGTCCGATGATGAGACTACGCACTTCGTTTCGACTGCGGCTGATGCGATGCAGCTCGCCAGACTTAGAGTAATAGAGGAGCCCATCGTTGACGCGCACTCCGTATCGATCCGACATCATGAGTGTGTACATCATGGTCTGAGCACGATGCTCTGTCGACACGAGCTCTGCTCTGCCCGTCTTGAGTTCTAGAGGTACCACTGACGTGGTGACGCGTCCTGTTGAAAGGCCTTCTGTTGGACTTCCTTGATCACCACGCAAGAAGGCGTGCCTTTGACGGCCGGGAGCTGCAGCCGAATTGGTAGCCGATAACTCAGGCGCTTCGAGAATGTCGCACTCGACCGAGACGTCCACTTTACCCTTCAGACCAAAGACCGGGCTCCATATCTCTTCTTCGACGTCCAGAATCCGCCGCAGACGAACCTTCGCCTGAGATCCTGTTGAAGAGCGGCCTGATTCTCGCAGCGTCGCTTCTGCATGGAATGCTGCACTCTCGTCTTTGGACAGGAAGGTCCGAGCAAAATGCACAAAAGGAGCTGCCTTTTCTCGCAGTTGAATGGCGGCGTTGTCCGCGCTCAGATCGATGGCGTACAAGCTCTCGATGTTGGAGCGCACCTGCTGCTCGACTTGTTGTTCGACAAAGTATCTACTGAAGTTGCCGATCCCTTGCCATTGCTCTGGCCAAGGGGACAGAGGGGGCTCTGCCTGTTCCGATGTGACAGTCTCGATCGATTTGATGGCACGCTCCGTCCCTGCTGATGATGCCGTAAGACACGCTTGGAGCAATTCGTGGAGCATGTTGCCCATGACGAGGCTGAGCGTGACATCGGACGCTCCGCGCAGTCGGTCCTGAACGACAGGTTTGCGAATGCACGAGGCGACGTCAGCAACCTTGGTCGCCGGTACGAGGACATCCGGATGGACCACGAGGAGGTTGCCAAGCGCATGATCGGCCGTATCCACACCTTTGACGGCGGCGGAACGGGAGGCAAAGATCATCAGCTTAGCTCGTGGTGCATTGTCCGAGGCGAGAAGCTCTTGTGTGGCGCATTGAGATAATGAAGGCATAGATGCTACGTCATCCCAGAGATCATCATCGTCATCGTCGTCCAAAGCAGGGGCTGCAATCGGCTGCACTTGCTCTTTTCCCGGTCGATCTATCGCCACTTCGATCTCGGGCACGTTTTCGCGGTCCTGCTTGGATCGGCTGACGCTGTTGTCTGGCTCATCTAAATCAACCGGGATCTTGCTGGTCTCTTGCTCGAATTGACCCACCAAATGAACGATGCTGCCGACGGAGACTAGGGTTTGCAGCCAATCGTCGCGGAGGGCAGCGAGCAGAGTCTCGGACTGCTGTTGCTGACGATGCTGGCTTTCACTCTTCTTGGACGGGCTGGTCTGATTGATGTTGCTGCTGTGCTTGTCGGTTTCGAGGACCAAGACTTTTTCTGGTCGCGTCCGTTTTGATGAGCTCGGGCCATCCGGTGCGACCTCGTATGAGCTGTCTACGATGGCCACTACATGGGCACGCGTATACATGCATTTTTGTGTGGATTGAATGTGTCTGGTGGATGCAGCGTCGCTCGATGCCGTTGCTATGCGCTTTGTTGGAGACGACGATGGCGTCGACAGAGTGCTGGAATGTTCAACCTTCTGACGTTTGATGCCAGAGGCAGATACGACACGACGATTTGGGCTCTTGGACACAGCTGCAGAAGGTCTGAACCAATCTTCGAGGTCGCGCTCGATCTTTGGCTGTGACTGGAAGCGTGTGGAGTTCTTGAGTGGAGACCTGGGATGTCTTGAGGATGGGACGGGCGCAGTGTCTCTGGGATGCGGGGAGAACTTTAGCTCTTGCGACAACGGCGGAGTACATATCAGCTTCTTCTTCGGCGGGCTTTGTGACGGGGGTATTGAGAAATGGGAGGCATCGAGATCGGCAAAGAGCTCATCCATGAAATGAGCATCGGCGGCGTCGAGTGCCATGGTTGCGAAAGTGAAGTTCTTGATTCACGTTCGTGCCTCAAACGGCAGCATGCTAGGTCGTATGAGGACCCTCCGATCTAGAAATGCACGACAAGGTGCAACTTTGACGACAATCTGTAGAGACCGACTCGAAGCGTATGACAAGGCAGCGATGGTGCGAGCCGGTGAGTGATGGTCGCTCGTCCTTGGCCGGAAGACTTTGAGAAAAGTGTTGGTTTGGCTGAGCTTTGTTGGACCCTGAACGGAATTGCGCCTCTGAGCCACAGAAGAAGCGCTCTCTCGTGTCGTGTCACGCGTTTTTTTTTCAGCTATGTCAGGTCTCACACATTCAAGCACCCGAGGCGGCGGATTCAGTGTAGAGGACAGTAGAAGCAGAGTCGACCATTACGAGATCTATACAAGTACATTTGAAACAGCCACATCAAGCACTGAGCTTGACCGAGAAGGCCTGGTTGGGACCCGCCTCGTTGTAGTTCTGCTTGGTGATGAAAGCCTTTGCTTGCGGGTCACCAAACACGAGCTTGGCATAGATGGTGCCTCCAAGAAAGGCAGCCAGGTCGTTGCGCTCCTTGAACTCGGAGAAATAGTCGGGCACGCGCAAGGCACGGACATTGCGCGCTTGCAGCGGGTTGGGTTCGGCCAGCACCTGCGCCGCTTCGGTCTGTTCGGTGGCCACGTACTCGGACAAGGCTGAGATGGCCTCGAGCTGGATCGTCTTGATCTTGGCGGGTTGACCTGTGAAGATGAGGTTCTCCCACAGCTGAGGTCGACGATCCGCATCTTCCACGCGCGAGATGGCGTTGGCGATGGCGAGCGGAAGCGAGATGGCCTGGCTCCAGTCGGGTGATGCCGTCGAGATCGGATAGCTGTCGTGGCTTGACGAGGCTGTGGCGATCGGCCCTGCTCCGAAAGGCTCGTCTCCCAGGCCAAGATCGGAAGCACCGGCGACATCCTTGAGCAGCTCGGGGCGGAAAAGCGGCTCTAGGAAGCGGAAGCGCTCGGGACCGACCTTGAGCTTGAGGCCTCGGAAGTGCACCAACACGGCCTTGTCATCCGTGGATCCACCCGCCTGACCGTCTTCGCCCGTGATGGACGCGAGGATGGCTTCGTCGATCTCTTCGCCCTGGCTTGCTTCCATCGCCTTACGCCTCTCCTCCTCTTCGTCGTCGTGCTTCTTTGTACCTTCGACAAGTACAGCCGCAATGTCAAAGTTACCCTCGTCGTCCTCTCCATCCGCTGCCGAGATCATACCTCCAGCTCCCTTCTTGAAGGACTCCTCATCCAGCACCAACCCCTCCTCTACCAATTGCTGCGCCAGTGCAAAGATGGCACTCTTCAACGCTTCCTCGTCGCTCTGACGTGAAGAGGCCGACGCTTTGCGCGTGTATCGAAGTAGCGTCTGGATTGCCTTGACCAGGCTCTGATCGCGACGCAGCAGATGGGCGAGATAGAGGATGCAGTGGCGCGCTCCCACGTCGGTCTTGACGTTGGCGTTCGACTGCACCAAGCATTCGATCACTGGCGAAACGTCGCAGCTCTCGTATCCGAGGTCCACCACGCATGCGTTCATGCTGCCGACGCCGTAGCAGGAGAGCAGCGGCTTCTCCGCGATTGTGATGGCGGCCGAATTGAAGTGCTCGAAGAAGATCTGGGTGAGGTACGCATGCGTGGCTCGAGATACGGGTAGTGGCAAGCTGATGAGGATGTTCGAGTCGTTGTGAGAGCGGCGGATGGGAAGCAGGTGGAAGAGCACGTAGTTCCATAGCGCGATCATCTGTTGCCAGTCGCGCACGTAGCCCTTCCGCATAGGCCAAAAGATGGCGACATCATCGCCTCGTCGTTCCGCTTGGTCGAGAGCAGATCCGACGAGGTATTGCGTGTAGTCTGGAGGTGACGATGCCGACGAAGTGGATGCAGACGATCTTGGAAGACCGACACGCGCAGTGAGCGAGATGGATGGACGCTTGAGAATCTCGTGGATGCCGTATCCTGCGGTGATGGTGTGCGAGCCGGTGACGATGATCACTGTTCTTGCTTCGCGAGCCGTCATGGTTGCGATCTATCGATGCGAGCCTTGCAGAGATGGTATATTTGCAGAGATGGAGATCGGTTGGTCGGATAGCGAAGTCAAGGTGAGTGAGTGTCTGTGCAGATCTACACACTCTGTGATTTCGCGTTGTGCCGAAGCGCTTTCTTCGCGTGGTTCAGTTGTTCACTCGCGCGACAAATTTGTGATCGCCTGCAAGTGGACAAAGGGAATATTGCAGATGCGCTTGGCCGCGGCTGAGCTGAGCTGAGCCAACCAACGCTTTGGTCAAGCGTAAGAATATCGTTTCCACTTGGTCATCTGTCACTCTTTCAATCCTCGCTCATCGTTGCCTCCTCTTCTTGTCTTGGACATCGTCGTCGTAGTCGTCACTCGGTTTTCCGTCCGCTCTCGGAGCCAGCTATCGTTAAAACAGGTTTCGCAGATACAACCGCAGCACCACAACGGGCTAGCGAAGTTCCGAACAGGCTAAGCAAAGGACCTCGCCCCTTACGACCAACCTACTCACTCTGCACGATGAACCGCGGATCAGGACCTCAGAACATCTTTCGCACGCTCGAGCGTTTGCGACAGCAGGCTCAGCAGGCATCGCAGCAATTTGGTAATGCAGGCAAGCCCGGCGGAAGCAGCGGCGGCAGCGGTGGCGGCGGACGTGGAGGTCCGCCCAACCTTGCCAACATCCTCGGTGGTTCTGCCGGCATCGTCGCGCTCGTAGCCCTCGGTTTCGGTGTCAACATGTCGCTCTTTAACGTCGATGGTGGTCATCGAGCCATCAAGTACTCGCGCCTATCAGGTATCAAGGACACCATCTTCAACGAAGGTACTCACTTTATGATCCCCTGGTTCGAAAAGCCCATCGACTACGACGTTCGTGCCAAGCCTCGCAGCATCGCTTCGCTTACAGGTACAAAGGATCTTCAGATGGTATCGCTCACCTGCCGTGTACTCTCTCGTCCACGCGTCGACGCTCTCCCCACCATCTTCCGTGAGCTCGGCTCCGACTACGACGAGCGCGTGTTGCCGTCGATCGTCAACGAGGTTCTCAAGTCGGTCGTGGCTCAATTCAACGCTTCGCAACTCATCACGCAGCGAGAGATGGTCTCGAGGCTGGTACGAGACAACTTGACCGCACGCGCACAGCGCTTCAACCTCGTGCTCGACGATGTGTCCATCACCCACGTCTCCTTCTCGCCCGAATTCACCCACGCCGTCGAAGCAAAGCAGATCGCACAGCAGGCTGCGCTCCGTGCCGCCTTCTTGGTCGACCAGGCCATCCAGGAGAAGGCCTCCATCATCGTCAGGGCACAGGGTGAGGCCAAATCCGCCGAACTCATCGGTGAAGCCGTCAAGAAGAACAAGGGCTTCCTCAAGCTTCGTAAGCTCGAAGCTGCTCGTGACATTGCCACCATTCTCTCGCAGGCCGGCTCCAACAACAAGGTGCTGCTCGACGCTGATACACTGCTGCTCAACGTGGCCAACGAGGATCCTTTGCAGTCGTAATCCAAAGACGGCAAGAAGAGCAGTAAAAGCAGCAACGCAGAAAGCGCAACCCTTGTATTCTATTTCATCCATTCGCCAGCGCAGTATACTCAGCATACTCTCCACTCAATTATCCATCACATCGCTTGATTCTGTATTTGTGTCGACGCGAGCTCGACTTTGAATCGTGAGAGTAATGCGCGACTGTGACTGACAGACCGTTTGTCGACATCGTGCCCGGCATCGATTTCGAATGGTGCGATCACATTCAGCACCACCGTCTCACAAACTAGCAAAGGACACAATCGCGGGACACACAGCCAAAAGATATCCGAAAGCAGAGAGAGCCAACTCTTCGAGAGAGGTGGACTGCAACTCCAACGGCAATTTTGTATTTTAAGAGGGGGTGAAGAGATGAGAAGGTCACAAGATTAGCTCCCCTCATCCCAAATCAACGTCTTCTCTGAAGAAAGGTTGAATGGAACTGGGTGTAAGCGTGCGTAAATGCTTTATAGAATGCATGTGACCAAGGAATTCATCGAGAACCCAAGGGAATGGAAATGAACATCACACCACTAAAAGTTGGTGTGAGAGCAAAGAGACTCCGACGAGAGGTTTAGAAGAGACGGTAAACCTTGCCCATGGTGGACTTGACGTGGAGCGACTTGATGTTCTGCCACTGCTTCTTAAGAAGCGAGATGAGGAAGTTGATGGCAAGCATGACGTTGGCGAGCAGCTGGTCATCCGACATCTGAACGTGGCCGATGGCGACACCGAGGCAGAGAACCTTCTTAAGCTGGAACTTGATGGTGCTCTTGACCTCGGTGACCTTCTTCTCGAGGTCCTCGTTGTGCGAGACGGGGGTGGGAAACTTGCCGGCCTTGGAGAGACCGGGACCCAACAGACGAGGGATCTGCTTGATCAGAGCCTCGGAAGCAAGGAAAGCATCGTACTTCTTGGCGAGCTTCTTGACGAGCTTCTTGTTCTTGTTGAGCTTCTTCAAGTCCTCGACGGTCATGAACTCGAGGTTGATCAGCTTGGCACGGTCGACATCGGCGGCATCGGCGAGAATGCAGAGGCTCATGCGAGGGCGGGGGACGTGGGGAAGCTTGACGGTACCCGAGAAACGCTTGTCACGCTGGGGGTCGTAGTTCTTGAGGCCGATCTGGAGCTCGACGGTCTCGTTGAAGTTTCGGCGCTTGTCCTCGGAAGCCTGGATCAGCTCCTTGAGGGTGTTACGCACGCTGGACACCTGGATCTTGCTCATCTTGACGTTGGTCGTAGGGGTGACTGGTGGAGAGAGAGAAGAAGGAAGGAAGGGGCGAAGCGGATGATCTCGACCACACTCTGCGCTGTCCGGCTCACGAGGTTTCGCCTCTGCCCCTTCGCTGCAACACTGCATTTTCGCCTTCAGTCGCGCAGCCCTTGCTGAAATTTGCACCTCGAATTTCTGCCAGAATCTCGGATCCGACGAACATGCTGCGGCAATCCTGACCTTCGCAAGTACTTTCATATTGTTAGGTCTAACAAACCGATAAATCATTATTCTAATTTTTAATTGCAGACCGGATGTCAGATTTCCAAGTTGAGCCCGGTGACTTGGTCGGAACAAAAAGTGCGGGCCGAGACGCCGCGACTTGCTTTGTACCACCTTGACTCACCATCCCGCTCCACCACCACCAACAACAACAATGTCGACCGCACCTACGCTCTCGCTGCAAAAGACCACGGTTGCCCTTGTGCAGCTTGGCTCCACCTCGTTCGACAAGGCCTTCAACCTCAAGCGTGCCCGCGATGCTGTCCTTCGCGCCGCATCCACGCGGCCGGGCGCCGCCTCGCCCTCCTCTTCTTCCTCGGCTGCCTCCTCGATCTCGGCACCCGTAGGCATGGTAGTGCTTCCCGAATGCTTCAACTCTCCCTACGGTGTCAAGTACTTTGCCGAGTACGCTGAGTCGTTCGGCGGAGCCTATCAGAAGATCAAAAAGCCGCTTCCTTCCGCACTTCCACGCATGGGTAAGGGCAAGGAGGAGATTCGCTGGACCATCGATGCATCCACAGATCCCAGCGCGGAATCCAAGCTGGCCCGCGAAAAGGGTGTCGGAAAACCTGTCGAGATCGATGATCGCATCCAAAAGCTGTCTCCCAGTCTCAAGATGCTCTCGGAAACTGCCAAGGAGGCTAACGTCGTGTTGGTCGGTGGAAGCGTCCCCGAGAGAGACGATCTCACCGGCAACGTCTACAACTCTTCCTGCGTTTTCAACGAAAAGGGTCAGCTCATCAGCATTCATCGCAAGCTTCACCTTTTCGACATCGACATTCCTGGGAAAATGACCTTCCAGGAGAGCGAGACGTTGGCAGGAGGTGATCGTGTCACACTATTCGATTGCAGTCTTGGTCGATTTGGTCTGGGAATCTGCTACGATTTGCGCTTTCCCGAACCAGCCATGATCGCAGGTCGTCTCGGAGCTGGATGCATCATCTACCCTGGTGCCTTCAACACCACCACTGGACCGGTCAGCTGGGAGCTGTTGCTCCGTGCTCGTGCCACCGACAACCAGGTCTACACGCTCGGATGCAGTCCCGCGCGTCCCAGTCAGCAAGCTCTCGACGGTGATCTGGGCGAAAAGGACGGCTGGCGCGAGGGCGAGAAAGCGTATCCCGCATGGGGCCACTCGAGTGTCGTCGGTCCGCTCGGAGACGTCAAAGCCAAGCTGGCAGAAGCTGAGGACACGCTCTTCTTTACCTTGGATCCGGAAGAGGTTCAACAGACACGCAAGAACATTCCCATCAGCACACAGCGCAGATTTGACGTGTATCCCGACATCACTTGCGGTTAGTCTCTCAAGTGCAATGTATGTTCTCCTCGGATCGCAATCGTGTTTGTGTATTTCCAATTGTTCGGACAAATCACGACATTGTGAACTACAAGACGTGAAACCCTTGACATGAAATCGATGAGCGAGCGAATCGAGACGTAATGAAAGAAATTGAATGCGAAAGAGCACTAGCTACCCGTCTAGTGCTGGTAAGGCACCGAAGGGTAAGTAGGGCTAGACTGACCGATCTTGACGTCCTTGTCCGAGCTCGTCTGCTCAACATGCTCGATGTCCGTGTGAGGAGCGGCAGTGAGACCCATGGTCGTCTCCTTGTCGAGCTTCCTCCAGCTCCAGTAACCCTGCTGCTTGCAACCACGCATGTGCATGTACAGACCGTAGGCCGAAACGACAGCGAAACCAGAGATGGGGACGAAGAACGATCGGTGAGTCGTGGTCTTATCAGCAACGGTAGCTTGAACGGAGGGCATCCAAGCACCACCAGAGACACCGGCGGCGACGAGAGCGGATCCAAGCTTCTGGTTGGAGCCGAGGTTGCTGGTGGCAAGCGTGAAGATGATCGGGTAGCAGACGGATTCGAAGAAGAAAATGAGCATGAGGCACGCGATACCACCAGCTCCGGGTACGACGGCGGTAAGGATCGACATCAAGATGCATCCGAGACCGCAGAGGCAGAGGATCAGGGCCGAATCAACTCGAGTCAGGATGGGAATCCCGATAAAGCGACCGATGGTGAAGACCGCCAGGGTGACGGAGAAGAGATCAGCAGCGCGCGTGACCGAGATGTTGAGACCAGGCTGCTCAACGTAGTAGTTGATCGTAAGCGAAGCAACTGCGACCTGAGAACCGACGTACATGAACTCTGCGAAGGCTCCCCAAAGGAGGTGTTTCTGAGTCCAGATCGAGACGGGCTTCTCTTCGATGGAGGAGTCCACCTCTTGTTTGACTTCGGGAAGCTTAGCAATGAAGAAGAGGAGGTTGATGATACATCCGAAAGCTGAGATTCCAAGGTAGACCCACTGCAAGTGATTGAGAGTGTGCGAATGTCCAGTCTTGAGGAAAGTGCGACCGGCAATGATAGGTCCAAGAACGGAAGCAACACCGTTCCACGACTGAGCGAAGACGAGACGGAAGGCAGCCATGTCGGGGGCACCGAGTACAGTGATGTACGAGTTGGCAGCCATCTCGAGCCAAGCCAGACCGGAAGCGGTGACAAACGTGCAGACGAGGAAGCCAGGATAGCTGTAGTAAACGGCGCAAGGCCAGAAGAGGATGGCACCGATGGAGAAGAGACCGAGACCACCGTGAATGGAGAATCGGTATCCATACTTGCGACTGAGGGGGCCGCTGATGGGACCGTTGACGAGGTAGGCACCAAAGTAACAAGCTTGCAGACCGGTGGACTGTGCCTTGGTCAAATGAAGCGAGTCCTGGAAGGTCTTATTGAGGGAATCAAGAAGACCGTAAGATAGACCCCATACGAAGAAGAGGGATGAGACGAGGGCGAAGCTGAACCAGATCTGACCCTTGCTCAGGGTGTCAGCGGTGATGGCGCGCTCGGTTGCGCCGCCTTGAGGCTTTCCGAATCGAGCCATGATGTATAGCGGGAAGTGAGTTGAGAGAGCGCAGGAGAGTTTGGGACAAGCCTAAAAGCGAACGAACAGGAGGATGAGGAGGGGAAAGGGGAGGAGGAGGAGGGAGTACAACGAACCGAAGACGTGGGGCTTGTGGCCATGGGAACCCCAGTCTTTATATGCCTTCCTTTACACGACGAACTGCACAATCCTTTGCCTCAGATGCAGTTTCTTAGCGTCAAGTCAGACTCCTGGCATAGTCGAACCTTTGCATGGTGCGAGAATGGCAAGAGGAGGAGCACCAATCAACGGTTCGATTGCACAAGAATCGCGTGGCATTTAGCGCAAGCGACCCCCGCATTTCGTTCGACATTGCGGCTCTTCCCCACAGAAGCGGTATGCAGACAGTTCGACCGAAGGCTCGATTACATGCAGGCTCCATGCATCCACCGCTCACCTTTGTTGCACAGCGAGGGCCACGACCGATTGTGCGAGGTGTGGCACGATGTTCACGCGTCAAACTGTGCAGGCACTTTACCCGCTCCGAGGCAAATTTCCAGTTTTTCTCGTTTGATTTTCCCCACATCGCGTGGACACCGAAACGCGGGGGAGAAGGACACGAGCGATTCTGCCGAAAAGATTTCCATGAGGCTCTGCATCAGTGTGCAACAAAAGCATTGGTTGACCGGCGTGTCTGCGCGTAGGGAGAAGAACCCTACTGATGTCGCACCCCATGGACGGTTCCCCACTGTGCATCCCGTCGGATTTTGGTGTCTCCTTCCGAGCTGAGAGACATTGTTCGGTTGTGCTATTGCTGTCCCGCTCTCCTGAGCCGGCGAAACTATGCACCGAGCACCGAAGCTCCGCTCGCCACTACCATGACCGGGTCTACAAATGCTGACTCCGATCTATATCGGGTCCACTTCTCACTGAAGCCATTCGCCGGTCCATGCACGCGGGGGAAACGTCCATTGTGTGGCGTTCACAAAGACTCACCGACTTCATGCCGTGGTCGCAGTCTCCTCTGTAAAACGCGGCACGATGTTGTACAGTTAAATGTCCGCTCGGTCGAGCTTCGCTCTCCCAAAGTCATTATAGGCAAATTTGCGATTCAGCCGTGGCATGAATAGCTTTTTCTGCCGAAGTTCCTCCTAACCTTCCGCTCCCGAATGGTTTCTTCCTTGTGACTCGGAGATGTGATTGCGATAAGGACATTCAGTGGGATGGGAACGAAGAGGAGATTGGAAACGCTAGCGAATCAAGGGCGGGATCGAGATGTGAGAAGATTTCGAGACTACTTGATTGGTTTTTGTGCAGAGCCAGGCTCGAAAGTAGTCGCGTGTCAACGAGCGAGATCAGTTGCGGCTCCTCTCCGCCGCGTTGTCAAGGCTGGAAAGTACTATTCTCGCTTGTGTGCGTCCCTCTCGGACGATGATTAGTGTCAACGTACGATGGCTTGGAGCTTGTACGCTACTTCTGCCTTGCTCTCTTGCTCAAACGATATCGGTCGGATCATTTCCCCCGCGTCCCGCTTTGGCAGTCCCTGTGCTGCCCCGACTTCCGCAGTCTTCACTCGCTTTTCTGTTCGCAACGAAGAAGTTGCCAAGGTAATTCGGTAACGTGACCAATGTCGAGGGCTTCAACAAACAAACTCGCCTCTGCAAGTCAAGGTAAGGTCTCACATCTCACAATCGCTAGTAAGGCTGAGATGACGATCTCACAAGTCTTGTAGCATGTGCACAAGGAGCTCGAAGCGTGGACTGATCGCGACTAAAGTTTTGAGATGAATGCGATAATGCAAATGCTGAATGCGATGATGCAGAGAACCTATAGTACAGTGACGACATCTATCGTCTAGTGTGAGTAGTCTTGGCATCACTAGGTGTGATACTCTCCAACTCGTATTCCCCTGGGCGCTCCACCGCTACACTCGGGGATCCTTCCCTCGTGCTATCCTCCACCTTGCCCTCCATACCACCGACGATCCCGATCGATCTCAGCTTGACCAGCGCCACAACGATTGACAGTACAGAGCAAGCGAAACACAACCAAGATGCCGCTTTGTACCCCTCCAACAGCGCCTCGATCGGTTTCTCGACCGCCTCCGCTGCATTTCCCGTTGCTCCACCCACTGCGGCTCTCGGTACCAGATGGGATCCAGCAAAGATCATCGTCGGATGCAACACCAGACCCTCCCTCTTGATCAATCTGCCAGCAACGTGGTTGGCAGCCTTGCGAACAGCAGCTTTTGTGACACTGGTCGAGATCGAACTTGAGATGGCCAGCCCGAGCGAGGTAGCCAATCTGATTGTGGTGTTGAATAGACTTCCCGCCAATGCTTGATGCTGCCTTCCGACTGATTTGCTGGCATACAGTGATCCAGCGGGGAAGAACACATCCGGACCGACCTGCAGAATCATGATCCACAGCATCGCCTTGTAATAAGGCGTGTCCGGCTGCACTCCTACGCTCATGATCACACAAGCAGCCGCACCAGCCGTTGCACCCCCTACGATCAACCACACCGCCGCAATCCTTCCCACAACATACCCAGCGAAGACATTGAGCGCCAACCCCATCCCCACCATAGGCAGGAAGAACAGCGACGTTCGTGTGGGCGAGACCTGCTGCACCTCTTGGAGGACAAGCGTGCTGAGGTAGGACATGACGTTGAAGCTGAGCCAGGCGAGAAAGATGACGCTGAGGACGGCGGCGAAGCGCGGAGCTCGCCAGATGGCGGGTGGGAGGAGAGGCGTGGTGGGTGGTGCGATGAAGAAGGTGGCGTTTCGACGTGGAGTGGCGGTGGAAGCAAGGGATGATCCGAGTTCGTAGGTTTGTTGACGTCGTTCGAGGTATCGTTCCCAGGAAAGGAATGCTACGAGCATGATGATCGAGGTGGGAAGGAGGGCTAGGACGTAGGAAGTCTTCCACCCGTGAGGAGCTGTTTCTGCATCGGCGAGTGCGAAAGTGAGCATGACGAGCCCAGACGTCGACATGAATGCGCCAAACCAGTCGAATGTCTTGAGACGGAGCGAGCGGCTCGTCGTCGCATGACTTGCAGGTCCTAGTGGTGCCGAGGTGCTAGGAGTGTTTGAAGACGACGCTGGAAGGTCGGTGCGGCTCGAACCGACGGTGGCTTTGCTGGAATCCTGTACACCTGTCGAAGAGCGTCCCTCAACCGAGATAGGGGCCGCGTTCGCCGTCAGATCTACGATAGAAGTGGCTGCTGAGCCACTGCTCGTCCTCATGAGCTCCTCTCCTTCGTTTGGCAATGAAAGGAAAGCACATACACCGAAGCTAATGGCGCATGCACCCAAGATCCAGAAGATGATACGCCAGTGATTTGCGAGCAGTCCTCCCAAAACCAAGCCGAGGATGAAGCCTATCGGTTGAGCTGCCCCAATAGCGGCGAAGCAGCGGTTCTTGACCGAGCCTTCTGGAATCGAACTGCCGAGGATACCTACGCCAGAGGGAATCAGCATCGCAGCAGCCAAACCCAACCCCGCACAACACCCGATCAGGCCTCCTCCCGACGTCTGGAATGACGTTGCAATTGACATGGCAGCAAACACCGCGATTCCCAGCAGAAATACGGTTCGTCTGCCGAACGCATCTGCCATACCTCCAGCAATCAGCAGCAATGCACCGCTGACGAGCGAAAACATGGACAGCGGCCATGACAAGAGTTCCTGCGACAGGTTAACCGACTTGGCCATCGAAGGGAGTGCGATGGTGAGCCCACCGCTCAAGAAGCTGGTGAGAATGGTGACGCCGCAGATCGATATTAACGAGAGAATGATTCGAGTTTTAGCGGGAAGCTTGGGTGGGGTCAAGATGGTGGAGAGCTTTCTTGAGGAGAGTAGTCCGCCACGCCTGAGCTCGGACAAGCTCGTGGTAGGTCGGTGCATGCTCATGGTTGTGATATTGCAGCCAGTACGGAGGTGGTTGGTATTGATGGTGGGCAAGCGTCACATGAGCGCGACATGGGATGCGCAGATCTTATAGGCAAGCAAGTTGGTGGTGATTCTTCATCGTCGGACAAGGGAGCTTCTTCCATCGGACTTGTAGGAGAATTCTTAATGGACACCTCACTTAGCCGCGGACAACCGAGCCAGCAATCTGGACCCTGTGAGTGAACTTCCGTTGGAGCGCGTTTTCTTACGGCCGGAAAAGCGGCGAATCCGATGAATCTGATGGATTTTCCGATTCGGACATGTCGCGTTGTGCTGCCGCGATCCTTGACAACAAGCCTCGTGCCTGTCAGCGCGTCTTGTACGAGGCGACACCGGAAATGCACTATACGTCAGCATCGCAAAGCCATAGGTCGTTTGAACAGGCAAGCAAAGCTAGCTTCTATGCGATGTCCATTGAACAACTCATCGCTCAGAGCATGATGTAGTAGCTAGTTTGGACAGTCGTACAAAAGTCCAATTGACTCGATTCGCACTGTCGGGTGGCGAGCCGGAAATTTCCAAGAAACCACTACGGCAGACGGCGGCGCCGGCGTCTTTGTTCTGACCCGCGGTCTTCGCTCATCTCGTAATTTCCGCGAAAGGTAGCGGTACGCTGATCAACTCCGACTCTGCTGCTTCGTCTTGGCGTGCAGTGAGGGCAATCACGCTATTCTCTGCAAGTGTGGCGGCAATGCTGCAGACCCTGAAATGAAAACTCGACACTTTCGCATTTTGACGTGCTGATCTGCATATCCTGCCTTCTTCGACCTTCCTGTCAGGTGCGATCCTTCTTTCTTCCGATCAACGACGTTTACCATCATATAGTCCCGCAGTGGTCCTGTCTACCAATTTGAAAGGTCTTGTCTCCCCTTTCCGCAGTGGTTCGTATACCAGTTCTGCAGTGGTATCGTCTACCATGTCCGCAGCCACGCCTCAGCCCAATCCTCCCTCCGGATCGGCCTTCCATGAGATGCCATCTCCAACCTCCAAACCCTCGTCCCCCTCTGGCGAAGATGTCGAAAAGGTTTCTCCCTCCACATCGACATCACCACCTCCCGATGAACTGCGTCGAGCCCTCGGCACGCGTCACATGGTCATGATTGCAGTAAGTCATGATCTACTGAAGGACCTCTTTATCAAAGACATTGTAGGCTAATGGTACAACGTCCTTTCTTCTTCATTCGTTTGTGTATCTTCGCCAGATCGGGGGCATCATCGGACCCGGGCTCCTCGTTGGCTCCGGTCAGGCCCTTGCCTCCGCCGGTCCCGTCGGCGCACTCATTGCCTTCGCCATTACGGGAGCCATCGTCTATTTCGTCCTGCAAGCTCTCGGTGAAATGGCCACAATCTTCGCCATTCGTGGATCGTTCATTGAATATGCCGGAAGATGGGTCGACCCAGCGCTTGGGTTCGTCGCAGGATGGGTGTATTGGGAGCTGTGGGTGAGCGTATTAAGTAACGAGTACAATGCGGTGGCGATTGTAATCAGATACTGGGATGGTGCGCAGGTTGTACCGACGGGAGCTTGGATTGCGATCTTCTGGGTGCTGTTCATGGGGCTGAGCATGCTGGGTGTCTTGGCGTATGGCGAGGTTGAGTTCGTGTTGGCAACAATCAAGGTGATTGGAATAGTCGTGTTCTTCATTCTCAGCATCGTCATCAACGTTGGTGGTGCGGGTGGCGATCAAGGCTACATCGGTTTCCGATACTTTAAGACACCAGGTCCCTTCAACGGTACCGGAATTGACGCCCTGAACGGCATCGCAAAGATCCTCGTTGTCTCTGCAACCCTGTACGCTGGAACCGAAGCAACCGCCATCACTGCAGCCGAGTCGAAAAACCCTGCCAAGTCGGTCCCCATCGCCATCCGTTCCGTCTTCTACCGCATCCTCGTCCTCTACCTCGGCACGATCTTCTTCATCGGTCTCAACGTCCCCTCGGACGACACGTCGCTCGTGTCTGCCAAATCCAAAGCCGCCGCCTCCCCACTCACCATCGCACTCCGTCGCGGCGGTATCGGTGCAGCAGCCTCGCTCATCAACGCGCTCATCATCCTCTCCGTCATCTCTGCCGGAAACTCTTCGCTGTACATCGCCTCTCGAACCTTGCAGTCGCTCGGTGCGACCGGTCGAGCACCCGCGATCCTCGGCTGGGTCACCCCACGCGGCAAAGTCCCCATCCCCGCCCTCGTCCTCTCCAACCTCGTCGCCCTCATCTCTCTCCTCTCCATCAACGCCGGCGCCTCCACCGTCTTCACCTACATCATCAACATCTCCGGCGTCTCCACTTTCATCATCTTTGCCATCATCTGTTTCTGCCACATTCGATTCCGTCAGGCGTGGCTGAAACAGGGTAACACCTTGCAAGACTTGCCCTTCAGAGCCTTCGGCGCACCGTACGGAACCTGGGGAGCGTTCGTGCTGAACATCGTGCTGATGTTCTTCCAAGGCTATACGACGTTTTTGAATCCGAGAAAGGCGGCGGATATCGTGGTAGCTTACATTGTGATTCCGGTGGCGGTGGCGTTGTTTGTAGGGTGGAAGTGGTGGCACAAGACAAAGATGGTGGCGTTGGAGGATGTGGATTTGGTGAGTGGGAGGAGGTTGATGGAGGATTTCGAACCGAGCAGGGAGGAGGAGGAGGAGGAGGGAGGTGCGGAGAAGGAGGACGTGGTGGAGAAAAAGTGGTATAGGAACCCGAAGAAGGTGTTGAGTAGGATCATTGCTTGAGCATGCGAGAAGCTCGACTTGTAATCATATTCACAGTGCGGAACAAGCCTTTTGCCCAAGTCGAAACGTACTCAGAGCCCTCGACCGGCTCCCACCTTGACTGCTTCGAGACCAACGAGCGAAAGTACTTGTCCGACCCTCGATAGAGCTTCCTCATCCACCGCCGGTATGACCGTTCTCAATTTAGACTGAAAGTTCGCCTCGCTCGTTAGGACAGCGGACGCTGCTCCAGGTATCTTTCGATGTGCGTCAGCTGCGGCCGCCGGCCCACCTTTGTTCGAGACGAGCTTCGCTTCCTCTGCCCGTGTCCGATGCCTCCATCCGCTGCTCAATCAAACACAAGTCGCCACCAGAGAATCGGGGTACTACTATGCTGCACGTCGTGAAGCGTGCTACTTTTCCGCAGCTACCTCCGCAGCTACCTTTGGATGACATGAGGTAAGGCCCATGCTGTATTGCTGTGTTGGTGGTGAACAAGTCGGCTCAGTTCAAACGCTGCTCAATCGCACACAAGTCGCAAACAAAGAAAAGATGTACCAAGATATGGGGTATGCGTATTGCTATGGTGGACAATGTGGAGCGTGCTACGTATCCGCAGCTACGTTTTGATGATGACATGAGGTAATACAATTCATGAATCCGTGACGAGTGGAAGAGGACAACATCTCAAACGTGATCACCTGATCAGATCGAGTGTAGATGAAAGAGAAAATGAAAAGCTGGTGCGCTGCATGGCAACGTCCGCTTAGTATTTCTTCTCGTCGTGGGTGGCGAGCTCGTCGTCCTTGACGGGAGCGACGGCACCCTCGAGGTCCGAGCGACGAGCGCGGATCTCGGCGTTGGCCGCAGAGGACTTGATGGGGCTGGTCTGAGCGTACATCTCGTCGACCTCCTCGAGCGAGAGCAGGCGGGTCTCGTAGATGAAGAAGTAGGCGAAGACGGCACAGCCGGCGCAGGTACCGGTCCAGATGAAGAAGACCTTGGGGCCGAGACCGGCCTTACCCGCACCTGAGTCAACGAGGTAGGGAGTAGCGTAGCCGATACCGAAGTTCCAGAGCCAGTTGGAGGCGGTGCAGAGCGAGAGGGCCTTGGCACGGATGGCAAGGGGGAAGATCTCACCGCACACGACCCAGGCGGCGGGACCCCAGGTGGAAGCGAAGCCAGCAATGTAGATGCAGACGAAAGCGACGGCGGTCTTACCACCGGCGTGGTTGCGAGTAGGGACGACGGTACCGACGATGGCGACAACCAGCTCGCAGAGGCACATCCAGACAGCACCCCAGATGAGAAGCTTACGGCGACCGAGACGCTCCATCATGTACATGCCTGGGATGGTGGAGACGACGTTGACAACGTTGGAGATGACCGAGAAGATGAAGGGGTCGGAGCCGGGGAGCGCCGACCTGAAGAACTGGGTGCCATAGTAGAAGATGAAGTTGATACCGGTGAGCTGCTGGAAGGCCTGGATAAAGATACCAGTGAAGGAGCGGAGGAAGTACTTTCGCTCGTTGGTCTTGAAGCAGTCGAGGTAGGAGCCGGTCGAGTGGGTGAGCTCAATGTCAAGGTTGGTCTGGATGACCGACAGCTCGGAGCGGACGATGGGGTCGTCGACGTCGGTCGAGTTGAGGCGGGCGAGCGACTTGGAGGCACGCTCGTGGTTGCCCTTCTTGACGAGCCAACGGGGGGATTCGGGGAGGATGAGGAAGAAACAACAAAGAATGATGGCGAAGGCGATCTGGATACCGACGGGGATACGCCAGGAACCAGAATCGTTGCGGTGCTGGGTACCGTAGGTGGCGAGAGAAGCGCAGAGGAGACCGATGGTGATGGCCCACTGGTAACCGGAAACGACGGCACCACGGATCCAGCGGGGAGCAGTCTCGGACTGGTACATGGGGACAATGGTGGAAAGGATACCGACACCGAGACCAGCGACGACACGACCACCGATGAAGACACCGAGGTCGGTAGTAGCCATCTGCATGACGACACCGACGGTGAAAACGAGGAGAGCGACCTGCATACCCCATCGACGACCGAGAATGTCCGAGATGGGAGCACCGGCGAGCGCACCAACAAAAGTACCAGCCGACAGAATGGAAACGACGAGCGATTTGTCGTTAGTGCTGAGGGTGAATGCACCCTCGGCCGTCAATTCACCGTTACCAAAGGTCTTGTTGAAGTTGTCCATGGCGAGCAGACCAGAGATTGTACCAGTGTCATAACCGAAGAGGACACCACCGAAAGCGGAGGCAGCAGCGACCAGAATAGCGGGAAGCGACTGCCTGACGTTGACGGGGCGGGCCACAGGGCCGGTCGAGGTGTAGCCGACATCGGCAACAGCACCTCCAGCCATCTTGAAGAGTGTTTGAGTGGGTGTGGGTGAAGTAAAGTAGGGAAGGGAGGGAAGTGGCCTTGAGGGAGAGAGCTAAGGCTTGAGGATGGATGAGGAGAGAAGGTTGACGACGGTCGAGGATGGGGCTCTTTATGTAGACGTCCGAAGGTCGGAGGTGCCGTTGGGGCGTTGTGAGCATACAGCCAAGAGCAGCGCACCGAAGAGCAGTTGCACCGTTAGAAACGGCATTCAGCCAGTCAAGAACAGGCCACGCCAAGCCACGGAAAAGACGCGACAGGCGTCACAAGAGAGGAGGAAAAGAAAAAAGGACGGAGAAAAAAAATGAAATCTCGTGGCGTGGGTCGTGAGGGGCAGGCAGGCAGGCAGGCGGCCAGCCCCAAACATCCAATCAACACGAGACACACCACCCACGGGGACCCCGAACTCGAGAGCGGTCCAGGACCGAGCGAATCTGGAGAAACGAGCGAAGAAGAAGAAGAAAAAATGCCCCGCGGTGCAGTGCAGCTGGTGTTTGTTCAAAAGCGGAAGGGGAGAATTTTAGAGAGAAAGGAAAGAAAACAAAAATTTCGGGCACTGCTACAGTAGCCAGTCAGGCGAGAGAGGGTTTGTAGGAATGCAGGGTGTTGTGTCAACATGGCGAGTGGCAAGTGAAAATTATTTTTTTAGACGGTCGAGACTCCATTCTTGCGGGTCATCCGGTGACACAGACCAAGTTGTTGATCTTTTTCTCGCGGAATGAAGGCGGGGCTCTCTCGAATTGCCTATTCCGCGTATTGTTGCCACATGCACAAAGCCGGGGACCCAGAATCTGTGTTCCACTCCCCATCGCTTCATTCGAGGTCTAGAGTTTCAGCCTCGCCTCTACACCACTCTCGCCTCTCATTGGTTGTGTCGGGTCTGACCGCCTGTCTGTCGACCGTGTCGAAGCCTGGCCGTGTTCCTTGGCTAGAGACGTGGTGGGGTGGCTTGCTCGCCTGACTCGCTTACGCGTACCACACACCACTGGACACCCTTATGGCTGCAGTGCAACTGGAGTATACGGTAACGGTGGTAGCGGTCGCAATGGGGAAGCTCAATGCGCATCGCGCCAGGCGTGCGCACGCCGAAAGGCCCAGAGTGGGATTCGGTCGTCGACTCCAGATACCTTGCTCCCCACTCGGGTGCCCGACGACAGCGTCAGCGATGATTGTTGTGGGCCTCCGCGCCAAAGTCATCTTGCCTCATCTCGGCACCGCGCGGAGCACAATGTACCGCATCGTGTGGGTCTCGCCACACGCTTTCCCCCTGCAATCGAATCGCGTCCAGCGCAGCATTGTCCGGCTCAATGCTGTCTCACGTCTGTGGTGGGGACGAACCAGTGCCTGACTAAGCCCGAATGGATCCTGTGCCTTGCAGCTAAGACGATGCGTGGCGAATGCAGTAGCATGATCTCGACTCAGTCTCCCCGCGTCCTCCATTTCCCCTTCACCACTCCGCACAAACGCTTCGCCGTTTGGACGAACTTGAACGCACCTCGGACATGGCGGACAGAACCTCCTCGAGTCGGCGACTGACCAGCTCTTCCGACGGTTTGAGCGCTCTGTGCGCGCGAGACACGACGTTCCCTCGAGCCGGTCAATTACCCTTTACATCCGTTCTCCGTCTCGCTTCTCCCAGTAAGGGAATCGCCTTCGCCTACCACAAACGAGAACCCGACGATGTATGGGCTGTTCGGTATCTCGACTCCGTAGCGGCGAAACGACGTTGTCATATTTTTTGGGCCGTCCCCGGACAATGAGCTCGAAGCGAACCTCACCGCGCGGGGGTAACGACGAAAAAGCGAGGCCTCGCTTCGCGTCTTTCCCCTCCTTGTGGAGAGGCGTGTGACCTTGCTTCCGAAACGCAATTTAAAAGGTACCAACCCAGTTTTTTCTTTTTTGGGACTCGCTTGATCGACTCGCTTGGAACAACATCGGTCGAAAACGGCCGGTCTCGGTCGCGGCGTTCGAAAAATTGAGGGAAATTCTTCCGTGGCTGCGTCTGGTTCAGATTTCGAAGGACCATGTGGTTTCCGCTAAATGCGAGGGAGTAAGGGCAAGACGAATTTTCTGAATAGAGCCGAGGCAAACCCTTGGATCCACCACACCTCGATCCGCCCCCTCCAAGACCGTACAAAGTATGCTCTTGACGGATGTAACGAAGAATCTTGGCCTTGGTTCGCAAGAATCTCAGCTTCAGCCTGGTCAAACACGACTACAAGGCTCCAGAGCTTAGGGGTTGTCTGTCTTCTCTGATGATCGACGAGCGCATTTTTGTGCAGTCACCATGACGGAGCGAGCTCGAATTTGCATCGGTCAACCTTTCTACCTTGATCGTCGCGGAGGATTTCGTTTGTGTGTTCCTGAGCCAAAAAGCATGATATGCAAATCACCTCGAAGGATCGGAGACTTTTTTGGCACTTTCTGGTTGATGACGAGATTCGATTCGGCTGGTGGACGACCGACAATCGCGCGCACTTGCTCTCTGGATCCTCCTTCCGATCTGTAGGTGAGATCCAGGCACGGGAAAGCTCGGCTGTCCAATCGCGTGGCATTGTGTTTCGAGGAAAACGTACGATTGGCTCGTTGGTGAAAGTCAGAGCCGCCAAAAGCGCCGGCTTCGGGGACAAGCATGACCGGACGTAGTAGGGTTACTTGTGTGTGCAGTAAGAGGAAAAAGTTCAAGGATCCGATCGCAGGGTTGAGGCTGCAGGAACCACAACACACAAGTCACCGGTGGGTCGATGACCGCTGACTTCATGTCTGCATCGGGATCTGAAACCACCCCCGTCCGACCGGAACCTCTTCCAACGCAACCACTTTCCGGGGCCCTTTAGGCTGAGATCATCCCAACTTCAACCCCGTCTATGCAACAAATTGGGCCCCATACTATACCCACCATGCACTATGGGGAACTCACAACGTCAAGCCCGGAGAAAAAAGGGGTCTCGACACCATCAATCCACGGGTCGGAAAGGGTAAGGAACGAGTTCGACCGTTGTGCAAGCCACAATGACCGGTAACAAGACGGAGCGAGGATTGAGCGAAGTTTCGACGAAAATTCTCCGCGCTCGCGTCCATGCGGGTGCGATGCAGACGGGCACTATGCCTGCGGGTGTGTGTGTGTGTGTTTGCGCATGTCGATCCTTCGTGCTTCTCGGAGATAAATTTTTTTGCGCTTATTTTTCACTTGGCAAGCCGTAGTTGACCGGGCTAGAAATCTCCTTGCTCGAAAGAGTCTCACTCGTTGACGTAAGCCGCATCACTCGTGTCCAAAATACTAGGCTCGGGAAGGCTGCAGCCGGAGGATCCGGTCCTTCCCGGTTTCACTCTTCGGCAGACAACCTCTCTGGTGTCGTTGGAGGAAAAGTCAGGTGCGACAACTCGCGTGGAGAGCTGTCGTCTTGCCTCGGCTAAACTCGCTACCATTCCACTGCGTCTCAAATTCATCTCGTGGGGAGGGGGGGGAGCCAAGGGTGGATCGTCGTTTTTTTCTTTTCGATTCGTTCACTTCACGTCTGTTCTCGGTCGTGTCCGAGACAAACCACGCGATGCCATGCAGCACGGTACTTGCCTAGCCTTCTTTTCTGTCACGGCGACTGACAGAGCGGCAAGGGAGGAGAGAGCATGGAGAATTTGTTTTTGTTTTTTATCTTTTTCGTTTCCTACGTTCCATGCATGCAAAGGAGGATTTTCGGCTGAACTCTACAAAGTTGCAGCCCGTCGTGCGTTTTTTGAGACCTGGGTCATGTCAACCATTAGAAAAAATTCTTTTCTTGTTCGCTCTGCAAATCGCGTGTTGTTGGACAACGGTATGCGCAGAAAGGGGTCGCTTTTCGGCCGTGACAAGGTCCTCCACGAGAAGCCTTCCGCAGCAGCAGCTACTACTGCTCGTCATCATCACCGATAGACGTCTCTCTCTCTCTCTCTCCTCAACGTCGTTCGGGACTCTTCATGGTTTGTTTTGATGGTCAGTGGCTGCGACGTCGAGACTGAAACTTGAACCGTGCTTTGCTCGTCAAAACGCCCATCTCTCCAACCCCCTTTTTATCCATAAAAAGACCTGTGGCGTCCACATATTCAGCCAAAGGTTCGTCCGAGATCATCCCGGTTGCCTTACCGCGCTCCTCGATCCAATACATCAACCGTTGTCTCTCCGCGCGATTCATGCGTGGTGGGGAAAGGTGTAGATGTGGGGTCTGTGCGTGCAAGGGTTTAGCGCAGAATTTTACATTTGAAGACCCCGCTTTCGCATCCCCACACCACAGTCCTCACCCACATGGGAAGATCTCTCCGCTGATATCGCTTAGCTGTGCGGGGAGATTCCGAACGGCTCAACTGATCCGGTTTGCGATCTGATGTCTGCCGATAAGCAGATCTATGAATCCTCTTTCAAGGTATCCTACATTGCGCGAGTTCCCTGATTTGGCTACGGACTGCTGCTTCTCAGAGACGCCAACCGTGCGCAAACAGCTTCAACCTAGAAACGTCTCCTTCATTCGACCGTACTGTGGGGTTAGCTCAACCTTTCCAACTCAACCCTTGATACAACCTTTCATCTCTTCATTTCGAGCAAGAAAGTGTAGGACGATGAGATGTGTGGGGCAATATCGGCAGCTATTGGGCCGCGCAAAAAGTGGGCAATGTAATCTGACACCTTGGTTACCGTGGGGATCCTGCATAGCCCTTCTTCCTTTAGCCTTTGATCGAGCCCGAATCGTGAAAGCTTCAGTCCTCACACGCACCTTGTCCCTATCAGACTGACCCCGATGATGAGATCAGACTGCCGATTCCGATGATCCGCTACTCCTCACCCACCCGCTGACCTCCTAGCCTCCTGTATGCTCCTCACCAGCGCACCCGCATCTCCTCCGCCCAACGTCTCGTAAACGAACGACCGTCCGTTCACCACTCTGACCGAGAACGTTCTTCCGCCTCTCCATTCCAATCCAGTCAGCAGATTCGGTATCACCTGTTGCTGCTGCTGCTGTTGCTGTTGTTGCTGGTGCCCCGCTTCATCCTCCCTTACCTCGTCATCTGGCTGTGCGGTCGAATGTCTTCCCCCTGAGAGCCTTTCAAAATCCCCCTGACCCCCACCAGCATCGCCAGACGTAACCCCGTTCGTTCGCGACGCACGAATCGCCAGGATCACCTCGCTCTTGACCTTGAGCGCAGTAGCCGTCTCCTTTACGCACAGCAAGCGCGGGAAATCCGTCAGCACCAGCTGCCGTCGTTTGGTAAACATCTTGCCCGTACCCGTCTTCTTCTGCGCCACGGGTAGACTGTACAGCATCACCTCTTTGGGCAGCAGCAGCGCTGCCCAGCTGTGCTGCAGTCCAACGCTCGTCGTACCGGTGGTGCTTGCGGTTGCTGCAGCTGCTGCAGGGGTCGAAGAGGATGACGATGGTTGGATTCGCGTGGTAGAGTTGGGACTTGGGCTGTGGTGGTGATTTGTCGACATGGTCTGCATGGATCTCGAAAAAGGTCGCATTGGTCTTGGGACGGCTGAAGGCTCCGTGTTGGTCTCCGCGATCGCAGGACGAGAGGCGTCAATCGACATATTCGAAAACCTCCTCCTCCCGTTCGCCTGCGGACTAGACGATCCGGTCGACATGAACCTCGACTGGAACCCATCCGTCAACCTCTGCAATCCACTCTGTCTTTTTCCCCAACTCGTCGCTTGATTCTGAGAGCTCGCATCTGACAGATCCGAATCATCCGCATCATCCATGCCTGTCCCCTCTCCCACATCCGCTCCCTCGGCGTTGTCCCTATCGATGCTCTGCGTATCTCCGTTGTACGCTTGACTCTCGTCCGAACTGCCAAACCCTTCATCAAAGCTGAAATCGCTCGTCCTCTCCTCTCCCCTCGCTGTCGGCAACGGCTGCACCAACCCCGTCCGTATCTCTGGCGCATCCTGCTCCCACAACTTCTTCCAATCGATCGAGCCAAAGAACCGATGCGCCTTGATCTCTGCCGCAGTCAACCTTTCCGCTGGATCCAACGCCAGAACCCTGTCGATCAGGTCCTTCGCATCCTCCTCGAACCCCTCCGGAAACTCGAATTCCCTCTTCTTGACCTTCTGCAGCGTCTGATACTCGTTCACCCCTTTGAACGGTGGTCTTCCCGCCAGCATCTGGAACAAGACGCATCCAAACGCCCACCAGTCAGCAGGTTTGCCAGCAGGCTGCGCCTTCTCCACCAGCAATTCCGGCGAAACGTACTCGGCGGTGCCCACAAAGCTGGCCGCTCTCTTCCTTCCCCCTTCCTCTTCCTCCTTGACCTCGCTCTCCACCTTCTCCGTCTCTCCCGCAGGGTGAACGATCTTGGCACTTCCGAAATCCGTAATCTTGACCCTCATCTTGCCATCCAACAGCACATTCTCCGGCTTCACATCCCTATGCACCACCCCTGCCACGTGCATCGCTTCCAACGTATCCACCAACATGGCTGCGTAGAACCTCGCCGACTCGACATCGAAGCTTCCGCGCTTCCGGATGAAGTTCAACAGCTCGCCGTTGCTCGCCAGTTCCAAGACGAAGTACAGGCTCTCGCGATCCTGAAACGTCCAGAAGAGGGTGACGACGCCTGGATGGCGAATCATGCGGCTGAGAGCTTCCTTTTCGATGGCGACGTACTTCTGCTTGTTCTGTTTGAGGATGTGGACCTTGTCGAGGACTTTGATGGCGTAGGCTTTGCGGCCGGTGAGGTCGAGTCGGCGACGTCGACGACGGTGTGATTCGGAGCCGACCATGGCGGAGGCGGCGGAGGTGGCGGTAGGGTCGACGACGCCTGGCTCCTTGGGGTTGGGTCCGGAGAGAAGGTCCCACGCTTCGAGCACGGTCGAATAGGAGCCTTCGCCGAGGGTGTCGCCGAAGTGAAAGTCGTTCGGACCGCGGGCGGAGAAGGTGCGTGGTGAGGGGGTGTTGGTCCGATCCGGTACGCTGGAGGCTGAGGTGGGGAGCAGACGAGGACTCTGGATGTGCGAGATAGATGCCGGGCTGCGGGCGTAAATGGAGTCCGTGATGCGGGCGGGTCCGACACGGATGGTCTCGGGTGACCGTGCTAGTTGCGAAGCGGGCGATGCGGAGCGTGGTCCTGGCGTCGTTCGCATGACAAAGGGAAGCGTCGCGGCACTGGGTGGTGAGAGCGCCATGCCTTCGTGTAGCTCTCTACCGGGAGTCATTCCAGGAGAGTTGCTAGCCAACTCTCCCGGCGCCGGCATCGCTACTCGATCCGATGTATCGATTCTGCCATAACCACTGCCAGTGCCATGTACGCCATCATCGTCCTCCGGAATCACAGCTACGTGAGGTGGCGCACGCATACCAAGTTCGCCGATACCAATGGCGGTGCTGCTCGAGCTATTCTTCGAATGCGTGCCTGGTCTGTCGAAAGGTGACTCCTGCACCAGGCCCTCGATGGGACTTTGGCCACTGGGCGAGTAGGCGCGACGATCCGAGCTCTGACTGCGGCGACCTTTGCTGATGGAGCTCTCGCTCGTGCGCGCACGAAGGACCGCGGGTCGTTTTGCGTTGGACCACATTCGCGGTCGCTGCAACGAGTCGGGTCGTCGAGATGAGCTAGCTCCCGCCTCGCTGCCTGTAGCGCTGCTCGGTCGCCTGATCTTCGTCCTCGCCAGCGTATTTGTGGCGGTGACGTCTTCATCCTCGACGACGGGCGAGTAGCTAGCAGGGACCGGCGACGGCTCGCTCGGCGAGTCCGGAAGCGAGGCGATACCCGCTTGCGCTTCCATCCGAACCAGCTCGGCTGGCGTAGGATGCGGCGACGCTCGCGCCTCGTTGTACGGCGTGGCAGCGAGCTCGACGTGAGGCGAGCGCTGTGTGGCGAGCGAGAGGCCCGGCGCGGAGAGCGTGTACAGCGCGGGCTCAGCATCAGGAGCATCCACGGCACTGGGGTCGCGCACGAGCAGACCGGGCGATGCGGTGCGATCAAAGGCGTCGTTGCTGCTCTCGTTGCGCATGAGCACGGGTTTGTGCGTTGCGGCCGATCCGCGTCGAGTGTGGCTAGCTCCATCAATCTGACCTGATGTGAGGTTGGTGAGGTAGGGCGCGAGGTCGGAAGAGATACTACCGGCTTGCGCTCCATAGCCGAGAGGTGGTAGAGAGGGCGCGTGGCCAGCATCTGCGCTGGAAGCAAGACGAGTGTCGTCGTGTCCAAAGGCTGATCCGGCGTGACCCGCTGCTTCCGGATGAAGCCTGGCACTTGGCAGGTCCTCTGCGAATTTGGGCACGAACAAGGGCGCGTTGGTGACCGAGCTGGTCCTGAAGTCAGCCGGGACCGGTGTGAGAAGAGCGTGCAGCGGCGTAGCGGGTGCCGTGTTGGCGCTGTGAGGGCCAGATGAAAAGTAACTCGAGCTGCGTGGCAAGGGTGTTCGTGTGGGCGATATCAAGTTGATCTCGTCCTCGGAGCTGTCGAGCGGATTGTAGACGTCGTAGTGTTCGGCAGGGGAAGGAGCGAGAGAGGTGACGATGTTGGTCTTGATACCGAGCCGACCGGCGCCCTTGACAAACTTCTGCCGGATGACCTCGCGCGAACGCTTGGCGGGGGAGGAAGCAAGCTGAGATTCGTCGAGCTGCAGCTCGGGCAGCTCTGAGGTCGCGATGGATGTGGGGCGTGGTGGTCGGTTGGTGCGCATACCGGGACCGACGCGGTACATCCAAGCATCGGTCATCGGCTTGGGCACGCCCTTGTGCCTCTCGGAGTTCGGCAGCGACGTGCCGAGAGTAGTAGCTTGGGTCGATGGGGCAGACGCAAATGCAGAGGAACTCGACGGGTCATTCGTCGCGTAGTGGTGTGCCTCGCGGCTGTCGGCGGCGGCCATTTGTGAATCCACGTCCTGACCAGCAACGTTCGCCGCAGCTGACTGAGACGCAGTCGGCTGCTGTGCAGCAAGCGACAGCGAACCGTACGGGTCTGCACGAGCATTGCGTGCGGCGAAGCGTGCCGCCGCGCCGCCGAATCCCAGTCTGACGTTGCCGAGAGGAGCTTCGCGGAAAGGCACCGCCTCAAGGCTGCTGGTGCTGTTGACAGAGCTTACGGAGCTGACAGACATGGCTCGGCCCAGACTGACGCCTCCAACGCTGGATGCTGCGCCCTCGCTGGCATCGCCGCTACCGCTGCGGTTGCCGGATGCGATGCTGGCCGACGATGCATTGAGAGGATGCGAGGTCGCGCCGGGACGATTCGCCCAATTGGTGTGAGGCAGCGAGGAGTTGGAAGATTGACGCGAGCTGCTAGCTGTACCGGGTGGGGCGCGGTTCTGAGAGGCGAAGCGCCGAGGCATGGGTCCCGAGTCGCTGATCATGTACTCGTCGTCATCATCGTCGGTGGTGAGCTGCGGATGAGACGCAGACGCAGCTCTGGACATCCTATCTTCGGCTTCGCTTCCTGTTCTTGAGAGCAGACCTTTGCGGATACGGGTTGTCGAGGCAGAAGACGGTGGAGGGGCGTTGGACCTTATGCTGCTGACGCGAGAGACTGCGGCGCTGGAGGTGGCCGAGGTGGGTGCGGATGCTGGTGCTGGGTGGAGAGGAGTGGGTGCGCTCATTGGTGTTGTTGACGCCGACGGCGCCGCAGCGGGAGGACTCGCGGGATATGCTGTGTGTAGAGACGGCGTTACTTGGTGAGATCGTGATGACGCGTCTGACTGTGGGAAGCCCTCGTCCATGGCAGTCGGCGAGGCAAAGAGGGCATTGCTGGCATCTTGTGAGCCCGCCGGCTCCGTGGACGAAGCCACTAGTGGTGGTGGTGGTTGAGACATGCTTCCTCTAAGAAGCGATTCGTCGCTGTGCTGTTCTAGCGGGACAGCTGCAGCTTACGATACGTCGACATTGTTTGATGAGATAAGGCCCCGAAGAGTAGGGCGGGATGAAGATGGTGTAGCTGGCAGCGATGGTCGGGCTTCGGATCCATGCTTTGAGCGAGTGACGGCAGTTTCAGCCAGCTGCGTCCTTGTCGAAGAGGGTGATGGTGGTGGTGATGAAGCAGGTGAAGCGCGAGCCCTTTGTCAGCGTTGCGAGAAGAGGCGCATGCTGAGTTGGCTGGTGATTGTGTTCGGTCGTTCCGCCGAGTCGAGTTGCAGGGTCCGTGAGTAAGAGTGTATGCACGCTGCTGTACGAGGCGGTGAGTGGGCCGGCGCCGATTTGCAGGACTGCTTCGCGTGCTGCTGTCACTTTTGTCGCTTCTTTTTTCGTTTTTCTGGCGTTCTCGCGTGGAGGTCCGTCCGCCGGTGTGGCATCAGTGTACTGTCAAGAGGTTCTAGACATTTTGGTCGTGCATGGATCGAGTCGAATCGGGTCGCCGATTTGTGACTCTTTTCCGCGCTGTCTCGACCCATCTCGAAAGGCGATGTCAGCAGGGGAAGAAGCGCCTTTTGCAAGAATACCGACCTGCAAAAACAGCTCGCTGAAAAAGAGGCGTCGAAATTGATTCCCACTCAATTCCTGTCTCGTGCGGTACAGCGGGGGCAATCTTGGAAGAAAAGCGCTTTGAGCGTCGAGCAGTCACTGTAACTCTCTCGCCTCGAGTCACCGCAACTCGAGACGGCAGTCACACCGCTGTGACAGTCGGCCAATGATGATGTGAGCCTATTTTCATTTTGCGGTGCGATGCGGGGAGGGCCAAGATTGCCAACCTCGTTCCTTCAATCTCCCTTCCTTCTCACCAACACCTTCTGAACATCAGCTCGACGTCAAGATGATCTCCAGAGGTGCAGGCTCGATCCTTCGAGCGGCGGCGGCGGCGACACCAACCGCTCGCACGCCGCTCCTCACCCGCTCCATCGCCACCTCCTTCCCCACCAGGCAACCCAACTCGACCCAACCACGCCAAAACCCATCCAATCCCGTCGAATCCGACTCCACCTCCGCGCTCGACTACAAGCTTGCACACAAACTCCGCAAGCTCCCTCCCCTGCCCTCCCTCGAACCACCCTCCATCGATGCACCCTCCGCCGTGTCCAACATCCTCTACAACACCCCTCCACCGTCCAAAGCGCCGTTCAAACGACACACGCTCAACTGTCTCGTTCAGAACGAACCCGGTGTACTTTCGCGCGTTGCGGGGACCCTGGCCGCACGCGGGTTCAACATCGATTCGCTGGTGGTGTGCGGTACGGAGATCCGAGATCTGTCGCGAATGTGCATCGTTCTGCGTGGACAGGATGGTGTGATCGAACAGGCACGTCGTCAACTCGAAGATCTGGTTCCTGTATGGGCCGTACTGGACTACACGAACACCAAAGTCATCGAGCGCGAACTTATGCTCGTAAAAGTCTCCATCCTCGGTCCCGAGTACTTCGAGGAGTCCCAACAAGCTTCCACTAGCCCTGCTGGAACACCCGAGTTGATGCAAGAACGAGAATCCGACTCCACCTCCAAACCACCTCACCAGAACCAACCGCTTCCGCTGACGCCGACCGAGGCGCTGCGAGTGAAATCCGACAACATGCGTTCCGTCATCGCCTTCGCCGAGCAATTCCGCGGTCGCGTGGTCGACGTCTCTTCCACCAGCGTTATCGTCGAAATGTCCGGCAAGAGCAGCAGGTGCGATGCGTTCCTGAAGCTGGTTAGACCGTTTGGAATCCTCGAGTGCGCGAGATCGGGTACGATGGTGCTGCCGAGAAGCCCGATCCCCAGCAGCTATGCGGGCGCGGAGGATCTGACGGAGGACGAGGTCGAGGCCATCGACGCAGGTGCTCTGCCCCCTGGCTAGAGATGCAGCGTGGGACGAGGCGTGGAAGTGCAATATTTGTTCTATACGCAATCACAAAATGAGTGCTTGACATTGTCACCCGTGCCAGCTTGAATGGAGCATGTCAAAATGTCCGTATCTGAGCAACTCTTCCCAACTGCTACAGGTCCTTCATCCGCATCCCGTAATGTCGACGCGCAAAGAACAGACGAATGTGACGCAAGAGATAGATTGCTCTGTGTTGAACCACTTTTGCGTGGCGTGGTAAGAGTGGTACTAGAATACATGAGTAGATCGGAGACAAGAGGGGACGCGAGAGCAAGCACAAGCAGATATTGCGAAAAGGGGGGAGAGAGCGGGGACAAGAGTTGCAAGGAAGACACAAGAGACAGGACGACATTAGGACTAAAAGCGGTCAAGCGACGCACGACGGTGAATGGCCACGTTCACCACTCGTCCATCATCATCTCGTTGAGACCGCCAGCTGCTGCCTGAGCTTGTTGTGCCCTCGCTGCCTCGAAGTCGCCCTCGACGTGCTCCCACAGCGGCTTGCCTGCCGCATGCTGCTGTTCAAAGTACCTGTTCGCAGCGACACCGCTGCCGTCATCCGAAGGCGAGGGTGTGGGTGGGAACTCGACGCCCATCGGGAACCTCATCTGCGCGGGCGGAGAGGCGGGAACCTCGTTCTGGTGTGCCGGGTTGGAGGGCTCAATGACCATCTGCACGTCGGCATTGCCTTCTAGCAGATGAAGCTCGTCCGACTTGATGAACGTGTAGCCGTACGAGGTGACCACTTTGAGCCAATGAGGATTGTTGCTCGTAAACGAGACGGACGAGGCTGCGGCCTGGGCGCCTTTGCCCTTGGTCGAGGCCGAAGAGTGGGTGAAGATGTCACGTTGTTGGTTCTGCTGCTGCTGGTGGTTGTTGGTGGGGGTGGTAAGGTCGTCGAGCGTCACGTCGGATGAGCTCGCGAAGGGGTCCTGCTGGAAGTGAGAGCCAGGCGTTGGCAGCGGCGACTGCTGCTGCTGTTGCTGTTGCTGCAGCTGAAACATGCTAGAGGATCTGGAGCCTCGAAGAGGAATGGTGGGGCGAGCACGCTTGCCCGAAAGAGGCGAAGTGTCGACAATCTCGTCCTCGGTCTTGCGCTTGGGCGTGGTGGGCGAGCCACCAGCCATGGTGTTGAGGTACGATGTCTTGACGGCGGGGGAGAGCAACATGATGGACAAAGTTGAAATGGGAAGCGCTGGCTTGACGCGGTTGTGGTGGGAAACGGGAAAGGAAAGGGGTGGAAGATGCCAGCTAGTATGGAGGCGATGCAGGGATAAGAAAGTTGAAAACGCCGAGGAGAACAAGTGACCGGCACCTGTTGAGACGATGGAGCTGCTGTGAGCTTGATGCAGATCAAGTGGATGTGAATGCGGCTATGGACAGCTTGGTAGATACGAGGAGCGCGAATGCTAGTGCAAGAAGGGGAGGAACAGGATTTGGCTGGAATGAGAAAGGTTGGTGGATTGATGGAAAGAGAGAAGAAGGTGGGGAAGCAGGATCAGCAAAGATCTTCTACGCCTTCTCGACGCGATCGGAAGACGGGGGGCCCTGGGAATGCAAGGAGACTGAGCCGGAGTGCCGCTTAGAGCTGCTGCTGCTGCCGCTGCCACAGTCGAGTCGAGCTGTCAATTAACGACGTCCATCCACCGACCGCTGCTAATTTAGCCACTGAACCAGCTGCAGTCCGACAAGTTTCGAATCGCTTGGGAAAACTCGAACGAATTTCATTCCATTCTTGGGTCGCCACAGTGCTCGGCATCTTTTTGTTCTTGAAATTACTTTTTTTTTGTGTTCATCCCTAGCGCGGTCTCTTGACGGCAGTCGACTGCCGCTCGCTCGATGCAAAGTAGAAAATATGTAAATCTGCAGCTCACCTCATTTTTGTGCCTCGCTGCAGCCTCGAATTTTCATTTACGCGTTCGAATTGCCTGATATGCCTGCCAATCCCGGTCTCGACGAAAGCGGAAAAAGCCAATTTTATTCGATAATTCTCATGCATTCGGTCGTAATTTGACGCTTCAGAAGAGCGCGTCGCGAAACACACAAGCTCACACGAGCTGGACAGCCGAGACAAAGTGCTTGACCTCTCGGCCGTCACAACTTCCGAACGCCCATCGAGATACAATTGGTTGCAAGTGTCGCCCGATCGGATCTACTGGCAATGAGCTCGGCTCAATCCCTGCTTGACTGTCTACATAGGCTGTTGCCTATCCGCCCCAGTGTCAACCTCATTAAGGTCACTCGAGACACAAATCCAAGGAATCAAGCACGGTTGACGTGGTATTGGTATTACTGCTAGTGACGTAGCGTTTTGTGACAGGGAAACGAATCCCCTGGATGCGTGAATGTAGGTGTGTGTGTGCGACGAAGCGATGTATGCGGGACGAAGCGCTAGCGACAACAGTGCAGAGGTAGTACAAATGTTCGGGCGCGAGGTTTGTCGGGGGTTGGGAATCTATGCAAGAGAGAGACGGAGAGATAGCGACACGGAATAACACTACAAAGAAACCGGCAAGGAGAAACAACCGTTCGGAACGGAAACAAAGAAGAAGGAAAAAAGATGGTGGTAACACATGTAGAGAAGAAGAAGAAAGAAGAAGAAAATGCGGGGCAAGAAACGATGTTGAATCGACCAGACGGATCCTTGCTGAGGATCCATCGAGGAGACCTTTAAGCTAAAGCGGGAGCGAGATCAGCCGCCGAAAGGAGGCACAGAGACACTGCCGCTGCTTTAGAAGTTGAGCTGCTTGGGCTGCTCCCACGAGAACTCGGGTCGGCCAAAGTGACCACCGGCAGCGGTAGCCCGGTACTGGGGCTTCTGCAGTCCGAGGTCCTTGACGATCACACCGGGACGCAGGTTGAAGTTGCTGCGGATGATCTTGACGAGCTCCTCGTCCGTCTTCTTACCGGTGCCGTACGTGTCGACGAACACCGAGAGAGGGTCGGCCACACCGATGGCGTACGAGAACTGCACCAGAACACGGCGAGCGAGGCCAGCAGCAACGAGCGACTTGGCAACCCATCGCGCGGTGTAGGCGGCGGATCGGTCGACCTTGGAGAAGTCCTTGCCGGAGAAGGCACCACCACCGTGGGCACCCCAACCACCGTAGGTGTCGACAATGATCTTTCGGCCAGTGAGACCGGCGTCACCCTGGGGACCACCAATGACGAAGCGTCCCGAAGGCTGAATGTGGTAGATGGTGTCGTTGTCGAGCAGGTTCGAGGGAATGACCTTCTTGACGATCTTCTCCATGATCTCGGAACGAAGCTCCTCGGTGGAGATCTCCTCGGCGTGCTGGGTGGAAATGACGACGGTGTCGACACGCAGAGGGATGGTGGCACCGTTGTCCTTCTTGTACTCGACGGTGACCTGGGTCTTGGAGTCGGGTCGGAGCCATCCGAGCGAGCCGTCGCGGCGGGCGGCGGACATGGCCAGGTTGAGCTTGTGCGAGAGCATGAGCGTCAAGGGCATCAACTCGGGGGTCTCGTCGGTGGCGTAGCCGAACATGATACCCTGGTCACCGGCTCCGTGGTCCTCGAGCGAACCGTGGTCGAGACCCTGGGCAATATCGGGCGACTGCTGCTCGATGGCGACGAGCACGTTGCACGTCTTGTAGTCGAAACCCTTCTCGGACGAGTCGTAGCCGATCTGTTTGATGGTGTCACGGATGACCTTCTGGTAGTCGATCTGAGCCTTGGTGGAGATCTCACCAAAGACCATGATCATACCAGTCTTGGAGGCGGTCTCACAGGCGACCTTGGAGTTGGGGTCCTGCTCGAGGCAGGCGTCCTGTGCAGCGATGAAAGCGGAGAATAGTGGAAAGGAAAACAAGTGTCAGCTGGCTCGCAATCTCAAAGATCCTGCTGCTGCCGATACCGAGTGGAACGAGCGAATCTCCGGCTAATCATCAGCTCCTCGCGGCTCCTTCTCGCCAGCGCTTCGTTCGAGCCCCTTAGCTGCCTCGACAGCTGTTCTTCTAGCGCGAGCCTGCGCTGCTCTTCCAGATCGAAACTTGGCACGTCTGAGCTCCAGAGCGGCGGAAGGAATTTATTTTTCGCGTGGAGAGTGCTGCACTCGGTATCGGTTGCATCGGAAACTTACGAGGATGGCATCGGAAACCTGGTCACAGATCTTGTCTGGGTGACCCTCACCGACCGACTCGGAGGTGAAGAGGAAGTGACCCTCGGGGAGGACGCGAACGTTGGCAGGCATATTGATGTATGTGTGAGGAGGGCGGGAGGAGAGGGGTATGAAGGGATGACAGAGGTGAATGTGGAAGAGGAACAAGAAGAAGAAGTGGAAAGTAGAAAGTCCCAACACAGGCGACACAAGCAGGCGGCGACGGCGGATGTCAAGCTTTGCAGGCCAACACGAGCACGAGCACGAGCACGAACACCAGGACGCACACACAGAGAGCGGCAGAGCGACGCAGAGCCTCGTAAGGATCGACCGTGGTGACTGATTGATGGGCAAGAAGAAAAAAATTCGGCCAGAAAATCACGACACGGAGGGGACGTGCGACATTCTTTGAGGAGGCACTTGGACTGTCTCACAGGGTCTTTTGGAAGAAATCATCACCGGCTTTGACACGGTGTCCTGCACCAACGAAGAATCGGGTGAAAATCATCCCATCCAACAAACGCTTCCAAACAGAGCCAGCGCGTGTGTGTGTCTTTTGCCTTCCAGCCTTGTGGCAAATTGCTGCTTCTGGCAGGCAGTCTGCTTTCACAGCTCCCTCACGCAGACCCTTGTTCGGCGATGCAGATCCACAAGAACGTGCTCATCCAGACCGACGTGGCCACGCTTGCTTGCTTGCTACCCGGAGTTGAAGCTGGTCGCTGTCTCCCATGCACAGACCAGCCGAGACTATCAGGAGATCTGTTCTGCGCCTGGACATTCCGAATCTTGAAGACCCCCTGAATGGCACCATACTTCATAAGCAGCGAATGTCAAGGTGATCGCATAACGTAGCTTGACCAACGACGTCGATCTCTGCCTGTACCGCTGCGTTGTCTGCCACCGTGAGCGCGTCAGGAAGAACTTGTCGAAGGTCGAAATGAGAGAGATTCGTGTGTGGCTTTGCATTCGATGCACTTGATGCACCTATGGCGTGCTTGAGCCCACCTCTCGCATGGCAGATCCGTCACATCCGATGTCGTCCGATTGTGTGCAAGAATCGGGTGAAATACAGGTAATCGAGATGATCTGAGATATCGGGACCAAAGACCCGATTGGACTGATCCACGTGATTTCGACTTTTTTGGAGGATTTCTTCTCAGGCGGCTCTCCCGAAAAGTCGAGAGAGTCTTTGTCACGGAGCGGCTCGTCTGATCACCTCCTCGCACAGTTGCCAACCTGTCCATCGTCCCCGTCAACCTCTCCTTCAAGGCAGTAGCATACGGCGCAGGAACGCACATTTCACTGCTGCAGCCCCATCCGGTCGACTGTCGCTACGCGGACTAAGCTCGCGACCTTTGCGATTGACCCGCCGCCCCCTCATCAATCGACACAGCGCAACTAGGGTTTAACCCCGCCCAGCACTTCTCGACAGCACATCGCCCATCATGCGCAAAGCCAAGGTCTTCAGCCACGAGACCGTCATGCCACGCATGTCGTGGTCCGCTCGCAACCTCTACAACACCATCGCCCGCTCCACCGTCCCCTTCCACGCCTCCCAAACCTCCTTCACCAAGACCTCGCTCACCATGTATCAGCAACGATGGCGATCCAAACGTTTCCTCCGAGCATATCACGGCGACTGGATCCCTGAGAAACGCTTCAAGAGGTGGTTCCTTCCCACCGATCTGCCGAGTTTCGTCCCACCTCAGGTATCCGCTGCTTCCACTTCTGCCTCGGGTCCTAGACGAGGTGGCCTCTTTGATAAAGCTCTCAAAGCCAGAAGAGATATCACTCCGGAATCAAGCGCGAAAGAGGCGGGCTCGGGGTACTCGACGGTGACACAGCAAAAAGTAGTGGAGGAGATGGACCAGATGCCCACGGCTTCGTTGTTCATGAGGGATGTGGAGAGGAGGTTGGATGTCGTCGTTTTCCGATCTTGTTTTGCTAGGTCGGCGTACGAGTCGAGGAGCATGGTGGTTCAGGGAAAGGTCAAGCTGAATGGGGTCAAGTGCAGCAACCCGAATCAGCTGCTTCAGCCCGGCGATCTGATCAGTGTCGAACCAAGCGCGGTACCCATGCTGAGCGAGGAGGCCGCCAAGAAGGCAAAGGCGCAGATGGTCAACGACCAAGTCACGGGCGAGGAGGATGCTACCAAAGCTGCTCAGAGCGAGACTGAGGAAGTCAAGGAAGACCAGGCCGACGCAGATGCAGCCGAGTCCAAGGACCCCGCCTCTGCCGACGCATCACCAGCTTCCGACGCATCCACATCAGAATCCACCTCCGAAGCTCAACCCTCCTCCTCATCCTCCGCCTCCAAAGGCAAATCCCGCGACAAAACCCTTCCCCCTGGCGTCCACCCCTTCACACTCCCCGACTACGCCGCCCCGTTCCTCTTCATCCCCCCCTACCTCGAAGTATCCTTCACCACCTGCTCCACCATCTACGTCCGTCACCCGACCATCGTCCCGCACCGCACCTTCTCAGACGGCAAACCACGCTGGACGTTCCGCACCGATCTTCCCTCTCCGTACCCCGCCGGCGGAGAACTCTACTCGATGGCCTGGGAACACTACACGCGCAACGCACCCCGAACACGTGCCGATGCGAGACGCATCAAGCTCGAGGCGAAAGTGGGTAGAAACGGGTTCGAGACCGAACGTGCAAAGGATCAGAACATGAAGAGGAGCGCGTTGAGGAGGGGTTGGGGTAGGACCAAGAGCGTCGAAGGTTGGAGGAGACATTTGGCTGCTGCGCAGGCGAGGGATGCGGCTGGGAAGAAGGACGGTGATAAGAAGGCGAGGGTTGTCGCTTAGAGAGAGAGAGGAGATTCTGAACAGTCGAACCAATGACATTGTATCACCACACCCATCCTGTGTGCACGCTCATGTGCCATCAAAATGCAACAGCATCAACATCAAAACTCGCCGAAAGTTCTGCGCGTCTTGTCCGTGGCATCTTTTCACAGACTGTGAGGGGGATTGAACAGCTGTATGTGATTCGTGCCATTTCTCTTGTTGCCACCTTTTAACCCGTCTTCGGAGACTTGCCCTCCTCACCCGCAATCACCATATTCACATCCGCCGCTGCACGCTCTCCTGCCTCTCCTCCTGCATCGCCATCCATCGATCCAACGCTGGCAGCATCTGACCTGATCAAAGACAACAGCTCGCTCTCGTACGTCAGATTATCGTCTGCCACCGCTGCCTTCATTCCCTCCCCGATCAATCCTTCCGCTCCACCCTCTCCCTCCCCTGCCGCTTTCGCATAGATCAACCAAAACACCCCCAAACAAGGATCCTCTTTCCTGCCCATCCTCACCTCCTCCTTCTCCACTCTCACCACCCTCCCTCCACTCACCTTCCACCAGGCTTCGCCGTGCTTGACCATGGTCACTATACGACCTGCCTCGTGCACGAGCACCGCGCACAGATCGTACGCCAGCTGATTCCACTCCGGATTCTCAGCTTCCCGTTTCGCTCTCTCCCTGACCGTTGCGCGTTTCGCATCTATCCTCCCCTGGACCTTTGCGATCAACTCGTCCGTTGCTACGAGATCCGCATCGACTGCAGCGACGATCTTGTCGATCTGTGGTGCTGCCTCCTTCAACGACGCGGATCGGACCTCATCTCCTTCCCCCGACCCTGCAGCCACTTGATCGAAATACCTCCTCGCACCACCCAGCACTTCCCCCACCGCCCTGCCCCCATCCCCCATCAACTTGCGCTTCCTCGTTTCCAATTCGCTGCGCATCATCTCCAACCTCACCATCTCCAAATCCTTCAACTCGGAATCCAACCTCACGCCCTGTCGTCGATCCCACATGAGCGAATCCAAATGAATCCTCTCCTGTATCGTGAACGCTGACTCGGTCGATGACACATTGGCATGATCTACCAACATACCGATGACATTTGCCGGGTTGGTCAACAGCGCCCCTTCTCCATCGGAGGCCAATGCGGTGCGCAGACAAGAGTACACATCCGAATTCACCGAATCGTGTCTCAGCTGGATAACCGATCTCCTTTGTTCCATCTTCGGCGGTTCTTCCACCGGAGAACTCACCGCTGCTGCGCCAGAAGAAAGGAACAACGCGTCGGTCATCCACAGCGCATCCGTCGCCTCCGGCTCGGTGGTGGGCGTGGAAAGGATCATCTCCGAGTACGCCGCGACGTGCTTACCCAACGACTCTACGAGAAATTCGTAATACAGGCTGGCGACTTTGCACGGTGCAGTGTGATCCGAACCCCGAGCAACGACTTCGCTCGGCGTCATCGCAGTAACGTCCTTGACGACGCACAGCGGGCGTTCGGTGAGCGTGGCGAATGCGAAGAGCGTCTGGATGCGCCGCGTGAGGTCGATGTGAGCGTCGAGTGCGGTCTGCGCGATCGAGTCGGAGGAGGAAGCGGAGTCGGTGGGCGGAGATCCTTTCCAGTAGTTCGACAGGTCTGAGCCACGCGTGTCGACGGGTCGACTCGCTAGGAACGCGGCGCGGACTGGCGGGGCGGCGTACAGAGCCTGCAGTATCGCCGCAGCCACTTCGAGCGACGCAAACGGTGCAACCATCGCCATCGGTGCTCCCGCCTCTCGACGTACCTGAACATCCGTTTCGAGGTGTTGCGGCAACGCCGGTGTGCGAGCCCCCGAGCCCGTCGACTGCAACAGATCGTGGTGGCTCTGTACACTTGCTTCTAGCGCCTGTCGTAGTTGTTCGTCTTCGGACATTCCCAGCTCCTGTCAAGTGTAAGAAGTGGAGAAAAAGTCAAGGTCAGCGATGTGATTCGTAATGTCGTACTTGAAGCGAAAGACCAGTCGTTCGGAGAGCGCACGAGATGCCAGCTACCTCTTCTCTTTACACCTCTGCCCCTGCGTCCTCTTCCAATCCCTCGAGACTGCGTCCTCCGTCCGTATGTGCGATCGCATTTGGTGATGAGGCCCATCTCGGACAGCGTCTGCGGCGCGTTGTTCGGTCTGACGAGTTTGCTTCGATCGCGCAGCCTGTAGCCACGGCCCGGCAGCTCTGGTATCGCTTCCTCCTTCTCTTCTTCCTCCGGCGGCATATCATCGTCACTGATCTCCACGACGTCATCCTGCACGTCGTCCTTCACCAGCTCCATCTCGTCGTGTCTGTCAGGCGCACCAGCCGCACGTCCCTCGTAGTCGAAGCGAAATCCCGGCGCGCCTACTTTGCCCAACCATGAAGTCCAGCTATGGTCGAAATGCTCCCCGGCCACCGTGAGGCTGTCGCGGAGTGCCTGTTCCATCTGTGCGTCTTCGTGCTCTTCCTCGGTCCATCCTGTGGTGTCACTTACGCCAACTGTGCTTGACGGGGCTGCGGGGGTTCGGTAGGATTGTTGCTGGGATTGGTGATCTTGCAGCGATGCTGCCATGGCTCTTCGGAGGTCGTCGTCTGCTTCGCCGTCGTTGGTCAAATCTATTACGTCTGTATTGCGCAATGAAGAAGACTAGTCAGCTATGGACTGATTTGGCAAGATGGAGAGGCCGTGAGCTGCGCACCTTTGTTGTTTGCACCCCAACCTGTGTTCGATGTTGGTGGTGGACCTGGGGGAGGTACGTAGGCAGGGTTGTTGGGGACGTCCCATTTAGATGCAGCCGACTCATCGAACCCTTGATAGGGAGCGACGGCGTTGGACGTGCTCTGCGGATTTGTGATCGTCGGCGGTCTTTGCTGTGCGTGTCGAAGTTTAAGGCCAGGATCAGGGTCAGCACTTGCAGGAAAGCATTGAGGAAGGCTCCGTTGACAACTCACTTCTGGCGGAGGGTCGTCAAAGTATGAGTTCATGGCTCGCTCGACATCCCAATTGGACCTCTCCAACACGGTCTCGGCCTGGTACTCGTTGCATCCTGTGATGGACGACACCTGTTGTATCAAGGAGGGGCGGTCAGCCATCGTGCAGCGTTGGGTGTTCAGGGCGCTTTCAGATGCTGAAAGGCCGAGTGTTGGCTTGTTCTGGCTGCCTTGACGGCGCAGCTCGATGAAGAGCAGGTGGATGGTGGTACGACGGTCAGAAGGATGATCATTACCAACACGAGCTAAGTTAGCTGCAAGTCAGTGCGCGTCAGACCAACACTTTTGGCGCTCGCTTGAATGTGGAGTATAGACCGCTCTCCTCTGTCGGCCGGAAGTTCATTTCGAGACTTTTCTTCCAGATTTACCAAAAAAGTCGCCGCTCCCTTCCGATTTCCACTCTCGCTCACCATCACCAACAACCACCACCACCTTCGGTACCGTCATCACCCTCGCCAGCGATCTAGCTCCAGCCCACGCATCACATACTCACCATGAGGTCATCAGCCATCAGACTACTCAAAGTCAAGCCCCTCCCCGCATCAGCAATCGAATCACTGCGTCTCCCACCATCAACCTCGGCCCAAAAGACCACCACCACTACGGCATTAGCATCGAAACCCGCGAGACCAGCAGCTTCCACAGACGTAGCAGCTGAACTGGAACACAAGCTCATCGCGCGTCAAGAGCTCGGACCCAATGTGCGCTTTGAAAAGAACGTCAACAACAGAGATTTGTACTGGAAGGTGAGTGGCAGCTTGCACGGTCGCGACAGCGTTCCCGCCATGGTTTGAGTCTGCGTCGGTGACAAAAGCTAACTCTGCTTATACATTCATACGCGATTTGCTCTTACAGGTGTCGAAACCACAGCGCGACGTTCTAAAGAAGCTCTTGAAAGAGGCATAGCTTTTCTGGCACCCCGCAACAGTTGTACTTGTATCTCGACAATCTCATAACCGCAGCATCAGCATCAACCTCTCGATTAAGGGACGCAACGAACGTGTGGATTAAAGGGACTTATGAAACTACATGCAGCTGCGCTCTGTCAAACAGGCAATCTCGTCCAACTCGAACTCGAACCGAAAGTTGGCGTGTGGAACGGAGCGTTCTGCAATGAAGAAGTCGAAGCAGCCGAGGTCAAGCTATCACATCGACCTCGACCTCGATGTTCCGACGTGGGTCTGGATCGAGGTGGGGTATTGGCGGGTGTCAAGTTGTACGGTCCGACCAACCCCGTCGGCGACGCGGAGGGCAGAGCTGGAACTGGAGGAGGAGGCGAAGAGGACGGGCTATCTTTCGGCGACCTAGAGGAGCTGCAGAGACTCTTGGATCTGCTTCGCATCGGATTCCTCACGGGTCGTAGCGGTGGCAGTGGCTGCAGTGATGGCTGACTTGCCTCCGACGGCCACCATCCAGCTGATCCCTGCGACAATGGCTCAGAAGCATTCACTCGGATAGGGAAAGGATACGCTTCCACCCCATGTCCAAGCTCAGCCTTGAGCGAAGCAAAGCTCTTCTTATTCACCTCGCTCTCGATCGTCCTGCTCGACTGACGCTTCATCGACGACGGAAGCAGAAGCTCGTACGGATCCACCATCTCTTCCCGCAGATCCACCCTCGCTAGCCACGACGCATCGGTGCGAGTGGAAAACGTCGAGAGCGAAGGACTGATCTGCCTAGACCAGCTGCCTACCTCACCCTCGTCGCCACCCATGTGGACGCGCAGACCTCTGCTTGCATCTAGACGAGGTGGAAAAGCGACGATGCTGGCTCTGCGAGCGCTGGTATCGCTGCTGCTGTGCATGCTCGTGGGTGAAGGAGGTGCTTCGATCGGGTAGAAGTAGGTGTTGTCGCCGAGGTTCGGCGACGAGGCGCCGACCTGGTCCGAGGGCAACTGTGCTTCGCTCTGAACCGACAGGCAGACTAGATCCGAGATACGATCGAGAGCCTCCTTCTTCTTCTGCTGCTCCTTCTGCTGCGTCGATTGGCGTTGTTTCTGACGACTGGTGTCCTTTTGCGGCGGATCGAGCGGAGTAACCGATCGAGGTTCGTCTCGCGATCGACTGGCGAACGGATCGACAAAGCGAGGCGCATCCGAATGCGTGTTCTCTTGGATCGCCTCGTCGACCAGTGCCTCTGTGCGCTGTTTCTTGGAGAAGAGCGACTTTCGACGACGCTGCGGCGCCTCACCGGCGCTCGAAGTGCTGCTCGCCGTCGTGGTGTTGGAAGAACGTCTCCTCCCAAAAGTGTTATCAAGCCCCCAGCCGTGAGCCTGACCAGAAGGCGGTGGAGATAAGAGCTGATTGCTGAGGCAGAGGGGCGATGTGTTGGTCACCCACGCTTGCTCGAGCGCTTCGTTCAAGTTGAGCGCCGAAGTGCGTACACATTGCGGGTCGGTGGTCGAGGCAGAGTCGCGAGTAAAGAGACGACGACCCTTTGTCGCCACCGCGGAGAGCGAGTGCGGGAGCGAACGTCGTTCGACGGTAGGCATGGTTCGAATATGATGATGCGGATGGTGGAGGGCAGAAAGGAAAGTTGTGTATCAATGATGTTGATACCAAGGACAATGATGTCGCTCACGTTCAGATTCATGACTGGCAAAAGCTCGTGATGATGCCATGCTAGTCTCTCTGATAGTGCGCACACAGCCCAGTCAGGCACATCGTCCAAGACTTCGAAGCACGACAAAGCCTGCAACGCGAGGCCGACGATGGCTGCTCGTTCAGACCATATGCCGCCTCGAGCCGAGTGCCACTCATCGACTGCATCGTGGCTGATCATGCAGTGGCTGATTACCACAAGAGGGCAAGCGAACCCAGAACGGCGGATGATGCTGACGGTGCTCAACAGAGATATTCACATGGTAAACGGGTTCTGCAAGGGTCTAGATGTGACAGGTCTGACAGCCGAAGCATCTTGCAGCAAAGAAAGATACATGGTACTCCCAGCGCCATGTCAGACGATTCTCGGTCAGGACCAAGGCAGAGGACCGGGGCGAGAGCGAACTGTTCACTGTGTTGGATCGGGCACAAGGTGATAGGCGAGCCGTACGGTTGGCTGCCAGGGAGTGTTGAATGCATGGGTAGGTACGCTCGTCGTCTGTTGATTGCGAGATTTAGTGATGAAAGGAGAAGAAAGTTGATGCAAGGAGCTTCGGTTCAGTGCGCGATTCGTCTAAAAATCCATAGGCGAGACAGAATAGATTGACTTTCCGCCAGGTCGTCGGGTCATTGCCGAGCTTGTGTGTACAGTATGTGGGAAAGGTACTTCATCAAGCTGCGATCGACAGAAAGTATCGTGATTCAAGCGTTTCACAGGCTCGCTTTGCTTCCGTATGCTGCAATTGGAGGTGCCGAATGACGGAGTGGTGATCTTGGAAGCCAAAGCTCCATCCATCGGAAGTCGCCGATTGACCGTTGAGCGTGGTGGACTAGATCGGCAGCTCACCCGATGCCCTCACTTTAGTCGACATTCGCGCCAATGACAGGCGGCTATCCTTGAGCCGCGCTACAGACACCGTCTGTCTGCGCCGCCGCAGCCGCCATCGCAGCACCACCAGCAGCAGCAGCGACACGATCAAAGTGCGGAGCAGAACCGATCGAATGGGTTTGCGCTTCGACAGAGTGTCAAGTCGACCGCAACCAAGCGCCACATGCTCGTCGGCGGTACCGGATCACATCTTGACATCCGCAACAGAGATGCGAGCGGCTGGTCAATCGATGAAACGAGATGCTGGAAAAGCCACCCAAGATTCGCTCGATCCGTCACGGCGGAGCTGAAGCTGCAGCCAAGATGGGGTTGCTCGCCACTCTCCCACTCACGACTCCTTTTTCGTGCAGAAGGCTGCATGCTCGATGCCCAGACGTGCAGTAGACTCAGTCCACACGGCTTCTACGATCTACGATGCGCTCTGACAGAAGCCGCCAAGTCGGAGATGGATAGGTCTGACCGAGCTTTGCATGCGTGTGTCAAGCGCCTTCCATTTTTTTTCTCCGCGAGGCACTTGAGCAGCAGCAGCAGCAGCAGCAGCAGCAGGGGCACTCGACGCGAGTGGTTTCCAAGCCAAAAGAAGCAAGTTGAGTTGGACTTAGTGAGCGAGGCCACGCGAGTCGCTTCTGTCGTGCAAGCCTTATTTTCACTTTTGCCGTTGGGCGTGCTTGAGGGATCTGCGTCGAGTGAGACACCGGTTGCGTGGTTGCAAATTCGTGTGTTGATCTGCCTCGTGCTGTAACTTTGAAAGAACAACACTTTTCAACCCTCCCCATTTTCTTCCCTTCCTCCTTCTCCTTGTCCAGCTCAAGCAGACAAGCGCATCCGTCGCAATCTCATGTATCGTTCCAATCCATTCTGAAGAATACCCTATGAGCTCGTTCGAACTGGCCTCTCACGAGTTGTTCGAATAGCATGCACATCGTTCTGAGTCAGGCACGTATTTATGAACACCGCAAAGTATTGTATAGGCGCTTAGGTGTCGGCAAGCAACTTGAAATGCGTCGCGTGTGACTGAGCCGAATTGGCTCGAATTTTAATTCAAGGCAACTGGCCGCACATGCACGCCGCCTTGGTGGGGTCCAAAGCGTTTTCCGATTCAAATCACTTTGCTGATCAAGTGTTCATCGACATCACCAAACAACACCATCACCATCACCGCCTTATCCTATTCATTCAGTCGCCGGCGCGGCCGCTTCCGCTCCCTTACGCGCTACACACACACGCTGCCCGGCAGAGCCCCGTCCCCGTACTTCGAGGGAACGGAGTCACCAGACCCGTAGTTCGTTTCGATTGTGGCTACTAGGTCCCACCAAGCCTCTTCCATCTCATATCATCGCCTCGGAACGTTGCTTCCAAACGAGTGACTCCATCGCCAATCAGTAACAGCAGCCTAGCTTTGGCTCTCTGATCGTGCACACGGTTCTGCGTCTATCTTTGCTTATCGATATCACTTCGAGCCGCCGAGCCATCGCACGTCTACCAGCGTTCCGACAAGAGGCCACTACACGCCATGCTCACTACGCCGCACCTGAACCAGCTCTGATCCAATCGGCGACTTCCCAAAGCAGCATTCGTCCCCGTTGCCATGCTGCGCAACCTATCGAGAGACCACGACGACACGGCCTCAACCTCGTTCGTCGGTCGCATCGCTCGGTATCGCAGACCGAGTACTGCTTCTCCACATCCTTCCTCACACCCATCATCTTCTCCATACCAACAAGAGTCCTTCTCACCCCACCTCTCCAAGCACAACCACCTCTCTCCCGAAGAGACGCGTTACTACGCCGACGCCAGTTGGTCCAAAGCCTCCGCATCCCCATCCCCCAGCATCAATTACGACCGAGACCTTCCTCAACTACCTCCCGAAGCGCTCGTTGACCTCGACTCGAACCAACTTGCGTCTCGAGACTGGCCGCGCACCGATGACGAGGTGCGTTCCCGCCATCTCTCCCAGTACGAAGCCTTTGAAACGCCCGTGTGCTCCGGACAAGCCAAGTCCGAGGGTACCTCCAAACAGTCAGCAGCATTACGCTTCGCCACTGCTTCGACCTCGGCAGCCGTCTCCGCAGCTGGTTCCGGCCTTCGCAAACTCGGCAAAAAGGCTTCCGCAGCTCGCCTCCGTCGTCCCAACACGACCGCACAGCTCGCTGCGGCTGAGCTCGATGCAAGCTACGCAGCCATCCGCAGCGCGTCGTCGCCACCTAGCTCTGCAGGCGACACCGACTCGCTCAACCGTACGGCTCAGAGCAGCTTCAGCACGTCCGATGACTCTGCGCACACTCGTACCCTGAGCTCCTCTCAGGAAACCAGCCACACCATACACACCTTCGTAGATAGCGCCGATCCAGCCATCGGGCTGCCTTACGATGTCGCGCATAACGTCCATGTAGACGTCGGTCCACATGGCTACACGGGCCTACCATCCTCCTGGGCCCAGGTGCTGCTATCCGAAGGCGTCACCGATCAATCCATGTACGAAGATCCGCACGCTGCTGCCAGGCTGGTCCACGAGAAGACCGAGTACTTTGTACAGCGCGCCGTCGAACAAGGAACCCATCCGGACCATGCTCGGCGAATCTTGTCTCAGAGGCTAGCAGCCGACCCGGACCTCAGCGCCGTTCTGGCTTCAGCAGCTGCTGCTCCGTCCGTTGTTGGTCGGCCGCGCCGCGACAGCATCCAATCCAGCGCTAGCAGCTCTTACAGCAGCGTCCTGGAAAAGGGCTGGGATCTCGCTTCACCCACCAAACCTCACACACCCAGCGATCTCACGCTGCTGCCTGCAAAGAGTCCGCTCTTGCCCGATTTCGCCGCAGAGGACTTTGACGAATGGTCTACCTCGTTGCTCAGCTCCATCCCTTCCAATGCCCACGATGCGAAGGCCCGGCCGTCCCAAAACGCAGACCAGACTACGGACAAGTCGTCCCGGCGTCGCTCGAGATCGCTCAGCCAGTTGGCAGGTGCCAACAATCTCAATGGTCTTGGCATCGGCATCGGCAGCTCTGCTCACGCCACGCCAAAGCGCGACATTCAACGTGCAAAGGACCTTCTTGGAGCCACGGACGCAACACCAAAGGCGTCGCAGCGCATGCACGCCTCGCTCGGCCTCAATGCAGGCCTTGATGGGCTTTCTGCCCATCAAGCTTCGCAGACGAGCAATGCTACCGACGATGAGATGCAGGAGAGTCTGCGCGAGAGTCTCGATTGGCCCAAGAAAGCCAGCACCCATCTCGATGATGAAGAAGCCGAGGTGCAGCACGTCCAGATTGCGCAGGCCGCCATCGTGGCCAAGGGCGTTTTGCGACCTGTCCGCGCAAGCCAACTCGGCGCTCGCAAGGTCTCTCCATCGGCGGCCAATTTCGAGTCGAGTAGCCCTCATATGAGTCCGAGCTCGAGTAGCTCGAACTTGCAATCACGCCAGCCACGGTCGCCTTCGTCGCTCTCGGACACGGCTATGTCTCGTGGTGGTTCCGTCGACTCGTACGCAACCGCCAGATCCAATTTGGCGCTAGGCACACGCGGAAGCCTATCAGACGCACCCCACAGGATCCTCACCAAGAATCTCTCCAACTTTGCTGAGAGTGATGTGACCAACTCGCCCATCGAGACAAGCTCATCTGGCCATTCGTCAACACGCATGCGAAGTCCTTCCCTCACCGTAGCGACTTCGTCTATGGGGCATGGCAGCTATGCAGGCGTTCCAAATCGCGCCTCGCCTTCTCCGAGTCTATCGGTTCGCGACACTGCTTCGCCCGATTTGCCGCCTAAGCACGGAGACTGGCGCTCCCGCTCGCCAGCAGTCTCCGTCACTGCTGATTCAGAAGCAGAAGGCGCAACCGCTTCATCCGAGGCACTCCACGATGCACAACATGCCAAGAGAAAGCCTGCGTCCCTCGATGGTGTCCACACGATGGGTCACCAGACACAGCACAGTTGGGCGAGCTCTGCGCCTTCCGTGACTTCTTCCGATGGCAATCATGGCGTCGGCAGGGGTCTCGGACTGCGCGAACGCCGTCACGCTCCACCACGCATCTATCCGCCTTCCACGTCGACTCGATGGGCCCATCACCTTCCGCACCAGGACGACGGAAGCAGTCCGATGGGTTCTGCTGGCTCCAGCAGCAGGCGAATGCAGCCGTCACCAACCATGCAGGCGCCCATGCAAAGGAAGGCGTCCGCCGACAGTCTGGGGTCCCGACCGGATCGCAGCCCCATGAGCGACCACTCACACGGATCGACGTCGAGCGTGCAGTTTGGCTTTCGAAGGCGCGAATCCGACGGCCTTTCTCAATCGAGCCACGGCCGCTCGTCTGCCCGCAACTCGACTCGTGACTCGATGGGGCCGCCACCTCCTCCGCCACCCAAGCCAACGCCCGCACCTGTGGTTCGAAAGATTCTGCCCGGAGCCGATGGCTTCTACACCATGCCTGCCACACACGCAGCTGCATCTCGAGGCGATGTCGGCAACGCTGCCGCTCTGCCTGGATCTGATCTCCTCCAACCGCCATCTCGGTCACCGGCGGCTTCCCCGGTGTCCCGATCCGAATCGTGCGACTACCACGCTACGATCGAAGAGTGGATGCGTGCCGACTATTTGGACCGCTCGCCTGCGACTGCAACCTTTTCGGACGCCTCGCGGAGCCCTGTCAGCAGCAACCGCGATTTGCCGTTGCCTCCATTGCCGAGCGAGGAGGTCGAGGAGGGCGGTGATCATCACAAGGCCCATCAAGATGAGCGCGAGTTGCAATATCTGCAACGTCCGGTCACTGCGACTTCTGCGGGATCGTCGATCGAAGAGCTGCTTTCGCCACGAGCGACCGAGTCGACATGGCGCACGGCAGACACCGATGCGTTAAAGCGAAGCTCCGGTCACACTTCTCCGGCAGCAGAACGATCGCCTCGTCTACCCTCTGTCCATGCTCCTCGGCTCGACATGAGCGACATTTTTGCGAATGCTTCGGCCTTCGAAGCAGCTCTTTCACCACCGGCGTCTCCCGCCGAATCCGTCGAGGTGCTCGATAATTGCGACCAACCTTCTCCGGCGGACGGAGCAAGACGCGCCATGCCCGGCCGGGCCATGGACAAGAAAGCGAAGAACGCGAGCAGAGTCAATCGCGGCCGCGAGAATGGCCGTGACGCTGATGACACTCGATCGATCATCTCGATCGGTCCACGCGCACAAGACGATGCGCGGCGCTTTCCGGTATCGATGCACTACGCCAGCGGATTCGACACGGCATCGATGCTAGGCGACGACTCGGAAGCGATTCGATCGTTCCGTGAGCTGATGCTGGCACGCCAGTCGATGGATCTGGAGGAGATGCTGCCAATGCAGATGGGACTCGAGTCGGCGCCGCCAGTACCGGCGTTGCCCAGCATGCAAGAGCTCCAAGCCAAAATGGCCGCGGTCGACCAGATGCGCGGTCAAGAGGCGCAACGAACACGAGCTGCAGAGCAAGGCAAGAAACAGGGAAAAGAGCCGCTCAGCGCGAACACGGCCGTCAGCGCTGCTGCCTCACCCAGCCTTTCGCAGTACGAACTAGACTGTTCAGCGGATGCGCTTTCCCCAAAGCTTTCGCATCTGCGCGACGCTATCAAGCTGGAGCCGCTGCGAAAGGACGTGCTGTGCGATCTGCAAATGATCGGCGATGGCGAGAGCGGACCGGTGTTTGCGGCTAACGACGTGGTCAAGAAGCGACGCGTCGCCATCAAGGTGGTACGATTTGGCACGGATCCGGACGAGGAGCCGTCTGGGCGATTGTTGGGGCTTGTCAAGGAAGTCGGAGTATGGCGACGGTGCCGACACGTCAACGTGTTGGACCTGTACTCTACAGTGCTCACGGACGAGGCCATCTGGATGGTGCACGAGCTGGCGGAGCGGAGCCTGGCGGACGTGATTGCGTGGAAGGATGGAGGCGTGGACCTTTCCGAGCAACGCATGAGTCGGATCATGGGTGATCTGGTGGAGGCGCTGCAGTTCCTGCACGGCAAGGGAGTGATGCATCGGGATGTGCGCTCGGACAACGTGATGGTGTCTAGCACCGGTGTGAGCAAGCTGAGCGACTTTACGCACGCGGGGTTGCTGAGCGCGGGCGTCACCACGCGTCACTCTGTGGTAGGGACGCCGTACTGGATGGCACCCGAGGTGATCAAAGCGAACAAGTACGATGTGCGCTGCGACGTGTGGTCGCTCGGGGTGGTGCTGTGGGAGATGATCGAGGGAAATCCGCCACGGGTCGAGTTCCCACCCTTGCGCGCGATCACGCTGACGGCAACGCTGGGGTTGCCGGCGTTGCGTGATCCGGGGTCAGTGTCGCACGAGCTGAAATCGTTTTTGCACTGGGCGACCGAGATGGATGCGGACAAGCGACCGAGCGCCGAGATGCTGGGGATGAGCGACTTTTTGGCGGATCCATGCAGCCGTGCGAGCATTGTGGCGATGCTGGAAGAGGCGCGGATCGCCGAGACGGAGGCTAACAGACAGGAGAGCGAGGGGATGGGAGGCGAGGATGAGGTTGTGGGCGCGGGTCGGATGAGCGATGTTGTGCGGCGCCGAGAGAGTTGGAGTAGCGACTCGACGACCAAAGGATGATGGCCCGGAGGACGGCGATGGGTGCACCAGCAGAACGGCAGCGCTTGAAACGTGCTAAATAGATACAGTACTTTAGCTTTACTCCTTGCGGGTCCGGACGCTGTTTCTGTGCTGTGTGACCCAGTCGAACGGATTGCACGCTGCTGGATTCAATGAGACTTGTCGTCCAACGATACTGTAGAGCGGCAAAGGTGCCTTTCATGGCGATGGCTCCTTTGTGTGAGGAGACCCGCAATTTGTGGGGCAAGCTTCTTCACAAAACCACGACCCTGTCTTGTTCCCACCCAGCCGCACAAAGGGCACAATGTCTGATCTAGTGCACCCTCATTTCAGCGGCGTCTATCTTTCCCACACGACTGAAGACGCAGCAATATTTGGTTGTGATTGCGAACAAAGGGCAGCGAGCGATTCGCTCACATGTGGTTGGAGCGGAAGAGGAACTGCTCCTTCTTGGCTCTTCCAAGGGAGCGTAATCCGTTGTTATTTTAGATTTATTTAAATTAATTGATTCCTGAGACGCGTCAAAGGGAAAACCGGCTATCTCGCGCGTAACCTGGCAGGCTCAAAAACTTTTCGGGTTGCAGATCCAGTGTTGCAAGGTACAGGTACGGAAGGAAAATCAAAGTTCCTTGGACCCTCTTTTGCCAACCAACCTTTGCAAAGCTCAGCCGGAACATCAAAAATGTGGAATGCCGGCCAATTGGATGTGACGCGTTAGCTAGCAACCGCAGCGATCGATTTCGTACAGCATTCGCGCAAACAGAGGCGGCTCACAAGTGCTTCGAGAGCATCATTTGGGTCGAACCATGCCGATTGGAACAGGAACGACGATGGAATGATCCGAGTGAGACGTTCGAGAGAGAGTGTATTGAGCCGTTGTTCAAGCCTTGTGGTGTCGAAAAAGTCACGTCGGATCGAGTTTTTCCAAAGGGAAAAAAGTGTTTGTTGCGTGCGTGTGTGTGTGTTGGCTCAGTCGAGAAAGACACAATTCGGGTCGAGTCGAGTCGAGTCGGCCGTCAGAACAAGAAAGAGTGCGGCAGAGAGAGGCGTATGATGCGTATGCGTGTGTGGTGCTTTCAGTCAAGTTGCATTTCATCAGACTCGAACCCGCTCAGTCACTCCTTTTTTGGTGGTAACAGCCGAACGCAACGCCGCCATCTTCATCATCGCTACCATAGCCATACGGAGAAGGGAAAGAGACAGAGACAAACAGCCAGCAACGCGTCGTCTGCCGCTCGTCGACCTTGTTCTTTTTCTACCATCACCACCTTCGCCCTACAGCTTCGCTTCCGCACGTCGCAAGCTCGACTCGACTCGATCTGACTTGACTCGATCCCGCTTGTCGTTGCCCAGCATCTCGCTCATCCCAAAAGGCGCTTCCGTTGTCTCTCCGAAACCCACGCCATCCCCTCGCAAGCCCGTTCCATTCGTCTATTCGTCCTCGATCGTGACTTCGGCTTCCAAACTCACTCCGTATTCACTCGCGAGATCTTCGGTATTTCCGCTCAACAGCTTGGCCCTCCACCGTGGCGACGCACTTTCGTTTCCATCGACTGAGCGCATAGCTTTTCGACCGGCTCTTCCTCCGGACCGTCAGCAGCTTCGTTGCAGCATTCGTCTTCTCGCGAGCTCCGGCTTCAATAGGCGCAAACCTGCTTCTGAGCCCCACGAGGCATCGTTGCAAGCTTGGTTCCGGCCAGCACCCTCGACGATCGTCATAGTCCTCGCCAAGCCGCTGGTCGGCCTGAGCTGCATCCGCTCTTGTCTCTGGCGCATTGCAACTTAAGCAAATCGACCGCTTCCTTCTCATCGTAGCCACTGCAGCTCCTGCGACGTTTCGTTCAACAGCATACACCAATCAAGTTCGGCATTGCACGGCATCATTGCATAACATCCTTTCCACGTCGCTGCTAATCGCCTCTCGGTCCGCTCACGTTTCGTGTGCTCTTTGCACTCCGGGTTCACAAGAATAAAGTATCATCTCTTCAAGCGTCATTGCCGCAGTCATACGCTCATCCCCGTCATTGCTCATCGCATCGCTTCGGTCCATGCAGCCCTGCTTGTTCGGATTCAGCTCGCAGCACAGTAACGTGCTCTAATCATATCCCACATTCTGCCGCGGCTGGACAGCTTTCGCCGCTCTTTTCCGCATTGCAAAGCATCGTCAGATCTGGTCCCATACGCCCACACCCCGCATCCCGCGCAATCTTGAAGCTCGCCACCACAACGATGCCAGTGTCATCAACATCCACGGGCGCGCCCCACCGGCGCAGTCGGTCGCAAGATGGAGCCGAAGCCAATTCCTCGCACATGCCCTCGCCAGACCACAAGCTTTCGGCACATGCCTCGCCCTCTCCCCTCAACGACGCTTCCCAAACATCGCGATGCGTCTCGGCCAGCTCAACCGCTTCCGACAGGTCAGACCGTCTGGCGTCCACCTCTCCGTCTTCCTCTGCACTCAATTCGCGCAGACCCAGTACCGCAAGATCAGAAGCCTCGGCCAAGATGAAGGCTACCCTCTCGGCTGCCTCATTGGACAAATCGCTGGCACAACGCGCAGCTTCAGCTGAACGCTTCTCGAGCAGCTCCGCCAAGGATCGAATGCAAACAGGCTCCTCTGCAGCCTTCACCGGCGACGACGCATCCTTGACAGCAACCACGACGCCGCGTCGCAAGAGTTCTGCCCCCGCTGAAGCTCGTTCACAGCCGTCCAAACAGAGGTCGGCTACCGTCGACGACGCCATCTCCCACCATCCAATCAGTTCGTTCAGAACCCAAGCCGCCAACCTCCCTGCCATCCCAGTACAAGCCTACACACAGACCACGGCCCATCCAGGCCAGAACGGCGCCCAATCCCCCTTCAACGAAGCCGAACCCATGAGCTCTTATGCCACACCCTACTACCCCCCATCCCGGCCAGCCAACAACACCGCTCCCAACATGGCTTCTCCCAGTCGTTCTGCACCTCTGCAGGGATCGCCAGCGTCGCATCCGAATGCCGTCAACCCGAGCACAACCTCGTCTGCTTCTCCCAATGGTCGCACGCGTGCTCAGACAGCCGCTCTTGCCAACGGTGCCTCGTCTCATACCTCCAGCTACGGCGTCAATGGTTCCAATATGTCTTACAATGGATCCCGCAGCATGCGCACCAGCCCTCAGATGCGTGCCGTGTCGCATCACAACCACGCGCTCATCCCTTCCCTTCAGAGCCTCGGAGCGGCCTCGGTTCAGGGCGCTGCAACAAGTCCGAGCCACTCCCAGCCACACTCCGGTCCGCATTGGGAACGCCACACCACCGAGCTCACCAACTGCATCATCGCCTTCCTCTCGCCCATACTCCCCACAGAGGAAGAGTATCGCATCAAGGAAGCCACGCGTCGCCAGCTCGAGAAACTCGCGCTTCGCGTCAGTCCTGGATGCAAACTCCTCGCTTTCGGCTCCATGGCCAACGGCTTTGCTCTTCGCAACTCGGACATGGACTTGTGCTGCCTCATGGGCAAGGGTCAAGACGGCCAGCCGACAACGCAGCACACCGCCTCCGAGCTCGTCGAGACTCTGGGCCAGCTCATCCGTCAAGAGACCGATTTCACCGTCATGCCCTTGCCCAAGGCCCGCATCCCCATCATCAAGATCAACCGCTCTCCGACTCTCGACCTGCCCTACGAGATCGCATGCGATATTGGCTTTGAGAATCGTCTCGCGCTCGAAAACACGCGCCTGCTGCTCAGCTACGCTATGGTTGACCCGCAGCGCCTCCGCACGCTCGTCCTCTTCCTCAAGGTGTGGGCAAAGCGCAGAAAGCTCAACTCTCCTTATATGGGTACGCTGTCCTCATACGGCTATACGCTCATGGTGCTCTTCTTTTTGGTGCACATTAAGAACCCTGCTGTGCTGCCCAACCTCCAACGTGTGCCTCCAACACGCAACATGAGACCCGAAGAGATGGAGCTCAACGGCAACGACATCTACTTCTACGACGATGTGGCAACGCTGCGCAAGACGTGGGCCTCCGAGAACACCGAAAACGTCGGCGAGCTGCTCGTCGACTTCTTCCGCTACTTTAGCAAAGAGTTCGGATATGTGCGCGACGTGATCAGTCTCAAGTCCGAGACCGGCCTGCTCTCAAAAGAGAGCAAGAATTGGAACGCCGAGCTGTGCATCGAAGATCCCTTCCAGGAGGGGTACAACGTTTCGCGCACCGTTACCAAGGACGGCCTGTACACCATCCGAGGCGAGTTCATGCGTGCCAGTCGCATCCTTACCAACACGCGCGGTCAAAAGATTTCGGTGCTCATCGCCGAGCTGTGCGAGGAGCGCGAGGATAGTCTTAGCCGTGCACCGGATGGGCCCAGTCCCATGAATCGCTATGCGTACAACCCGCACCTCGGCATGGCGGCGGGCAACGCCACCAGCTTCCATGGTACAGGCGCGACAGGTGGGCGTCATTACCGAGACACGTACGGCGCCCATCGACGCTACGATGCCAGCAGCAGCAGCGGTTACGGTGGAAGCTTCGCTTTCGAGCAGATGGCACGCGGGCTTGGTCAAGGTGTCGCCTATCCGCCCACTGCCGCCATGCTCGCGCCGCTGTCGCGAACGCACGGACTCAATCCCAAGCCGCAACCCCCGCGCTTTGCAGCGGCCGCCCAGTCGCACAACACTGCAGAGGCTGCCGGATCGTTCAGCTCTGCTCAGAGCGATTCGGGTGGCTACGCACCGATCGACTTTACGAGAGCTAGCATCGGCCACGCTTCGGCGCGCACCTCGCCCTCTTTCAAGCATGCCGTCCCTGCCGGATATCACCCCTCGAGCGGCGCCGGTGCTCAAGAAGCATTCGCGTACGGTGCCGAAATTAGCTTTGGTGCGCCTACTCTGGCCTCCACACGCGATGATTTGGGGAGCACGCCACGGGGCAAGACGTCGCGCTCGTTTTCTGAAACGCTCAACCGATCCAAGTCGCTGCCTCGCGCTGCTGCTCTGGCCAACGGTGTTCATCTCCGAGCGCAGCTCGGGTCCAATGCTACTGCTGCTGCAGCATCGTTGGCGCCACACGTGCACGCCGCTGCTGAAGGATCGATACCGACACCCGTGCCTGCCACGTTCTACGAGTCGAGCTCGCCGCAGTCCCTTACGCCAGCGGATCTCGAGTCGCGTATAGCTACACTGTCAGTACAGCAGGCAACAGCGGCAGCTCCAGCGTCGGGACCAGGATTTGGACCGCGCAGGTTATCCAATTCGAGCCACGCTTCGTCCTCGGCGCTGTTTGACAGCAACAGCGCCAGCACTCTGCTGTGCTCATCTGCCAGCTCGCCTTGGTCATTGGGTCCTGCCGCCGGAGATGGTCGTCGACCGTCGCATCCACAGCAGCAGGCAGACACACACGCTTTGGTGCAAGAATACCTTCGTCGAGCCGCTCAACTTGGAACCGAGCCGATGCTTTCCATCGACGCGGACAAGCTTGCGCTGCGCATCGACGAGGATGCTGTCGACGAGGACGACCAGGACACGGGCTCTGTGATCAGCGAAGCGACGCTGGACGAGTTGGCACGGCTGTCGGAGTTGGACGATGCAGACTCGTCGGGAGCGAGTCCCGAGTGGCGAGCGGTGGATGCGGCTAAAGCAGCGAATGCTGGGGACAAGGAGGTGCCGTCTCCACCGAAGACGTCACTTCGATTGCCAGAGTCGATCCTGCAGCAGGCCAAGATGAGGAGGAAGGCGCAGCATGCAGAGGCGGCGGCGGCGGCTGCAGCTGCGGCAACCAGTGGCATTGCTAGGAAGGACCGGGAGAATAGCACGGCGAGAATGAGCTGAAGTTGTCGCACAATTGAAGAACGTTGAAAGAGGAGTAAGGTTGAATGAGTGTGTTGTCTGCGGTGAACGGTTTGGGTTGCGTGGAAGTGCGATCCGAAGGGAAAGTGTTTGTGACAGACACGATCTGAAGCCACCGACGTACACACTGGATCAACTCCAACCGCGTCGTCTATAGGGTCGCTAGTAGGTCGATCTGGCATCCTTTTCCCACTCGCGACCTCGCGCCAACAAACCCATTCTCAGTGGAGGATGTGGTTTGACTCGAATGGTGTTGAGTGAGATCGGTGCACGGGCGAGTACCTTTCAGAGTCTCACCTAAGGCTGTGTTGCTCAGCTGGTGATCACCTTGTCATTCAGGAATGCGTTCGCCATGCTGTAGACACAGCGATATGCTGTACAGTCTGGATGGGCTGTGAGGGATGGACGTCTCGAAGGGGGAAAAATCGGAAGTCGGAAGGCACGAACGTGGGTTTGGTGTGGAGGCGTGGCGTTGCATACGCCGTTGGTTTTCGCATCAGAACCTTTTGGTTCGACTCAAACACCATTTGTGAACGGGCTGAAGGATTGGACATCATCAAAGCGGCATTCTGCATTCGATCGATCAAGGAGAAGAACAAGTCGCAGGGCGGTTTTGGCGGTGTTGCTTCCAAGCTTGCTCCAACATTGACAGGTGGAAAGAAAACTGCACTTTGATCGCTGACAGCCTCACTGGCTTCCAGAGTAGCCTCTTCCGTCATGCCGTCGGATATCAACGATAAGAACCGTCGATCCGGTGATCACTCGCATTCATCTCGGCGCACACACGACCCGTCAACGTCGTCATCTTCTCGCTCTCAATCCGCACGCGCCCGCTCTCCCTCTCCATCCACATCCATCTCTCTTCCATTCGATGCCTCTCCGCTCACCTCCGACGACTACTTCATCCGTTCCAGCGAGTTCAAACACTGGCTATCCTCCAGCAAGCAGCTGTACCTGGATGAGATCTCCTCCGCCTCGGCACGACGTTACTTTGACCGATTCGTACGTCGATGGAACGCTGGTCGACTGGACGATCCGTACTACAGCGGGACGATTCGAAGTCTAGACAGTTCAGCTGGCAAAACACGACACAAATGGAGTTTCACCACGCATCAAGGGTACGCTTCGGAGAAAGCAAAGTTGGAGTTGATGAAGGATTCGATCGACACGCTAACGAATGGCGATAGTAGAGGTGCGAGAGAGGCGAGGGATGCAGAGCGACGAACGAAACGCTCCCACAATACGGAGGACTCAGAGCGCGGTAGCCAAGCTCGACCTTCTACCGTAGCGCAAAGACAGTTCGATCGTGAACACCAACGAGATCTGGACCGCATCTCCTCGAGTCAAGACCGAAAGAGACTCCGACAAGACGCAGCCGACATGGCAGAAGAACAAGAAGGCAAGAGTACGGGTAGAGAAAGAACGATGGAGAAAAGGAGGGAGATCAACGCTGATAAACGCGCATTCGCTGAAAGCAGACGTCCAGACGGGCTCGAGCTCGACGACAGGGATATCTACGACGATGAGCGCAAAGCTGGAAGAGGAGATGAGGACGCAAGAAACAGGGGGAGGAGCAAGAGGGAACAAGCGAGGCAGGAGAGGTTGGAGGAGAGAAAGGAGGAGTTGCAGGGAAGGGTGGATGAGATGAAGAGGAAGGAGGATAAGACGATGGACATGTTCAAGGCGATGGCTAGGGAGAGGTTTGGCGGTGGGAGTGGGTAGCTGGAGCAGCGAAGTTGTGTCCATTAACCATCAGGGCAACCGTGCGTGCCGACGAGCGCAAAGGGCACCGGTTTGGCTCGAAGTCGATCCCGGCGAGAAGAGCACGACGTTGTGAGATTCTAGACCCGCTGCGCATTGACAGGAACCACTATTCTGCTCTGCCGAACCAACACCATTCTGACAGGTGGGAAACCACTTCCGGCGCGCCTGTCGGACGGCTTTGAGGTCTGTTTGTTGCTTCCACCGCCTACCCACCGGCACCCTTCCTCCGTAGCCGCTGCCGTCTGAACAACGCTTTGCGATGCAGGAAGAACGCCGCACTGTTCACGAACAGCTTAGCATGGGAATCGCCTAGCATGGGAATCAAGGATATATGCCACGTTGCGTTCCTGGAACACTTTTCCAACCCGAATTTTCATCTTTTTGACAGCCTCCTTATCGCGGGAAAAATTCAACACCGCTCGAATGCCTGAAGGGTCTTTTTATTTTCTCGAAATCTGCAGCGTCCCCGGTCGCGAACGGGAGCGAAACCGCGTAACCCGCCAGCTGAAGGAGAATGGGCACTTGCAGGGTTGCTGTCAATTTCTGCTCATTCCGTTCCCGAATGCGCGAACCCGGCGGACTTGGTATGGTTCGGGATGGGCCACTTCCACGAACATGAAGATGGTATGCGGGAGGGGTGAGATTCTGAAGCGTACGCTTGTGAGGGTGCCCCGCGGGATGTCGCTCCAATCTGACGTTTGTTCCTTGGTCGTTCGGGATAGCGGTCGAGGTGGAGAGGTTCAGAGTGCGCCGGCTGCGGGAGCTGTCAAGATCCTTTCATGTGATCTCGGTAACACGATGCCCGGCGGTTGTGCTGGAGGCGAAGCTGAATTTCATGTTCGGGAATCGATGAGGGCGAAGGCGATGAACCGAAGGCTGTTTGACAGCTCCCCTGAGACGTCGGCTCGGACAAGGAATACAATCGCAAGAGCACCACGCTCCAGGTAATCACAGAACACCTCTTCGCAAACTCAGCTCAGAGCGTGAAGACTTCGAGGTCCATTCTCTTCCTACACACACCCTCTCCTGTCACCACCTCCTTTATAAACAATCATCTCGCCGTTGAGGGACCCAAAGGGAGATCCATATATCTCCACGAACCATCAACGCTCCCACAAGTCGCGATAACACTCTCACAACTCGCCCCGCGACGATGCTCGACAAACCTCCGGTACCCAAACGATCGGAACGAAGACGATCCTTGTTCGGAGAATCACGCCCGAAAGTGATCGCCCCGCCACCACTTCCAACACCGTCTTCTTCCCAGTTGTGCATGATGATGGTGAAGCCTTCTGTGCACGTAGCAACGCGGTCGATGGAGATGGGACAAGGTGGTGCGAGCGATGTTGCGCCTTTGAAGGTGGGGAAACGAGCTTCGAGTGGAAGCGCATATCGAACGAGTGCAGCGATCGTTGCTGGGACGTCGTTCGACATGATCTCTTCACCGACCATTTCGGGGGATGCAATCAACATGCACGATATCACGCCCGCGGAACCTGTCCCACATCGAGCCTCTCCCAACTCACCGCCACACTTGCGCCAGTCACTCGCATCACGGTGGTCGGGTAGCTCGTTCCAAACACCGCCCACACCTCCGCTCGCCAGCACGAGCTCTTCGGCAGCCTCGGACTGCTCGCAATCCTCCCGATCGTCTCTCCGCTCCTCCTCCCCCTTCAAATCACCCCCCTGCGACCTATTCAGCACGTCTCACAAAGACGATCGAGCACAACCACCGACACACGTGCACTCCCTTCGATCGAATCACCTCGATTTTCACGTGGATGCAACCACTCGTCTGCGCGAGACTACGACTCAATTGTCTTCACCCAAACCATTCCGCGCCGAACGCATGTGGGAGAGCCTGCAGCTGTTGATGGAACAAGTCTCGTCGGATCTCACACTTGTCTCGTCGAACAACACGAGTGCTCCGCACCGTCGGTCCGATTCGCCGTACGAGCCGACGAGCCGTTCGTCATCCGCCTCGTCCTATTCTTCCACCTCGTCGTTCGTTGCCACCCCGACTTGCACGGATATCCCCGATTTCTTCAGTCGAGAAGTCAAGAAAGTTGCACCGGAAAGGTCGTTCCAACGAGGTTGCAGAGAACAGTCGAGGGAGATCGACAGGTTGAGGTGCGAGCTGCAACGCATCAGGGTAGAGATGGAGGGTTTGAGGTTGGAGAATCGCGAGTTGAAGCAGCGATGGGAGCGGGTTTGAGCGAGAGGTTTGAACTCGGAAGCGGATCGTTGGGGTTTTGGGATGGATGTGAAATGAATGATTTGACGTGGAGAGTCTATGTGAAGGTTGAAAAAGAAATGTGCGATGAGAAGCGAACGTCGGCATGTGAGCCCGGAGGTGTCATCTCTTGTAAGATCGTGCTAAGAGGAAGCATACTTTTGCGTGCCCAGTGTCTGAGTTTTAACTGCAGTCGTCGAAGGATTTGATGGATCTTGCTGTACAATGCCTATCCGCGCGCCCATGCAGTCGACTCTTGTGTCGTCACGTCGTCACAGATGGTCGAGCAGAAGAGATGATGGAGGCGATGTGTCATCCCTGGTCAAGCCTCTATCCCTCGACACGCGTATCGACCTTTTCTCCCCTCTCCCTCCTCCACCACTCCGTCACTCTTCCTCGTCCCGCATCTCGCCATCCTCAAACCACCACCTCTCCACCCCCTCTGCCTGCTCCCATTCCTCCCTCTGCAACTCCCCCTCGATCCTGCTCAAATTCCTCAACGCCACTCTCACATCCACTTGCTCTGGAAACTTCCACTGCACCCACCCCCGAAATCTCTTTGCGCGTGCCACTGTAAATCCGATCCAACTTTGGGGAACGCAGAAAAACGCGATCGTATCAAACTGATTCCCGAAGGCCAAGAATCGTCCGTGTTCGACGTGCTGCAGCCCGACTTGGATGGTGCACGAGAGGGTATCGAAGAAAGAATCTCGCAGCTGGGGTGGGATGCGGTAGTGCATTTGGAAGGGTATGTAGGGGTCGTCGGTCGTGGAAGGGGGCGTGGGGAGTGAGGTGAAGAGGGTCTCGTTGGAGGGTGGGGGGCTGGACATTGTTCGGGAGGTGGATGTGGGGGGTTTCTTGAGGATGTAGCGGTGACCTTGTGATGACAATGAGAATGCTGAGACGGATACGGAATCAGAGCGAGTGAAGGAAGCATTCAAGCATTCAGCCAATACCAAGCACAGCTCAAAGATTGGTCAAGTGGCTCATGACATGGTTCGTTCCGCACAAAGCCTTGTCGGATGAGCAAGCCGAAGCCATTCACAATGCATTGAAGCCCATCGCTCCTACCACGAACGATGTGTCTGAAAATCTCATCAAGGTGTCGTAGGTCCGATTTCTAAGGTGAGCATTGGTCGTGTGAGTGTCACAGAACCGGCGACATCTGATGATCCAAGTTGTGCGAAGAACACAACGCGACGAAGCGGCTAATGACTCAAGTCCCAGCAAGACACATCGATCCGCATGTCAGTTATGGTTGGAACAATCACGACTTCAACTGGGCACAACGACCGATGCGTCCCCTGCAGCAACTCTGTCCTTCGTTCGTCTATCACACTCCACCTCGAGGAACAAGGTTCGCATAAGCAGAACCGGCCATAGCTCGACAGCTGCAACATTGCCTCTACAAATCGACGTCTCTACATCCCGTTGAATCGCCACATTCTGCGCTCCTCTTTGGCTCTTACACAGCCTTCATCTGGTCCTTGATCGCGATCTTCGCCTCCTCCTTCTTGGCCACGACATCTCCGACCTTCAAGCCGGTCTGCTGTTCGACCGTGTTCAACCCTTCCCTGACGCCCTTCTCGGTCTTATCCTTCAGCTCGTGGATGTTCTTTGTCGTAGAGTCCAAAACCTTCTTGCCCTGGTTCTGCCAACTTCTCCTCTGTTCCGTAAGGGCGGGGACGTATTTCTGTTCGACCTGGGTGTAGTAGTCTCCGAGGTTGGAGGCGAGGTTTGGGTTGAAGTAGTTCAAGCTGACCACAAGGGCTAGGGGTGGAGTGAGGAGTCGAATGGGGAAAGCGCGGTAGCGGGTGAAGATGGATCCGGCCAGAGTGGCGACACCGACGTAGAGGAGGCCGGGGGTGAGGGGTTCGGTGGGGGGTACGAGGGATTTGACTTCGCCTTCGATGGATCGTTCGATGTTGATCCAGCGATCGACGAGCGAGCGGACCGAGTGGCGCGTGTCGGTGGTGAGGTGCGAGAGCGTACGGCGCGCGGATCCGACTTGTCGTTCGAGCTCGGTTTGCACGGGTACGATTTCCACCTTGGGGTCCGGTTGAGGGTAGATCGGAAGCTGTAGGGTGAGTGAGCAAGTCAGGGAGGGATAGGAAGGAGAGGTGTAAGTTGACTGTCGAGTGAGCTGCATAGCAGCATGAAAGATGTTGTCTTCTACGCAAAGATCAGCGCTGGGGAAGCTTACCTTGGATGCACCGCTCGAGCTCGCCTCGTCATTGTAGATCGGCTTGGCCATGACGATGGATGAAGTTCCTGCAATCACGGCGACCGAGACACCTGCTGCCATCCTGGCCGAAGCCGAGCGCGCCTATCGACAACCCAACAAAAAGATCACATCGTCCGTGCAGTATTGTGGCAGTTGTCAGCGATGCAAGCTCTTCAACCCTTGTAACGTTTGGCCCAATACCTACCGAAGCTGCAATCATTTCGGGACCCTCGTGTGTAGAAGTGTGACCTTATTTCCTTCTACGATCCGTGATGGGTTCTCAGAATTCCGTGTCCCTTGAGCAAAGTGGTTGAAGAGGCAGGGAGAGATGGAACAGCGTCGGAAGGAAGCGAGAAGCGATGTGGAGCGGGAAGAATGCAAAATGCAATATCGCGATGGAGCGCAGCGATTCTTCCCGTTGGCAGCACACGGCGCTGTCAGTGCGCAAGTGCCGACGTGGTGTGGAGCTGCCTGGAATTGGCTCAATTCGGAAGAGTCAGGATTGACTGGCGACGGCAACGCTCCGCACGTGACAGCGCTGTGGAAATTGGTGAGACTTGTGTGCCAGCCGAAATGTAACAATCACGCGTTCTTTGACAGCTACGCTCAGGAGGGATGCTTCTTCGTCGGAGGCTTACGCCGAGCATTTCTACCGGATGCATGCGAAAGACAATGACATTCCAGCAACACTGAGAAGCCATTCGACTGACACCTGCATACGATTGCTCGATAGAGTCACTTCAAGCAAAGTGAGTGCAAAGGGGTAAGCAATCTCCTCGTCTCTGGCTGCCTGCTCATCCCCGTCATCGCCATACTGCTGCCGCCTTTCCCTTTAGTCGGTTGCATAGACGATCGCCTGGCTTTTGCGAGCCAGTCGAATAGCTGGCCTTCTCGTTCGTATCTAGTGGAAGCAGGAGCCCTTTTCATGTCGAGTGCACCATAATGAGAAGGTGGTAGAGTTGCGTATATATCAAAGCTATTTGCTCTCTGAAAGAGCGTGTTCGTCGCCAAGATGGCGCCGACAATCAAATCTTCACACAAAATCACACAAAAAGCTCGCAAAGAAAATGCTATGAGAGAGAGGATGGTGGTGTAGGGATTAGCGGATGCGATGATGAGAGGACAAAAAGACGAGAGGGAAAGCGATTGTTCCTAAGCTAGATGAAGGCGAAGATGCAACCAAATCGGATCGAAAGCAAGCATGGCGAGAGCAGATGCTTAGTTGACCGAGATGGGAGTGCACGAGGTCTGGACGAGACCGTTGTTGGCAGAGCCCTGGCAGCAGACGGCGGTGTTCTTGCAGGTGTTCTGGACAGCGACGGCGACACCGAGGACACCGACGGGGATCTGCTGGCAGTCAAGACCGATGGCACCGTCAAGAACCTCGTTGAAGGCGAGACCGAGACCGGCAAGGGCGTCCTGGGCCTGCTTGCCCTGCTTCTACTCGTGTCCAATTTTGGTAGAGAAGGAAGAAAGTATAGACAGTCAGATCGCTGATCAAGATTGTCGTCGGAAAGAGAATGTTGGTAGAAAAACACTTACGATCTGCGAACAGCACTGAGCCTGGCCGGTAGAGCACTGGCCGTTGCCGTTGTGCTCCGAGGAAGAGGGGGCCTTGGGGAGAGCCGAGGCGACGGCGGCGAAGGTAACGACAGCGGCGAAGATGGTCTTGAACTGCATTTTGATTGAGTTGGGTTGGGGGAAGCTGAGAGCTAAAGAGAGTGTTGGAAGAGGGTAGAGAAGAGTAGAGTGGAGTGGAGTGGATGATTGGATTGATGATGAAAAGAAGAGGAGGAAGACGCCATTTGCCTTTGTTCTTATACCTTTCGATGACCAGGTCCAGCTTGTTTGGAGCGAACGGCAAGCGTGCCAGCGACGGCGAATAGCGCTTGCTGCGTAGGGAAGCAGAGGCTGTCTCGCTGCTGTGTCTCGAGCAGAGCTCCCAGGGCCAACCGTACAGCACAATCAACAGCGGCTACGACGGAAACGTCAACAATAACAACATCAAAACACCATCATCGTCAACAGTCCGCAGGTCGATGCACGCGTTGTCTCACACGCACTTCATCTGTCACTCGCTAAACGCCAAGCTTTGGCAGGAAAGTTTTCTTCCCTCCGACGTATACCAGTCGGACGTAGAGCGTACAATGACATATGATCGGCAGGTCCAAATCTGCTTAGGCGAGGCGTCTGACATTGGACATGTCAAGGCCATTTCCGGCGATCAAACGAGCATTGCATGTGCACCACAGGGCAGGCGCCACAAAACACGACATTCTGATTGCATGTTTTGATCGGCGACGTCCCAGCGTCGAATCCGGTCAGAAGAACGGATTCGGCGGCGGCAGCGGCGGCCAAGAACAAATGGCGCGGGCAAAAGAATACAACAGGGCTTGAACAGAAAGAAGCCAGGAATGAATGTACGAAGAGGTGGCATGCATAAAACCTGTCGCCGACAAGGTGGACAGACAGATCCGTCAGAAGATCAGCCAGAGACTGGATCGAGGATGATGCAGCACAACAGAAGGTACCGCATTTGTGGGAACTGGCTCGTTTGACGACAAGAAAGAGTGTTCGGGCGCTCTACAAAAGCGGTTGTGGTGCAAAGCAATGCACGAGAGCGGTGGCTTTGCTGTGGTTCGTCGACGATGTTCGAAAGAATTGTGAGGCAAGGCATGGGTAGGGTGATGATTGGGTCTGCTCGTCTAGCGCTCCAATGATCGTCCGCAACGTCCGTCGGGATCCAAACCCCAGGCTGTGGGACGAATGTGTGACGGGCAGCCGGCTGCGCGTGCCCCACGACGTGCAAACAGAGTTCTCAGAGATGGAGACAGATATCCAGTCTGCAGAGCACAGAGAGAGAGAAAGACTCGAGGAACGTGAGGCGCTTGTCTGTCCGATTCTTGCCTCGCGCATACTGCAGGCGCCCCACGCAGCAAGTGCGCAATGCACAGGCAGAGAGCCCACAGCAGAAGATCAAACCCCGACAAGATTAGGCACATGGCTCCACCGCCCTAGCAGTCCCTGACACTTTGGGTTTGACGCGCTGTGACAGCTCCGACATCGCTTTTCCGAAAGATTGAGACGAATATTTATTATTAATCTTTAAATTCCTTGAGGGGAGAAATGCCACTCTGCGCTGCACAACCGCGTAACCCCATGCTGTAGCCCACATTCCTCGACTGTGCAATTCACTGTGCCTCGCTACGAGAATTCTTGTAGTTCTTGAATCTGACCAAAGGACCTGAGGCTTGGCCTGTATTTGCCAGTACAGCTGACAGCGAGCGCTCCGCTGTGTCGGTCTCGCGCGCGTCCCAGGGCTGGGGTGCATACTCGAACCGTGGTAATGGATCTGTCATTTTCGCCGTTCCGAACCACAACAACACAGAAGGGGGGGGG